TGTTTTGTATGAGGCAGACAGACCGGCCCAAATATGGGCATCGGCCCTTTGGGCATTGCCCGGTACGCCCGATGGCCAGTCCAGCCCTGTGCGCTGGCATCCTTGAGCTTGGACTACAAATTCGAAGTGATGCACAGTAGAGGAGGGCTGGGCCGAAGTGTTTTGTTAGACGCCCATTCCCTTATATAGCAGTCTCGCTGCAAATACTGTGACGTAATAATTCTAAACACGTAATAGAGAATGGCAAAATCAGAACGGGTTGAAAAATCTTACCTAAACAGAATATGAAGTGTTCTCTGTAACCCATGAAGAGACTGATTTCAACTTTTTTGCACTTCTAGAGGCTCCAACTACACAACATAAGGCATTTAAGGCACAAAAAGTGGATTTTTCATGATATGTCCCCTTTAAACCATTCGATCTTATTTAAACCACTTCGGTCTTGATACATTGGAGTGTCCTTTTGAAACTCTCAGACTAATGTTGGGGAAATAGTTTGCTTCCTCTGTAAATGTCTTTTTCTCGCCTGGGTGCAGCCGGCTGAGATCAAAATCCATTTTCATCTCATGAGGAGGGTTTCCAGGTTGGAGCCATTACAGCAACACCGGTGATTAGTCCTACACAATACTCCGAGGCCACAAAGTGCAGAGGTGGATACAGTCGATGTAATCACACTTTAGATGCAAATCAGTCAATTAGAACGTTGTTGAAGCTCAATCTGCACTAAAGGTTTACTCACACAGGTCCATAAAGTGAAATGGACACATATGTCATAGTCTATTGTATTAGCAAATTTATCTTGATTAATTAAGCATTAATATAACAAACATTATTATAGTAATGTTTCTAAACAGTCTAGTCGTGTAGAATACATTTGTTACTGTAAAAATGCTCAATCATGGAGAAACTAATATTCACTATTACTTATCCCTGTTGAAATGAAAGTTATTACAAAGAGATTAAGGTGTGTTTGTTTTTATGAATGAAATTACAAAGACGTAAGTAGCGTATTGCATTGAATTCCACAATCGTCGTGAAAAAGCAATGCAAATTGAATTGACTTTCGACATGTTGTCTCATACATAAGTGGCATAGATTTTGTGCTCTGCGACATCAGAGCAGCACCCTGTTTAAGTGCTGCCAGGATCAGAAAAGCTCTCTCCATTTTCCCCATGACCCTAAAACACATTAAAGGCTGCTGTAGTGGCAGGTATCGCGGCGGGTGTCATAGTGAGCCACCAGGCGCCTGAGGATATTATAATTTACCCTGACACTGAAGCAACGCTACAGCGGAACACTTTAGGAAGGGGCGAGCTAAAAGATCCACAAGGGGAGAGACAGAGCCGGATATTACAGTGAATAATGGATAAATATTGTAGAACAAGGTGTTATATCAGCAAATCATGCTCATTTGAACTTAAATATAGCATGCCTAACTTTTGTTTCATAAATAATACATGTTATTTATAGTTTAGAATGTGTGTATGAATTCTAACACATGGTCGGCGCTCCTCTCCGCAGATATGGCTTGTACAAAAGTGATGCCACTTGCTTGTCTCCAATGATGGAAAGCTCAATATGTAGAACATTTATTTAGATAGACCCAAGTAAAAAAGCCGGCCCTCTACGGAAAGACAGCCAAATATAAATATAAAAATATGCCGAGTAATATGCCTTGGTTAAATCTGGGGTACCTAATTTTAAAACTATGTATAAAAATGAAACGAAGCAATAAAATCTATATAACAAGTTCCTGGTCGCTCTAAATCCATACAATTTGTTTCTTCGCTTTAAAAAGTTAGGATCTATCCCTAGTTTTATTTTATTAAGTATGTATTTTTTTTCCCTGTGTCACATCCTCAGATAGTTTTTTCAGACAGAAATGTTAAAACGAGAGGACCACCTTCACTTAAAGCATAAACATAAAACAAACAAGGATTTTCTAAGAACATGTTATTCTACTTTCCAATACTCTTTCTGTTGGGACAGACGACATCTCCATGACATCGAGCGGATATGGACCCAATACAAAAGTTGTGCAATGTCCTTTATAAGATTAAGATTAAGATTAACTCAGTGATTGCCATTGACGTGTTTGTCAGAGACCGGTGATTTCTGTCAAATTTCCCTCTATTGGACTGGGGATTACTGGAGAACAAAACTAGCTAGAAACCAACTTATTTTTTCTGATAAAAGTAGACCAATCAGTCTTTCAGAATCTGGTTTTATATTTATCACAGTCATAGCACACAATATTCAGTGGGATCATCAAAAACGGCTGGCAGTCAATGAGTTAAGAGATCACAGTGGGGAAATGTCAGTGTTGCATCACAAGTTACATAAGAGTAGTCCTGAAGAGCACATAGCACAAAATGAATTAATAATAACTCTAAAATAAAATAAAATACAATATCTAACTCTAGCATAAAAACCTCTATCTTTAGCATTATAAGGAAAGAAGTCTAAAATCTCCAACTTTAACATGATGAAAAAGCAAGACTTAAGTACAAAAACCCCTGACTTTTGCATAATAAGGCGTATAATGTTTCTTTTTTTAAAGTTACCACAATTTCTAAAACCTTGTTATGAAGATATTGTTGTTTGTAATGTGTTTTTGTGCTTCTGCGTTGGTGTAGAGAATGAGAAATGCATTTCCATATTGCCTTCAGAGGTCACACAGCCGTTCATCCGTCTCCATCTGTCCCTGTTGTCAGCTTTCCTGCAATCACACGCCTCTCCTCATCATGCAGCCGGTCCACAGTTCTGACCTCAGTGATTTCATGTTTTTATACTTCAAAATTAATGGATACAACATGAAAAATGAATGCGGAAATGCACTGCACATCTATTCAGACACTTGACCCTTTTCAGTGGAAACTACTTAAAGTTTTGATCACCTGAGTTATTGGGGATGTCTTCCAAAGATACATACATAATGTTATGATAATGTGATTTGCTGATACTAAGCTCCAATCCAGTTTTGTCTCTTTATTATGTTTTTGTCATTCCCAAAGTGAAGAACTCGGAAATGATCCCTTTTGTGTGATCTAAAGTGTTTACATGTGTTGTTGGGCGGCACGGTGGCTGAGTGGATAGCACTCTCGCCTCTCGGCAAGAAGGTCCTGTGTTTGAATCCCGGTCGGAACAAGGCCTTCCTGAGTGGAGTTTGCATGTTCTCCCCGTGTCTGCGTAGGTTTCCTCCTGGTGCTCCGGTTTCCCCTACCACTAAAAACATGTACAATAGGTATGAATGTAAATGAGAGAGTGAATGGATGGTGTTGATTGGAGCTGATGCTCCAGTGTGTTCGGCGACTCGCTTCTGTCATCACCGTGTGTGGAATGATTGGAACAATATCTGAACTCTGAACATTGTAAAGCGCTTTGGGTGACCTTGGTCTGTAAAATGCGCTATATAAATAAACATTACTTACTTACTTACTTTACATCTATGCTTTTATCTGCTTTTTGTCTGTTTTTTATCACAATCACATCAATCAATCAATAAAATTAGAATTAAAATAGTAGCTTTGTAGGCTATGATTATGGCCTAAACTATTTTTACACAATATGTATTATGTTGAATTTACAGATTATTCATGGTGCTATTTTACAGTGAGGTCTGCTTCCTGCTTGTTGTCATTTCATTGCTCATTATATTCTTAAAATCAGTTGTATCTCTGTAACAAATTAAGCTGTCCTGCTAAGTGTCCCAAAGAAACCAGCTGATGACAGCCAGATCTCATCAGACCTCTGAAGCTTAGCAGGGCAGGGCCTGGTTAGTACTGTGATGGGAGACCTCTGGGAACACCAGCGTCCTGAAAAGCGTTAATTTGAACTGATGCATTATTATTATTCAAATTTGTATGTGATGCAAATGTAATGTTTGTTTTATAAATTGTGTTTGTCTTTGTTTTAGAAGTGTTTTTTAATACAGTACAATACAATTTTAAAAGTTTCAAATCTAATGAAATAGGACCTTTTTCCGGTTCACAAAGGACTTACATAATTGCAATTTGGACTATTTTTAACTTGCAGGCAGAGTACAGAGTGACTGCAAAATGACGAGAGACTACCTTTTGATCAAAGCTCTCATCATTGCTCAATAAAAGACCATTATGCATTGGCAGAGTTTAGTGTCCTACAAATGTCTAAAAAAAAAAACAATAGTGAAAATACACGTTTTATATCTGCTCTCACGCCTCTCACTCGTTGTTCTAAGCTCAAGCTGCTGCTGTATTCAGATGTTTTGGCCCTTGTGTTTACACTGGCAAATCCCCCGCCTGAGTTTACTTTGTCAGCCTTCCGCTCCAAGTTAGCCCCGTCACCCCCGCTTCCAGAGCCACATCATAACATAGCACTTAACCAGGGACTGCAGCATAAGGGCTTTCAAAATAGGACATTACTTTATGCAAGCCATTTATAGAAACGCATGGAATGATACAACAGACTGTAGGTTCATAGGCCCATGAAAGGCCCCTCGAGTGGAAACGGGCATAGAAAATATTAGCTTGCATTATTGTATTTAATTCAATCGGAAGCAATTTCAAGCTGTAATTAGAAACTTAGAGGAGATTTATTCCAATATAATTTCTAAAGCTGTGACGTTTTGAACTTTGATGCTTGAATGATTTTCAGCTGGATCCTGTATCACTTTGTTGTAATTGTGAGAAATAACGATTAAACAATTACTCACACTTAATATGTATCAATATAAATCTGAATTTCCTTTAATTTGTCTAATATGTTACGCATTCCTCAATTGCAATTTTCTTAAAATAAGCAGAACCAAACAAAATGTTTAATATTGAATTTGAATGAAAACCAACAATGTAGAATTATATTATATAAACATATAATCATAAAAATGATGGAATCTTTGTAAACATATTTGTTTATACGATTACATTTTGACCTAAATGGTTACAATCTAACGGAAAAGAAACTCAAAGTAGATATTCCAAATTTTGTAACACAAGTATTTTTATTCTTATGCATTTCAGCCTGAAGACTACCCTCCAGAAGAAACTGGCCAGCGACACGGTTGACCTGTCTGGGATCCCTCTGTCCTCACGGGATGTCCGCCAGGTTGCCTTCTACCTCCAAAACAACAGGGACAGTGTTTTAGCTGTGGACATTAGCTTCACTGAACTCCAGGATGATAATTTAAAGTTTCTGCTTCCACTACTCGGCTCAATGCCCAAACTAAGCACCCTAGCTTTGAATGGTAACCGCTTAACCATAGCTATACTCAAAGACCTCACTGAAATGCTCAAAGATCCCAAACAGTTCACCAGTTTGGCTTGGATCGATCTGGGCAACAACGTGGACATTTTCACCATGCCCCAGGCGCTGTTGGTCGCACTACGCCGGCGATGCAGTCTGAAAAGTAGCCTACCCACTATTTACGAATACACTGAAGGCCAGCCTTATTGCTATCACTTAGAGACGTCTATAGAAGAACCAAGTCATTATGAAGAAGACGAGGAAGAGCAACAGGATGAAGACATGGAGCGTAAAGATGAACCCGAGCCATGGGGGCAAGGTGAAAAGCAGCTATCGAAAGACTTCACACTGCACTATTGTGAAAGGTGATTGGACAGATTGTTTATAGAATGGCACTCTAGCTATATCTCGTTTTGCCCACTCAAAATACAATTCACCTTCAGAGCACCACAAAACTATTCGTGCTGACACAAAATTGTTCCAATCCAAAATGGCCGACCAAAGCTATCTATGACAAAACATGACAGGATGACTTACTGTGTTGGTGGATGGTGCTCTTGGAAAAAAAGTGGCGTTTCATTGGAGGGGGGCAAGATGAGTAAATTAACCTGGGCGTGCTCTCTCTTCTACGTTCGCTAACTTCTCTTCAAAGACTCTTGATCATTGATGATGAAGAGTAGAGTTGTTTCAGATTAAATGGTCGGCAAGATTCGGAGGAGTAGCATCCCGGCGGCGGTGGTAAAGTTGAAGTGAACCAAGTTTTTTGGGAGTCTGACGCCGGACTGGGACCAGTTCTGGCAGCGAGGGCCTAGCTCCACATTGTGTGTTCTGTGTTAATCTCCCAACAAAAGCTATGACACAAGTTCAACAGACTCTACGGCCGGCAAGCCAGTCACGTGATGCGGCCAAAACTGCTTGGTCAAGACTTTTTGCCGTGCCCCCCACCCCTTTCCAAAATGTCCTCTTGTGAATACCCGTGTGGCCCTTGCCTTGTGTTGATGTAAATGAGGACACGCACAAAACAAGGCTGTTGTTCTATTTTTGTGCACTATAGGTGAACAAAGCAATCTTGGAAGACAACAGGTAGGACAGAACAATGGGGAGGGTCACCGGTCAGTTTTGTATTTAAACGCTGATGTGCATCTGTACCTATTCAATGTTATAGGGATCAAAGTTTATGTCAATTTTTTTTATCATTCAAATTAACTGCATAATTTAAAAAGTTGCCTTTTTAATTTGACTAGTAGATGTGTTCTCCTCCACCTGTGCTCTCTGGTCTTCTGTCAAGCTAAAACTGAAGTCTATACAGGTGGTATCTAGTGGTAGAATTCAATGGTTTTAATATTAGTTGCATATTTCTTAGCAATTCCTTCATTTTACTCTACCCACTGCCAGTTTGTCATTAGACATTTTAATGCTGTATTTTGGTTGTTTGTGTTGTTTCTGACACAGCAATGACTGTTAATTCTTGGTTCAACTTCTGTAGCACATAATAAATAGGTTAATACTGACCGAAAAACTGCAATGCACTTTAATGCACTATTGTTTTTTATATAGTTTTCCATTTTTACTCAATGTTTCTGTTTAGAAAGAAGAACATAGCATAAGCTCGAAATGACATACCTCACTAGTAAGTGACCAAATGGTTGAATGTTAGACAGCTGATCCTCTTTACCAGATACTCAATATAATACTTGTAATGATGTCTCATTTGTATGTTTGTAAATGTAAAATGTCTACATGTAATGATCTGTATTTTGGTGTTGTCATGATCCGTCTCCGTAATTGTAATAATGAGATGTGGAAGCATTTCACACACAAACCACACCTCAATTATTTTAAACACTTAAAGCTGGGGTACCTAACTTATAATAAATACCTTTTCTTTGTCCCAACAGAAAGTCTAAAAGCAAAACAAATCAGACCCTTGCATGTCTTCATCTTATTAGAACATGGTATCTTTTGTATTCTTATAAGAAGGAATCATATTTGATGCTTTGTGACGAGTGCTGATTGGCTGTTTGAGGGTGGTCTTCCCCTTTTCCCGTTTCTGTCTGAAAATGCTTCATTGGGAGACCAAAAAATGAATGTGTGAAAACTATAGCTATAGAACCAAACTGAATGCGAGTTTGAACTATGTAATTAAATGTCTCAATTTGTTGTGGTTTGAAAGTTAGGTGCCTCAGCTTTAAATCACAGACTAGAAGGAATCTTGAATGTCTCTCTTCAAGCTCTAATTCCTCTGACTTTAAAGTGTTCCATAGAAAATGGCAAACCTGCACCACGAGTTCAGTTTGTGAGTCATGTTTATCAACTGTTGTTTGTTATTGTCTTTACTTGTCAAACTGCCAATAAAAACCTGGTTATACAAGAATTAGAGGATATGTTTTGAGAGTTCATTTCAGGACATTTTACAGTTACACGCAATGTTTGATTATAAACTTGTGAAAACTAGTCTTTGCCCGTTGAAGCCATAAGAATATTAATAACGTACATTTCGCAACACATGAATTACCAGATAAAGAGGGGAAAACATGTCAACCTTTGTTCACGCTGACAACTTGATGAAGTTAATGATAGTCTGCACATATACCTGAATGACAGTCGAATGGGTTTCTTTTTTGATATAAATCCAGTTGTGTGCGGCTGCTGTGTGTACAGTAACTACAGACGAGACCAACAGCGTGATGGTCAACAGCTCTATCCCCTATATATACAGTAATAATAATGTATTCAAGGTCAAGGTCAAGTTTATTTATATAGCACATTTTAAAAACAGACAGGACTGTCACAAAGTGCTAACCAGACATTGTAAAAATACAAAACACAAGTAACTGCATTGGTTTTATATAGCGCTCTTCTGGACACTCAAAGACGCTTCACATGTCATTATTCTTTCACTCCATACACGGTGGTGATAAACTACTACTGTAGCCACAGCTGCCCTGGGTTGTGTGGGGCACACTGACAGAAGCGAGGCAACCAGTATGCGCTATTGGCCCCTCCGACCACCACCAACCATTCACTCACACACTAGACTCATTCTAGGCAATGGGGGTGAAGTGTCTTGCCTAAGGACATAACGGCAGTTTGGCAGTTTACAGCTGCAGCAGCCCCACTGTGGCTGGTGTTCCCAGAGGTTAAGTGTCTTGCCAAGGACACAACGACAGCAGACAGTGGGAGTCGATGGTGAAGGCCAGGCTCGAACTCACGACTTGCTCAAAGGCCAATGCTCTGCCAACTGAGCTACTGTCGCCCGAGTACAGACCAAAAGTTTGGACACACTTTCTCATTCAATGAGTGTCCTGTCTTGTCATGCCTATTGACTGTAGATTGACTGTGTAAGGGCTATTTTACCAATAAGGAGAGTGATGGTTTTGGGGTGAGCTGGACCACAGAGTGAAGGCGAAAGGGTCAACAAGTGCTAAGCATCTCTGGGAACTCATTCAAGACTGTTGGAAGACCATTTCAGGTCACTATCTCTTGAAGCTCATCAAGAGAATGCCAAGAGTGTGCGAAGCAGTAATCAGAGCAAAAGGTGCTGCTTTGAGGAACCCAGAATATAAGACATGTTTTCAGTTGTTTCATTTTTTTTTTTTTTTTTTAGGTTCTTCATGAGTTAATTTATAGTTTTGAGGCCTTCAGTGTGAATCTACAATTTTGATAGTCATGAAGATAAAAAAAAAAAATACTCTTGAGATGGGTGGGTGTGTCCAAACTATTGGTCTGTACTGTATATGTTAAATGAATTGTCAAAATTAATTCAAGATTTAAAATAAATTTCCACCGAATGCCACAGCAGACGATACACTGAGACAGAACACAATACAATGATACAGACATAAACCATCACCATTTTACTTACAGGCAATTTGCTTCACATCAAGGAACCCATCACCCATTCACACACTTTAAATACACCAGTGTACATGTACATTAGTGAGATGTGGGTTAAGTGTCTTGCTCAAGGACACGAGGCAGCATTCACAATGGGGAGCTGGTTTCACACCTTTCAACATGAATTTCAGGTTAAAAGGTGTCAAAAGTGTGCATGTCATCATTGGTCATCAACCAAAGATTTTGTCAGGAGCAGGATTGGAACCACCAACCTTCAGCTCAAAGGACACCAACTGAGCTGCAGCTCCTGCTGCCATTCTTTATTTTTCTGTAGGAGAATTAAAGAAAATAGTGTATACATGTATATAGTTTGAAAAGCATTCAAGCCTAAGGCACAGGGGATTACAAGGGTATGTACAAGAATATGTAAATCCATCTAAAATGTCTAAGATTCATAACATAATTGGAGGTATAAGTAAGAATTTTAATACACACATTTGGTTTGCCATTGTTTGAGTAAGACAATCATGTGAACAAAAACAATGCTGTCACTCAAGTTTAGTTGCAGTATCTTTGAACGCGGAAATATATATGTTCAGAGCTGTGTTTATTCTTATCTTGTTTATGAGTCAGCTCTTGTGCATGTGATTATTTCTGCTTCATCTGCACACAGAATCAGAAATGAAACGGCACTGATTCATCATAGTTAAATATAGGAGGAATGTAAAGACCACTGTACATACTGTATATAATAACAGCTCTAAATCAAGCATACCACAGGACTCATGAACAGAGAGCTTGTTTTTTAAACTGAAAAGTCAAATATCCCACTGTTGCTGATCTACCCCTATTTGTTGTTTACAGCTGGTATCTTTAGGCTGCGTGGGCTAAAAGTCTGGACCATTTATAAGTCTTATGCACTTACAATGGGTAGTTTATTATTGTTGTGTACTGTATTTTTATTCATCTGATGATGATCTGAAAATGGGCTGGTTTTCATTAATCACAGAGTCTCACACATAAGGCTCAGTAGTGTAGTGATTGACAGATGAAAGTCCCGCCTCCCACACATACTAGCCCGCATGCTGTATGTACTGTATCAGCTAGCCCCAATGTGGATTAAAGGAAAAGCATTCTTTTTGATAACTTGGAGGTTTAATCTGGAGACAAAAGAACCCAATACATACCAAAAATACTTTGCTCCAAAAAGACATAGACAAATGTGGATGTCGCTTTTTAACTTTAAAAGTCTTTAATGCAACCTTGAGTTTTTCATAGGAATCAAAGCTCTTTATTAAATCAGTATCCAGCTGCTTTCCCCTTTTTCCTGGAGTCAGACACGGCGCAGATGCAGTCACCGTCCTTCTCCACGGCATTCACCACATTAAAGAACGTGCTCCCAGCCTGAACATATTTGTGTCCAAAGGCAGTTAAGCCTTCAATTATTTGCTGGAAACAAACAAAATAAAAGACATTTAATAAAGGAGGAGATTATTTAAAAAACAGTGCTGCTATGTATCTCTGCTGCCTTTTTATCCCTCGACTATGTCCCCTCTGGGGCTCCATATAATAGCAACCAAATTAGTGTGTTAATAAGGGTATAAATTAAAGCTGGGATACTAATCTGTTTTTTTTCTTAATGAAAACATATTTTGGCTAACTAAATAATTCAAGCCACATCTTTGTCTTGGTAAATTTTTGACACTTTGGGCTGAGAGATGACTTGCTGAGCGAAGCTCTTTTTTTCACTTTTCGGTTCAGAAATACTGATAAAAACATAATGAAAGAACCAAACTATTTTGGTTTAAAAGGTTGGTCTCCCATCTTTTGGTAAAATGCATCTGATATTTATTAACAAAAATACACAACAAATAATGATTACCTGATCAAAGTTTTTCTCAAACAGAGGTTGGATGTTTTTCACCGCAACCACAGGGGCGTCTATTGACGCCTTGAGGCTTTTTCCAAACATGAAGTGATTCATGAGAGTCTAAATAGAAAGAGTATTTTACAATCTACCAAACTGAACCGTAACTATTACTTATAGACATGCTATATGTTATATGCTACATGTTGGAGGGCAGGTTCCAATACATCTCTATAGGAAAGAAGCAATGTTGACCAATTAGCAATGAAGCAAAAATGTCCAAATATTTCTCCAGTATCTCCATTAATTGATATTGATTAGAATCACAAACCCATCAAAGTATTCTCATGTCTGAAAGCCCTTTCTATTGGCCAACACCAAGCATACAGGTGAAACTCAGAAAATTTGAATATTATAACTTAAAACGTGAAACCAATATATGATATAAATTCATTACATGCAAAGTGACGTATGTCAAGCCTTTGTTTGGTACCATTTCTGATGATTGTGGCTTACCGTCCATTTCACATTGTTCTTTGCCAATGCAGGTGGGTCTAAGGACAGTGGTGATGATACAGGACATGGACATTTATGGACATTTATGGACATTTATCAACATTTATCAACATTTATGGACATTTATCAACATTTATGGACATGGACCAATGGCGCCTATGTGTTTGTTATTATTGCATTTGCTGTGTTCGAACAGTTTGATTCTCTGATCTGTGTTGGTGAATTGACTACTTTGTAAAGCCCTCCGAGACAACTACTGCTGTGATTTAAAAATAAGAAAAAATAAATTGATCTGAATATTATAATATTTTTTTCTGAGATTTTTTATTTGGGGTTTTTACAAACTGTGAGCCATAATGATCATCATTAACTTAAAGAAAAGGCTTGATATATGTCACTTTTTGTATAATGAGCCGTATATTACTTTCACATTGTAAGCTGAATTACTGAAGTAAATAGACCTTTGAATGAATTTACAATTTTACGAGTTTCAGTTTATCAATTTGCCATCCCCACGACACCAAAAAAATGTAAAAATTTCTGACAAAAAAGATGACAGTTTTTGTTTCATGTGAATTCGCCTAGGGATGACCGAGAATGATCTCTAAAGGACTTTTGACAGTTACCATAGTTACAAGGAGAACATTTTCTACTGCCCTCCACCACAATTTTAAACTATAGGCACTTTGGAATGTTGTGATGTTACATGAACCCAATCTATCAGACATTAGCATCAGACAAAACCAGTTCTATAAAACACATGGGACTTTTCAGTCTGCTGAAATGTAAAACTGTAAAACTGTAAAACTGAGAGATGACTGTGGAACATACCGAGGCGATACCCGTTAAGATGTGGCTCCCTCCGGATGCACCAATCACCAGTGTCCGGGATTGAGACTTGAGCAGAGTGGGTGAAACATGAGAGGGCGGCTGATCTCCTGACAATGCAACAAAGCCATGACTGACAGCGCAGGGTTAAAATAAAGTGGAGCCCATACAGAAATGTTGAACATTTGCAATCAGCGGAAGGACTTTGAATTCCACAAACCACAAGAATTAGAAATGTACTTTAGGTAGAACATTTAAAATATGATTAAGGCATCTTACCCGCATGGATTCTATCAGTGTTTTCACAAAAATCTACCAGCTGATTGTTTAATATGATTCCGGTTTTTGAAGAGAAGACTTGTGAGCCAAATCTGGAAAAGAGAGTATGAAAAGACAATTTAAGAACATCGAAAATTATACAAAGCCCATGCCCTTGGGAAGAATAATAAAAGATTTTCTGTGGTGACATTATGGAACTTAAATAGTAAAAATATTAATTTTAACTGTAATTACTTGCATATGTACATTATTGGTCTTCCTAACTTTGTGACTTTTTGTGAGTAGTTTTACCTTTTAACTTATAACTTTGCACCAGATCAGAGCCAAGAGCAAAATTATATTCACCAGTTTTAGCACATTAAATGTGAGCAAAGATAAAAACCTCATGAGACTGGTGGAATGGGAAGCTTTTTCACCATACATTTGTTTTGAATGCGAGCAGTCATAATGACGGCTCTGGGAGGTAGTTTCAGAAGAGATTCTGAGAGTCAGAGTTTTAATGGACGTTCTTGTGTAAATTCCACTGGGGTTGCCCTTTTGTTATAAGAATTGTTTTAGTTTTTTAAAAGTCTTATCAAAGAAACTCTGCTCAAAGGGGATGAGGAGGCAAATGTATTGTTGCTGGGGCCTGGTCACAGGGAGAGCAGGGAATCAGCGGCTCTACTCTGAGCTCCTCCCATCTGACTGAGCTCCTCACTCAGCCCTCGCAGAGGAAACTCATGCAGGGTTCATCCAAAGTTTAATCTTTAACTCAGACACCAAAAAACAAAACAAAAAACCAGACAATCAAGCAAGCAATGAGCAATTCTAAATCAATGATGCCATTGATCCTGACATGTGGTTGATGGTGCTGGTAACAGAAGCTGCAGACCCATCCTCCGCCAGGACGGAGAGGTGTGTTGTCCCCATAGAGTCCAGAGCGGAGGTCATGTTGTAGTACTCGGCTCCATGGGTCCTATCACTGATCAAAGTCCTGATGTGATCTGAAAAACTGTCTTGGATAAACGTCTTCAAAATCTGTTGAAGATATTTATTATAATAAGAAGACATATTTACATAAATCCTCAATCATTAGATAAATCTGGGCAAAAACACAGTATAATGATGAGGGGAGGGTCTGTCTGTGTCAATATTGGTCAAAACATACTTTGTCTGAAGTCATGTTTGGGTCTTGAATGTGCTTTTTAAATCCATTGGCAAACTTAAAAGCCTCAATGTATCGGTGATATGCCAACGTCTGTTCTTCAAGCGTTACAGATTTGGCATTCAAGTTATAACCTGTAAAGCAAACATATTCCCATTTAAACTGATATAACATGTGATTAGGTCATCTTTATGAGAATATTGACCATGCATGGCCAGTGTGTAAACATTTTCTGTTCATATAAGTGAAGGCATCTAGTTTTAATGAGGTTTTAACACAATGTAGCTGAGGCCAACTCTTTACCATTACTAGAAAGTGTTGATGCAAACCTTTTAGGATGTTGAGGACCAGGGCAAGGACTGCGCCTCCGGCAGGTGGTGGTGGAATGTACATTTTGAAGTCTTGAAAAGGAACAACCCACGCATCCGATAATGACGCTTTGAATGAAGCCAAATCCTGCAGTGTCAGAGTACCGCCTGAAAGAGGACACAATGTTCTTAGCAAAAAGAAAAAGCATCTTTCAAAGTGAGTGTAACCATGTTTCTATTGTTAAATCAACCTTAACCTTTCAGGACTGGGATATTTATTCTGATCCATGAAGGAAATGTTCACAGTTTATTGTCAAGATCCTCGAATATATGTTTATTTGTCAGTTCTGTTTTCAGTCGACTGGAGTTGAAGTTCCCAATACCTGCCTCCTGTATGTCACTGATCAGATCTTCTGCAATCTTTCCAGTGTAAAAGATATCAGGACCATGGTCAGCGATCGCCTCCATTGTATCAGCCAGCTTCTCAAATTTCACAACATCGCCAGTTTTCAGTGCATTCCCCTTTGCATCTGTGAACATTTTACTGGAAAATAAATAGAAATATGTAACTATAAAACTACAGTGTAAAATACATTTTTCTATTTGACTACATTATCCAAACCCATATGCACTGTATCACTGCACTACAATCAGTGTTGGGAATAACAAGGAACTTCATTACATGAATTAAAGCACATTTGCTTTGTTTTCTCACTGCAAAAATTGTGGGAAACAGCATCGTTACATTTTAAAAACAGTTTTATCACAATACAAATATATAATATTTTTAGAGTAACACTGATTACAATGTAGAAGTAAAGATGCATGGGGAGTCATACGGCCAGATAGAACACAAGGAATAAATGTCATACTAGAGGGGAAAACTCTTGTTGATATATGGTATGTATTGTTCAACCACATGGGAAATTTTCAGCCCTTCTCTGGCAAGTTTGATGGTCGGCTGAAACAGAGTGGCCCACGGCAGCTTCCCATACAGACTGTGAGCCAGCTCATAGCCCCGGATTTCTCCTGGGACCCCGATCCATTCAGGGCCTGAGGGGAAAGAAAGCCTCAGTAAATCTTTCAAGCTACAGTACTACCAGGAGCTGTAATCTTCACAAAATAAAAAAATAAAAATCACGCTTTATGCCATGAAGTGTAAATTAGACCCAAGTTGCACTTAGTGCTACAGAAGCACCTAGACATCTAGGATAAGTTTGTGTAAGCTCTCAGTCGTACAGGGATTAGTCAAAGCAAAGGAAGGTTTCTCACCCATCATCTGTACTTCTTAGCAAGTTTTCCCGACGTTTCGTCCTCAAACCAGCGGACTTCTTTAATTCCCTGAAGAAGTCCGCTGGTTTGAGGACGAAACGTCGGGAAAACTTGCTAAGTACAGATGATGGGTGAGAAACCTTCCTTTGCTTAGACATCTAGGATGTCGAAGTCTAGAGTGGAAAGGGGCCGCTCGGTTCTGGGAGATGGGGGCCGGCAGTCTCTCTGTCCATGTCCTTCATAGTATCTTGCTTTTCCTTGAAACTTTTTCTAAATGACTTTAGAAAAAGTTTCGGCTCAAACTAAGCAAGAGTTCTCCTGGATGGACTAACAAAAAGTAATGCGATCTTTATCTGGGATGGATGTTAATGTGTTTAACAAAAACACTACAGGATCCACTTTTTTGACCCAATATAGCTTAAAAGCAGAACTTCTCCTTTGCCAGTGGAGCTCCATTGAGTAACATGGCCCTGTCCTTTATATAGAGTTAAATAAACAATTACCTGACATAAATCTGAAAGGATTAGGGCAGGATTTCAGCAGATCCGGTTGAAAAATCTGAGGAACAGTCTCTCTCGAAGAGATAATTTTCACATTACCTTCAAAAGAACACCAACTGTATCATTGACTTCAGACTTAAATTGTGTTTAGAAATAGATAACATAGAAACCTACCCGCGCTATCCATGACAGTGAAGGTCGCCCCCCCTCCGATGCCCATGCTCTGCGGGTTAACGAGTGAGGTGCAAAGAAGCGCAGCAATGGCGCCATCTACCGCCGAGCCACCGCTCTGCAGAATGTCTCTATCAGAATCAAAATCAGAATTATTGCCATTGTAATTAACATGAATGGACAAACTAAGAATTTGCTACGGCTCAAACAAGTTGTTGGAGCTCCTGCGCGCTCCAATGTGCTTTGAGTTTACTTTATCCAGGGAAGAAAAACACAAATAAGAAATATTATGTCTACAGCAAATGGAAGCAATTATAGAAAACGTTTGATGCCATTATCGACGTCACAGCTGATAAATGGACCACAGGCAGAACAGCTTCACAAATTTGTAAATCCATGATTGTCATGATTGATATGAAGCCACATTTGGACATTTAGACTTGGACAAATAATCAATGTTAACACCGTGTGTCAGATTGTGCGTCTGTCTGCTGGTCTGACACCCGTATAAAGATCATGATTTATATCTACTTTTTTTAGGTAGTACTTTTGTGCTAAGAGTCTTATCCTTACTTTTAAAACAGAAAATCTCAGGAAATGTAATATTCAAGGATTTATAGAGAATGAAAAGTCAATCAACAGGTTGACCCCAGACCTCTCTCACTTGAACAACTCTGTTATGCTTGTTTCTGTCTTTCTTCTTTTTTTCTATTGAAGACCTCAGACTACATCACATCCTAAAACGCCTTAAGACTTGAATTACAATATGCAAACAGTCTAATATAATAAATGTTACCTAAGTGCATGTATATTCACCATACAACATCTTCGAGCCTTTTATTGACAACTCACCTTCCTACTTGTGAGCATGTCTCTGAGTCTGCGGCCACTGCAGCGCGGTGATAGCTGCCGGGTGGACACTTGGACCTCGAGGCAAAGACGCAGATCACCACAATAATGACCACCAGGCACAGGAGCGTCAGGCCGCAGCAAACGTGGAATCGGGTCTTTGGTTTTGGCCTGCTCATGATGCGTCGTCACTGGACACCAATCTGTCATGTAATCTCAGAGGTGATGTTTTTACTCAGCGCCTACAGGTTTTTCACGCGTGAGCCAGTTCTACCAGCTGCCAAGTACCTGACCCCGCCTTACACTAGAAAAAGTTTGAAAAAAAAAAAAGAAAAAAAAAAAGAGCTTCAGGCTCTAGAGGCCTTGAAAACCATTGCCTATGCTTTGGTTGTGTGCTGTAGTCCTGTTTGAATAAGCATATATAGGTGAACACAGACATAATTATTTTTGTATTACGAAATTAAGAACGGATTACTCGTGGTCTGGCTTGAGGTATGTATGAGGTATTGGCCACTTTTGAGCCGGGACCCGCCCCCACTGGTCAGGACCAGAGCTGGAGGATTTGCATGATGCAGGTGTGCATGTTTATTTTTATTTTTTTTGGTAGGGGAAACCAGAGCACCCTGGTGGCAGCAAAGGGAGTTACAGATGGGATGTTTTTGTTTGTTTACTGGAGCGAGAGTGTTTCAGTTGGTAGAGCATTGGTCTTTGGCCCTAATGGTCATGGGTTCGATCTCACTACAACCCACGACATCTGCTCTCACTGATGTCTGCTGCCGTTGTGTCCCTGAGCAAGACACATCACCCCACTTTGTCTGAAGTGTCCGCTGAAACACCATGGCTGTATCTTCGTTGAAGGAGCAGCCATTTTCCTGTGGACCCATCACCTACTGAAGGATCAGAGAGGAACTGGTACGTTGAGAATTGGGTGGCAGCTCTGACCCACCCACCTTTTTCTTCTTTTGGGTTTATGGTGGTGGGCAAACAACCTTTTGGTGTGCATTTACTGCCACCCTCTGGACGGGAGTGTGTATTTGACTCTCTATATCAGTTCCATTAGTTTAGTTTTAACTAAAATACTTGATGACTTCTCTACCTATACAGTACTTGCTGAGTGAAAACCTAAGACCTGAAGAACTCGTTGTGTGCCATTGACGCACTAATACGTCAACTTCGTTTTCTGCTATGTTCATGTTCCCAGGTGTCTATTATATCTAATATGTATGGGGATTAGCTTGAGAGAATATTATATTGAGACAGCAGGTGGCAGCAGCGCTCTCTGAATGGTTTGAAAACAGCTAGATGCACTTGTTGTGCCCAGTGGGGGCGGGTCTCAGCGCAAAAGTGGCCAAAATGACATGCGCTGACATGCTTGCAATACCACCCCGGGCCGATGGGGATGGACCCAGAAGAAGAATTAGCCAATGCTAACATATAGCATCTTCTTACCTCTCGAAAACTTCTTTACAGGATGGACCAAAAGTTGGCTCTTGGCTCAAAGCTCCGTTCCACATGTGTGTCAATGCTGAGGGGGGTGAATTTTTTTGGTCCACTCTAGTTTACTTGCTGTGAATTTTTGAAGTCTCTCGTTCAAATGAATGGAGCTGCGCCGGCTGACGCATGCGCAGATGCATTTTTTCACCATTTTCTTGTGGGCGGGACCACTAGCGGCCATTTTGGATTGCTCCAGCAGAGCACATTTTTTGGCCCATTAGTTAGAACGGAGGAGATAGGCGTGACTCTGTCCGTTAATATATACAGTCTATGGTTTTTTCACAATTTTCTTGTGGGCGGGACCACTCGCGGCCATTTTGGATTGCTCCAGTAGAGCAAAATTTTTGGCCCATTAGTTAGAACGGCGGAGATAGGCGTGACTCTGTCCGTTAATATATACAGTCTATGGTTGTGCCTCTTTTTTCTCCGCTTTTTGGTGATTTCAGTAAAACTTCCCTCTACTCAACTGGGGATTACAGGGGAACGAAACAAGATAGAACCAAATTCGCATTTCAGATAGTAATATTCTGTGGGTCTTAAAAAATCTGTTAAAAACCATCAGAAACGGCTGGCAATATGGGAGTACCTGTTCTGAAATAGGATGGCATGCAATAAGTTAAACTGTACTTTCTGACCCACCCCAGCCCCCGGGGGGAGGGAAATTGGATAAATAAAGGGATAAACATAATTTATTTTTTTAACCCTTCATATATTTTCTATTATTTCTATTACTTTTATTTGACTTTATTTAACATTCAAAAACATGGATTACAGAGTAAATGTGTCATTATCAGTTTTAATGGCCTAAAACATTGCATCGTATGTCTTCTTTAAAAGTAGTATTTTATTTTGAAAAGTAGATGTCGGCTTGTGGTCTTGCTCTTGTTCAGAAGCTTGACGCGGGGTTTCCTCTGATATTTACTACTGTGTCGTCTGGAGCCTTTCTGCTGCTGCTGCAGCCACACACGGCGCGGAGACAAATGCTCGCCATCTCCAGCTCACATTGAGTCTTCAGAAAACACACTGCGGCTGTGTGAAGATAAACAGACGGAGCCTCTTTTCATTTTGGAAACGCCATAATGTTGTGCTGTGATATCCGCCTGCCGTGCACACTGCAGTGGTGGTGCGCAACTCCGTCTGGAGGAACACCTGTGAGCCCCTCCGCTGGCCACAGCCGCGCATGTTGAGGAGGTATGGACACAAAAGAACCTGACCAGTGCGCCACACACTCGATCTAACACAATGTTTGTAAATGAGTGCGGTGCAGGATTACTGCTGTAGGCTGTACTCGTTACATCTGTGACCACTGGGAGGCTCTCATGGTTAAGACACAGTGCAACTGTACACTGATTAGAAATGGTGTTAATGTAATATTTGGGTGTGAAGTGTGATAGTGAATTATCCCAAAAGCCGTAAGAGAGTGGGGGTGCGGGGGCGTGGGGGCTTCTTGACGCTGTCAGACAGGATGTAGGGGAGGATCTATTGGAGCAGGATTACCCAACCATTTTTGGAGACGGAGCACCAGAGACTTCCCATAGCATTGACGCATTGCACTCCCTGCGCCCTGGCTCCATGGATGTTATATAATAATTTTCATATAATGTTTTTCTTTGGCAGCATATGATCACAAAGAATAGACATCTCACCCCCTCCCACCCTACAATCCCCCGAGAATCCGTATGCAGCTCTGCTGAGCAACCTATGAATGCCAATTATTATATGTGGGAGGTATCACTGTTTACATAATTCAGCTAAAGCTATCAGAAGGAAAAGGAACAGATGTGTTTTCTGCAACCATGACTCATGATTTTAGAAGTGCAAGGGGAGGGTGTGTTTATGGATAAGAACAAACTTGAACAAACGAACTTGGGTGCATGCCAAACACATGGTGACAGTTTTCTCTTCATGCCTTATTAACCTAGAAAAATTATAATGTGTCCAAATCATATTCTCTTACAGCCACATAACATGGAGCTGAGCTGATTGCTTGACTGCACTGTCAGTGACAGCAGCATCTTCGCTCTCTGTTTCAGATCACCCCGAGGTGCAGTGTCTGTCTGCATTTATCTGAAGGAACAAGAGGGAGCCGCATAAATGCCGCACAGCCAGACATCGGGCAAGAAGACTTCCTTCGTCACAGAGAGTTGAAATGTTTGCACTGAAGTCACCAAGTGCCAGATCATATCAGCAGACTGTTTACTGGAGGTGGGGAAAGAGGAGCTCGGAAACACCCTGCATGTGTTCGAGGCCTGGCTTCTTTACAACCAAGAAAAGACGTGTTAACTGATCTCTCATCAGCACTTTGTGTTTCTGTCACGTTCAGCACTTCCTCTAAGCACAGAGATGGAGTGGTCACTGGAGAATGTTAGAGAGATGGTGGCTGGGGGGATGCAGTCTATACGGGAGTGTGAGATGTGTGCTTTGGCAATAGGCATATGTGTGCTGCTACTCTTTATGTGGTACTGTTACCGAGTAGGCCGAGAGCACGGATCCAGTCCTCTGCGAAGCCGATATTTGAGTGGCTCTAGCCGCATTGGAGGAGTAGTAGGGGGCTTCAGGAGTAAAGGAAAGCACTCCCTTCTGGAAGAGCAGAACGGTTTTGCCTTCTGTCAGTCGTCCGAGTGTTTCCGCTGCACCAGTGCTGGAGAGAGCCTGAACCAGAGGCTGTACCACAGTCTGCAGGACTATGCCAAACGCTACACATGGTCTGGTATGGGTCGTGTGCACAAAGGCGTGCGAGACCAGGGCAGGTATCTCAATAGCAAGCCAACCATCCAGAGGCCAGAAGTATTTTTCCTCCCTGACCTGCACTCAGCCCCTTTCTTTTCCAGAGAAGTACAGAGACATGATGTGGAGCTGCTGGAGCAGAGCTTCCCCACTCTCTTAGCTGAGTTTGAGAGTATCTATCACCAGCCTCCAGCCCGCAGTGGCTCTTCGCTCCCTCCAGGATGGAAAGCAAACAACACTCCAAGAGGTCAATGGTGGACCTACTATCTAGTAAACCAAGGCACACCGCTGGTCCTCAATGTTAGAAGATGCCCAAAGGCATGGCGAGTCCTGGGCCAACTGCGCACCTTCATTGCCAACAATGTGTTTGGAAACGCCTGTTTTTCTGTTCTCACACCTGGGGCTCTGATCGCTGAGCATTATGGTCCAACGAATGTCCGTCTGCGCTGCCACCTGGGTAAGACATCACTTTGACCTCAATTTAACCATAAATAACCCTTCATCTATGGCTAAATATAAACTGTAGGAAAAGAACAAATTTATGGATTTCTGTATCATCACTTTTTTCATGAGGTCATAGAAATTACTCACCGCAACTCAAACTGACCACATTACAAAGTTAATAATAATGTAAACATTAATTGAACTAAAAGTTGATATAGTAACAATTGTGTCAGGTTTATTGCTGAGTAGAGGGCTACTGGTAACAGAAATGAAGTCATGATTTATTGATGCATATTCATTTAGGTGTTTGATCTACTTTCAGGTCTGAAAGTTCCGCCATTATGTGAACTTGTTGTGGGTGGAGAACCTCAGTGTTGGTCCGAAGGTAGTTGCCTCCTGTTTGACGACTCGTTCCTCCACAGGGCCTTCCATGAGGGTGAGAAGAGAATTTGAAAATGTCATGAATCTGAAATATTTGAAAACATTATTAAAATGTTCATATTTATTCATGAAGGGAACCCAGAAGACGGACCTCGTGTGGTTTTTATGGTGGACCTCTGGCATCCAAATGTGGCTGCTGCTGAGAGACAAGCGCTGGACTACATTTTCACCCCAGGACGATTGGAGGACCGCGAGGGCAAATGATGGAACCATGCCCATACCACAGTTGGGGGTTTGAGGATGTTTTTGTATGACCGTTGAGCAAATCGCATTGTGTCCAGACAGCTCTTGGATTCACTGTGTACATATATTTTAGCCCATAATCAACATAACTCTCCATTACTGATGACAAAACATTGGGCCTTTTTTATCTCCATCCTGACCACTATAAAGCCAATATACTTCACATTTTACGTTTTGCAGAGTACAATCATATTAGTACTAATAGCCATTAATCCCCTTTTCTAATCATCTGTTTTCAAATAGTGCAGGGTACATTTCAGACCATGAATACTTGAATTTTTTCCCAGAATTTACAAGATATTATTAAATAGTGTCAAGATACAAATTTACTACGACTGTCCTGTGTTAGCACCATAGGTTTTTCATATTAACACAATTTTATGAACAATAAATTGCTTCCAGAAAACATTGCGATAAACTTTTATTGAAACTACTTTGTTGGCGCTCAATTTCAATATACCCAGTAAAGTAACTCTTGAATTTATACATTTCATTTAAGGCCTGCGCTGATAGACCTAAGAGTTGAAAAAAGGATTATTTTGAGTTATTCAACTCTGTATAGCTACAATCTGATTTTATTACAAAGGAAATGGCAGAAATCTTAAAGAAAATGTACAGACATATTGAATTCCAAAATGTATCAATCCTTCCTTCAAGTATTGAACAATAGGTCGATAAAGTCGTTTTTGTGACAGGCGTAGAGGTACACTTACTTTAGTAAACTGCTGTGATTGTGAATGTGGATTAGCACATACACTGATATAATGCTGTATATTCTTTATTTTGCTATTTTTGTGGAAAAGTTTAAGGGCTAAAATCCAACTTGTTCCTTGTCTAATTTGCTATGGGTTCGTGCCTAAGGACAAGCCCTTATTGCACATTCATCTTCATATATTTGATAAACTAGGTCCAATGTCCACTTTGATCATGAATGTTTACAGACACTGCTAATGTGGCTAACTCCTGCTGGTGTGGTAGACCGTCTTAGTTGAATGGTTAGAAAAGCACATATCCAGGTCACACTGTAACTTGTCGACCTGTGCTGTGACAACAGAAAGTCTTTACCGGGTGATTTGGGTGTGTTTGATATCTAGTTTTCTGTACATATGACGGACGTCTTATGTGAATGGTACATTTGGAGATGATTGTGTTGTTGCTGTAACTATTGTGTTGTCTTGATTTTTCAGGTGAAGTGAATGCTTTTCATTATCCATTATACAGAGCCATCCTTTTTGATAGAAAACTTTGTAGATTCTGTAAAACGTTTATGAAGTACTTTCCCTGTTCTGTGAGGTTTTATGTTTTGGACATTGTATTTCTGCATAAACATATTCATGACACAGCCACAATACTTAAATCAGCAGCACCTTATGAATATCTGTGCACAAACGATCAAATTATTACAAATGGATGTCATTATAGCTTTACTGGTCCATTACAATTCAACTAATCAATGATCACTACTTACTAATGTTTACAAAAGTATCATTAACACGAGCTGTTTCCATTATTGGGCGACAAAGACACTCACATTGAGCTGTCTAGAATTAGGTTGGAAATCTTGAATGCTGTTGTAAAGAGTCATTCCCGTCATCTACATGGTGGGCAACCATTCTGTTTACAAAGTAAGTCTTAAACATGTTCTTGTGCAAATTTTGAACTGCATTTCTGAATATTTAATAAATGGTTGACTTATTTATCCAGCCGAATGACTGATTGATGTTGCTTATACAATGTTTCTAGCTCATCCTTCAAATCTTTTCAATCCAAGGCATCTCAACAGGTGGGCCCAGCGCTCATCTATTCATTCTGTTTCTAGTTCTGGCTTCAAAAGTTGGATTATAATTCTATTGACTCTCAGACCACTAAGAGTGCTTACCACATATAGTCCCTTTTAATGGTTAGTTTGGGGGAGAAGTTAATGTTGCTAACATTAGTATATCATTTGAATATACTTATCTTTATTTAGGCCTCCAAGATGTAGTTATCCATGTGTGACACTTGGAGGCGTATGCAGACTAAACAATTATAATCACAGCACTTTGTCGCTCCAATTTCCTGTCTGAATGCTGGGGGCTGATGAACACAGTAGGTCCAAGTTTGGTGCACAAAGTTTTGATCAATCAGAAAAAGAAGCACATTTGTTAATACTCGTAATAATGATAACTCATATAATATATATAAATAGGCCTTCTTACATTTATTTTAAATTACTTGTATTACTTCAGGTAGATTGAGCTTTGTTTTTTTGCAATCTTGGTATGTCTCGCCACCGGTTAGTCAACTTCTCACAGTTAAATGACATGAAGAGTAGATATTACAATAACACAAAATTACCAGATGTTCTATCACACATCAGCTCTAGGGAAGACAAAAGCTGCTTCCGAGGGAATAAAACGTTTCTGTACCGGCGTTTCTTGTTTAAATGTAATGACAGACATGTTTTGGTAACCTACCTTTAAAACATGAAGGCCTTGGCCAGTTCCAAGATCCATCCTCATAGGTCTGTCCACAATGCATTGCTCACTACAGCACTTAACTCTTACAAAAACGATATTTTGACTTTTGGCAGTGCATTTCTCAGAAATTTGAAGTTTGTCTAAGGATTATGACTGCAGCCATATAGTTATTAACAAAATCATATTCTGGATCTAAAGCGTTGCAAATACTCATATTATTGTGTACTCACATAATCTATGAAAAGCCACTATTCAGGATTGAAATATTTAGAAATTAATGCAAAATAAATTAACTACTCATTCCAAAATTGGTCAACTAACATCGACCGATTAATCAACAACTAAACAGTGACAATAGACATCAAACTATTTTACAGCTGCTAAATATTCAATATAGGCTTAATTAGTTGGCTTAGGAGGCTAAAATAATGGGCTTCTTTACCTAGCCATTAAACAACGTGTCTGGAAGTCGGATGGGGCCACAGCATGTCTTACTATGGCTCTCACGCCCACGTCACTGCCTCTGCTGCCAAGATGAAAAAAAATAAAAAATAAAAGGTGACGTACGCTCCCGCAACGACGCGAAGCCCTTGCGCTCCCTGTGAGCAGGTGCTGAGAGATGTATCCAGAAGAGGACAGGGCGAGAAGGGACTGCAATGGCAAATGTTAGATTATAGTTCGACCTGGGATTATTACGGCAAAGAAACTGAAAAACCTCGCAACAATGAGCGCGTCTTTCCCTCAATCTGACTCCACCACATCACTGCTCAAAACATCCACCGCGCAAAGGCACAGGAGAAGTCAGCACAGCCACCCGCGTCCCGGAGAGTCCCACTGGCCCACGGAAGGGGACGTCACAGCCCGGAGACCACTTTACTGTCACCCATCGCTCACGGACAATTACCACGATGTCCAAAACCAACTGGACGCGCGGGAGCTGAGTGACGAGGCGGACGCGAAGGAGCGCTCCGGCAAATCTCACAGACACCACAGCCACCACCACCACCATCATCATCATCACCACCACAGGAGGAAGCACCACAGATCGCCCCAAGATGACCCTGCTCCACGCGGACCACAGCAGCCCGAACCTGCGCGCCGCTGCCACACGCACCCCCCATCACGCCACGCTTCAGAAGAGCTGTCCGAGTGCCACGATGACCGAGCTCCGCTGTTTGGGGACCAGAAGGCAAACGCTGTGGCGGTGGCGGCTGCGGGTGCAAACGGGGCTCGGGTGAAAGGGAAGAGAGACGGTGGCAGCAGCTCGTCCCCCTCCACGTGCTCCCCGGTGCCTTTGTCTAGCAGCAGTTCGTCTCGGAGGTACCGCAGGTCAAGCGCCGTGTCGGTGGTGTCCGACTGCCAATTACGCACAATCCTGAGCTCGCTTTTTGGCCAGGTAAATGATATTGGTCTGAGGATGTGATGATGTGATAATTACCGTATAAGCAGGCGTGGGAATCTAACTTTTGTCATTGTCCCAACAAAGAGAATCTTGTACAATTCTGTGCACAAACCTCATGTCTGCATCTTATTTGTTATTTTTTTTATTCATTTGCAGAGCCATGTGCGTCACCGCACCCACAAGTGGCTGAGCCAGAGTGGTCCCCTCGTCTTTACTTTTCTGTCTGAAAAGCCGATCTAAAGATGTGACAGAGCTCTAAAAATGTCATGTTTGTGAAAAGTACCAAATTATTCTGAGAGATAGGAGCTTTAGTTCATTGTTGAGGTTTGAGGATTAGATAAAAGAGCTTTAAAATCACAAGCAGTGTAAGCCTATAGTATGAATTTCTCTGCTTAAATATATGTCTGGTGGCTTACTTTAAAGCAACAGTACGCAATTTTATAGAGGTGGAAAATAACCTGTATGATACCACGAATATTCAAATGAAAAATCCTTCTCTTTTTATTACCATGTTGTGGAAGATCAAAAGAACAGTAGGATGAGCGAACTCATCTTCTCACATTTAGGACACATGTTTTTCATAATAAGAAGGGCTGTATTGCACATCCCATTTCATTGTTTGTATCACTAAACAGTGAGTCATCTTTATAGAGCATTTCACAAGGCTGCATGAAGCACTTTACAATTTTTCTCATTTACTCCACGCTGAGTGATGACAGAAAGGCCTCATCTGGAGGTGGAATCCAACCCAGGACCTTATTTCTGGGAAGTATCACTGTTTCCCTGTGCTCTTCATATATATTGTTTACATAGACAGCAGTGTGTTTTGGAGGGTATAAGACACTATTCTACACATAGATCATTAATTCACATTTTGCTTCCTGTCTGCAGCAATATTCTTTTGAAATAGCAACCCGTAACAGAAACCGGTTAATTTCGTTGATTAACCTCTCTGTAGTTGCATTTCATGGTATTTCTTAAATTTCCATGTGTTTTTATTGGTGCAGAGAATTGGGTTTAAGAGACGTTTTCAGAATAATCTGATGATGAGGCAATGCGGCTATAACACAATTAAAAAGCTCATTAGTTCATCAGTAATACATCCTGTTATCAAATGATTATGGCATTTTGTTTGGTCGACAATGCTCAATGGCTCTAAATGTTTTTCATCCAAATATGGTCCTATTAGAGTCAGTTTGGGTTCAATACGTAAACCTCAATCTCCATTTAGTGTTTTATTCTAATGTGTGTGGAGCCATTTGCAAAACAACAAATTCAAGTTTCTCTGTGGACATTATGTGGCTATAGCCTAATTATAGCCCTTTTGGGAATGGTGGAATCTGGAATGGCATTAATGGAAAAGTAGTGTTTGTTGTTTAATTGAAAGTTTTTTGCTCAGTTTTTTTCTTCCATTGTAGCAGTTTTATTTGCTATTGCAGGCTATAATGCTGTCTGCCACATTGTCATTACCCATTTCTTATGTAATTTGAAAAGGAAACAGAGCCAGATCTCAATCAGCGAGGAGAGTAGCCATGATGTTTGAGTGGACTTGTGCAGCAGATAAAACAAAAAGGTCGGGAATCATTGATCTTTTGTACAAGGAGACAATTGTGTACATCCGTCATCTGCTTTGTGATGTCTGAAAACAAGGATGATTCTGATGGAAAGAGCCTGAGCCAAATATCTATTTAGATTTCCTGGTTGCCAAACAGTGCTGTCAATTTGCGTAATTTAGACAAATATTAGATGGTCTTATAATAGTGTGAAATCAGGCGTTACATTGTGTTATATAAACATCGCTGGTTCTACACACAGAAACCGAGTAAAGTAAACATTGCCCTTGACCAAAGACACGCTGGATTCAATATAGATAAGTGGTCATTCAAGGACTATGATGTTATATGACTGCAAATACCCTGCAGTCGCTCTGAGAGCACGGAGGAAACTGGTGTACTCTGGTTGTGGCAGGTTGTGCTGTGAACGAAATGTTGTTGACTGTTGTGTTTGTTGAATATAAAATGCCCAAAGCCCGACTACAGCTGTACAATGGAACAAACACTCAAAATAATTAAAACATGGAAGTTGTTTCACAAAAATAAGATCCCTGAAATGTTGAGGTTTTGGCATCATATTGGAGATGTAGAAGGGTCAAATCAATGAAAACAGTTCTGGGTTTACGTTTACAGTATTTATTGGTAGAATAATTGTGTTTTCTAATGCATTTGAAAAATGATTTAAATCGATCCAAATAGAAAAGATGTGGATTTGAATCTTTTTTGTTTATTCTCGTCTATTCCAAATACAGCGCTGTCGAGGAGAGATTCCCTCCTGTTGTGGGACTGATGATGCTGCTTTAGAGGTCGCTCTGACCTTGTGCGTGCCTCAGAGGGCAGACACAGATGAGTGGAAGAGCCACATGCATTAGTAATAGTCACACGTACGAGCACAATGTGAACAGACTCAAGTCAAATAAATGACTTTGTTTCATCCTCTCTCAAACAGAACATCACACATTACATCTGAGAGAAGACCCTGAAGCATAATTCACAGGTGGAGCTGTAAAAATATTTATGAACGTAGGTCTCTGAAAGACAAAACAGTACAAGTTCAAATGTAATATATATTTGTGATCAAATCTTCTTCAAGAATGATTAAAACAATATTAGCCGTTTTTACCACTCTTTTTGGTTATGACACGTTATTCTTTCAAAACCGCTCATGCTTGGAACTGGCACAAAAAATAATAATGTAACCATTTGAGTTACTTACTAAAAACATATAAATATAGGTTTATACCTCTGCCAAGGAGGTTATTTTTTCATCAGGAAATCAACTCATAAGAATAAAGATACTGCTTAGCCTTTTGCAGGAGCCTTAAGTTGCTCACAATGCTTCACTAAAGTCACTATCCCTGACTTCTGTGCCATCGGTCCACCCACCACCACCATTAAACTCACTCTCCACTGTTCTGGGGTGCTGGGGGAAACCAACCAGCCACTTTCTTATGAGGCACTCATGACCCACAGCCACTCATGATCGTATTTAAGTTGAATTGTTGCCATTTTGTGTGAAAAAATCTGTGAAATACAAAGCAATGTTCAGACATGGAAACAGACACAAACACACACAGACACACACACACCATACACATTTTGTTGAGATCCACTGCTTTTAACAAAAAATGAATGAATTGGACATAGAAATATATGAATATAGATAACAATCTAATCAGCTGTTTAGAATCTGCATTATAGTAATCAGACACATGCCATCTCTGCATTGCATTCTCTATCAGGATTGTAAATCAAGATAGTATGGTCTTTGCAAATCTGAAACGTGTTTCTCAGGTGATGACTGTGTGGTGATAATGGAAACCCTCCTCTTGTCCTTTCATAGGCATCCGTCTCTTTCTGTGGTCCAGGTCTCGTTGCTCTTCTCTTGTGAAACCACTCTCGCTCATTCTCTCGCTCATTCTCTCTCTCTCTCTCTCTCTTTCTCTCTGCTCATCATTTGCACTACAACATGTTTCCATTCAGGTCAGCCTCCAGAAGAAACTTTTAGTCTGCTTGAAATCTAGGTTGGCTGCTGTTCGGCATGGGTCTCGCGGTTACCAGAGTACGGTCTCCTTTCAAAATGCAGGCCACTGTTTTGACAGAAAGAAGGTCCTCGTGGTCTGTTTTAATGCCTCTTTTTTCTATTGGTATGGGGAACTGTTTACATGCACCTCTCTCAACGGTAAGACACGAGTGCACTTAGGATAAAGCTACCAAATAAAACTGTTTGTCAAATCATTCACTTTGAGAATAGAAATGACACACATTATCACACCATATTCAGTTATAACCTTTAGCATTTGACCATAATGTATTACAACAACACTCTTTTTTCACAACACTGTTTTTTATATTTTAAGGTTAGTACTGTTTTCCATTTCTAAAGCTATATCTGACTTTCAAACCACAAAAACAAGAGCCACATAATACAATCTATGTAAATAATCTCTTGCTTTCAAAACACCTGTTCTGGTTTGGTCACAGAAGGTTTCTTTTACAAAACTCTTTCTGTTGGAACTACCCCAGTTTTGATATAAAATCTCAGCGGTGGTGGTCTGACATGTGGCAGCTTTGCTTTCAACTGTGTGAGGAGTGAACAAAGAATACTTTAAAATTGTAAAGTGCTTTGCGACGCTGGTCTGTGATAAATTAATGAAAATGAAACTATAAAACCAATTCATTTGTTTTGTTTTGTGGCTCTTTGCTGCCTTTTCAGTCTCTGTGTTTACAGTTCTGGTGACAGTGTAACGTGTGAGATGCCCATCTTTGCAATGTGCAGAGTAAACTGTTATGAGCGATGAGTGGAAAGTTGGCATCCTGCAGTTTTATTGATGCCTTTGCTGTTTCTGCAATGTTTTTTGGTTTGTTATTTTTTTCCAATACCCAGCACTTCCTGAATCACTTGCATAATAGTTTCACTGAGAAGCATCTGCTATTTTTGAGTTTATGTAACAAAGGCTTTTGTAGCTTCCTTATAGCCCACCTTATGAGTCCCTGTCTAAGATTTCTGAATTTGTTTCTGATTTCTGTAGATTAATCTGAATGATAGAAACTATATGCATTATAAGTGTGTGTTTTAAAATGCATAATTGCTTATATCTGAGCCCCATATAACTTTCAAAGAACAAATGAAATATTCTGGCTCAAAAACTGGATTTATCACTAGTTTTCACGTGTAAAAACGAAAAAAGTGAGAACCACCCTCACTCTCAAATGATGACCCGCAGTGCTCTTTCTACAAGTAAATAGCCTGCTTTCAGATAAAGTTAGCCTGCATTGGTTTGTGTTCTTCATTAAGTGTTAGTTTTACAAGAGTCTTTATATTGAGACAAGCAAAACGTGAAAAAGTGTATGAACTATTTCTTTAAGCCAATCATGTAGATATAAGCAACTGCAATATTCTTTAATTCATTTTCCTTTAAGATCACAAACAACTCGACTTTCACATGTAGTCCCCATACAGACATGCACCAGGCATAACAGACGACATAGTGAAACATCTGTAGGAATAACAGTCCCCCCATCACTCCAGAGTGTGACTTCTATTGCTCACAACAACCAATAACTTTCAAATGTTCAACACTTCGAGAATTCACATTGGTTAATGGCAGAGAATCTAAAAAATGCCACTGTGTAGTATCAAGAGGGCCGTTGTAATGTAAATCTTTTATCAGCCTGTGTGGAGTGAATGGAAAATGAAATGTGCTATGTAAAAAAAGATGATTTAAATACTAAAGATGCATAAATAGTGTATGAAACAGGAACATGTATGGATTTCAGCTTCTTGTAGTGAACTTGAATTACACTTTCATAAAGGATTGTTGTAACCCAAGAAAAACAGAGAAGGTATTAAATTCGAGATGAGCTAAAACCGAAAGTTTTTTGCCTTTTAACATAAAAAGTAGTGCCCCTTAAAATAGTGTTGCCAATTTCTCAGGTGAAATTACCTGAGGTTGTATTTGCAGCCGGTAATTTTCAAATATGGAAAAGAAAAATCACGTTTACATCTCTCTGTGGAGATGGCATAGTGATAGTGCAGGCTGATAGCAATGTTTACCGTTCATACTTTCACCATTTTCTTTCTACTTAGGAGAGGATTTCACATTCTAAAAAATGTGCAACAATAACAAATAATGCATTTTTGCTTTCTGTCTGTTTCGCCTGAATGTCCAAGCAGTGTCGTACAAGGCCAGATCAGTTAACAGTGTTTTGTCTTGCTTCATTTTTAGCATCTAATCAATCATCAGCCCATGTCTCATCTGACCACAGCAGTATTTGATGTGACGTTGTTGTCTGTTTGGCCTCGTGAGTTCCGGTCAGGCTGTTTTGGGTCTGCCCTGACGTCACTCGTGTTGTGTTTAGACGTCCCTGAGCTCCTGCTGTTAACCCCTAAGGCTTCTGGGATGTGTCTCTCTCCCATCCTGCCCTTTAATGGTGTGTTCATCGAAAGCAAATGCCAGAAAAGACACAGCCACATTCTCCTGAGAATTTCAAGGCAACCATTTCTGTCACTATTGATAAGAATCAGCTAACTTCCTCCAAATGGTTTTATCATTTTGACACAAAACGCAGAAGTTATGTTTGTTTTGGAAGAGAGTGACATAGTGGATAACAATTGTAAAGTTTTGTGACAGGGGTCCCTGAAAATCGCTAAATGTTTGTGTTTACTTACCAAGGGAGGTTTTTGATTCTATTTTTACCACTGAGTTGAACTGAGGGTATGGGTGTTTTTGTAAAGATTTGTCAGGTTTCAAGAGACGCACTTGTTTTAAATATTGTACTAACTTGTGCTTCAATGATTACAGGACAGAGAGCTGCGGCCAGAAGAGCTGGAGGGTAAGTCATTAATGCAGTGTCTTTGGTATATTCTTTTAATATAGAAATAGCTCAAACTAATCCAATGTTTGTGTTTTACCATTAGAGTTGAGAGATGCGTTCAAAGAGTTTGACAAAGATAAGGACGGATTCATCAGCTGTAAAGACTTGGGAAATTGCATGAGGACGATGGGATACATGCCCACAGAAATGGAGCTCATCGAACTGAGCCAACAGATAAACATGAACTGTATGTATTTTCTACCACTGTCAGAAACTGCTTTACTAGAAAGTCCCCTGCATGATTCAATGGAAATATACAATTTGTTTAGGTGACTTAGAGTAAATAATAGATGAAACAATGATATATACATTATTAGGCCATACCATGGAACACTCACCCACCTCATTGTGTGCGCCTCGCCCACTTTTACTTTTGAATGTGGAAAAACTGCATTCATTCACTACATTCCTTGCATTTGACTTTTGAAACATTTTTTCCAGGAACCGTGAAAATTGTGTTTTTCAGTCAAAAAGTTACAAACATGCTTTGATATGAGCACATTTTTTGGCTAAAAGTCTTATGTAATAAAACGTTACACTATTATTGTATTAGTATAGTTGAGAGTATAGCAATTTTTGTTTTGATCCAAATTCTATGACAAACGTTTTGGTATTGATTTAATTCCAGTGGTTTAGCACATTCATTATTTCATTGTTTTATCCTCAGTGGGAGGTCATGTGGATTTTGAAGATTTTGTGGAACTGATGGGCCCTAAACTCCTCGCCGAAACAGCAGATATGATTGGTATAAAAGAATTAAAAGATGCCTTTAGAGAGGTAAGAATTCTAAAAATGGAAATTATTTTGATTGTTCCTAAAGTCTTTTTCTTTTTTCCACACAAGTTTGACACGAATGGAGATGGTGCAATAAGCCCTGCTGAACTACGTGATGCAATGAGAAAACTTTTAGGGCAGCAGGTAGGATATAGATCAAGTTTTTAAACCACTGCCTGAGGTTTAACATGCCCCAGTAACCTGAAAAAAACATTCTAGGTCGGGCTGAAAGAGGCTGAAGATATTTTAAGAGACGTGGACTTAAATGGCGATGGACTTGTGGATTTTGAAGGTAAAACTTTGCTACGTTTTGCGAAAACTATTTTCTATATGTCTTTCTATAATAATCAACACTGCTCAGACATTGTTTTAAAGAGTATCTACTAAGTGGGCCAAGCAGGTCCAAAAAAGTTGTTAGTACTGGTGAATAAGGCCAGAAACGCGTATCTGTGCTGAGTAGAGTAGAATAGGGTCAAGTAGGAAATGGGGCTTTACTATTGAGTAAGTTAGACAAGCTGTGGCCCTTACATCAGCTTCTTATGTCCAACCTAGAAGTCAAACTTAAAAACTGAAAAATAACATTTGAATACATTACTAAATATATTATATAAAGATATGACACATTTCCTTTTAAATAAAATGTATGGAATGCTGAAATGTGTGGTGTAACCATTGATACAGGATTTAATTATCTCTTTTCCTTCCAGAGTTTGTTCGAATGATGTCGCGTTAACATCACACTGGTGGTTTTGAACGCGAAGCTGCCAATACTTGACCAGGACCAATAGAGAACACAGACACCTCTCTGAGCTAATCAAGTTACACTGGAATCAAAGTTTTATAGAACAAGAAGCCACCTCACTCAAAAAAGAAGTGTTCTTCCCGATACTATAAGAGTTCAGCCAATGCCGAACTTGCTGTAGCCAATGATTGTCCATTTTATGTTTTTTTGCACTTTATTCTCTTCTTATTAACTTCCTGTTTGATAGGTTGTTAGTGTCCTGTCTCTAACATTAGTAAAGCTGTCAGAACGTGAATGTAGATAAGTGTAGACAAAAGAGGTGCACTGTTATACATTGACCAAGGAGTCACACAGTGCATTATCTGAATGTTTTTGTGTGTTGTCCTTGTGTGGCAAGGGTTCTCTATTAAGAACCATGACACAGCGTTAACTTGTAAATCTGTTCGTCTGGCCACCTGTACGACTTCACTGTGCTGTTAGGCTATGAAGCCACTTGTACGTCTGTGGGGATTTCCAGTCATCCAGGTCAAAAGAGTTAATAAGCTAAACTCTTAATTAAAAAATACAATGTTTAAATGGGTTTGTATAAAGCTGTATTCCCAGTGCACAGATTTATGAATCATGGTTATGGTACTATGTCCATTTAATGCATTCTGAAATGTTCAAGAACTGCCATTCCAGAGTGAAGCAAAATGTTATCCTTTACAATGGAAATACATTAGTGGATGAAGTATGTCAAAGGGAAATATATCCAATGATTCTTGTTTTTTGGGATTACATGAGGCTCTCTCTGTATAACATGAATCGAGCCTCATTGGCCCAGTACAGCGGGCTCAATGACGCAGGAACACCCCAGCAGCGTGCAACTATTGTGTTCACCAATCGTGGTCATAGACCGCATAAAACAAGATCCACTAGCACAAAGCTAATGGGTAATTATTTTGAGTTTTTTCATCTGTTTTATTTTGAAAACATTTTGATTTAATATGAATGTTGTCCTATGTGTAACAGCAGAAATAATGTACATTTTTCACAATGCTGAATGTTTATGTATGTAGGCCTTCATGTGTTATTGTCAGTGATTGTAGTGGTTTTATGCCACTCCTGTCTTGTCAAAGCAATTATTATGCATGCCAAAGAGATACTTTTACCAAGTTGTATGCACATTTTAGATTCATAAACATTTGCCAAGATGACTGTAGAAAATTAAAAGATGTTTACATGCCAACACTTTCTATATCAGTTATACATATCCTAATGGTGCAATTGTGATGAAAGCTGTCTCTAAATAGGTTATTACCATTATAGTCAATACCATCATGTAAAATTAAAGAAGACCTACTCTCACTGAATCTCATAATATATTTATACAGTGCCGCATTACACTGATATACAATGCTCCAGTGCTGTATCGCTACATGGCTCTTCGGTTGATGCTTTTTATGTAGCCAAAAATAACTAAAACTGTCAGTAATGATAAAGACCATTCAATTGCCAATCCACATATTTCTGAATAATGAGAACCTATTTACAATGAAAATTATGTATTATTGTGATTGTGACTAGGTCCTCACATGGTTTCATAGCTCTAAAATATAAATCTTTTACCCATTGAGAAGTTTGTTGTTTTTAGTATTGAACTGAGGGGTATGAAAGCTGCTCTCTATACAGAAATAGCCTACATTACTAGTTTTTGCCTTCTCTCACAGATTGATATCAAAAGTAGAGATAACCACCCTCTCTCAGCCAATCAGCATTCAGCCCAAAGAGCATGACTCACAGAGTACTTTCATACAGAAAAGGTAAAAATGTCTTCTAATGACATGAAGATAGCACACTGAGGTCTGATTTGTTTGAAGGATAAACAGTGTGCGCCATTTATCTAACAAAATAGCTAGGAACCCCAAAATGATAAGACTATATGAATTTGAGGCTAGAATTCACATAATGCTGAGTTTCAATGAAAGAGGCATCCAGGAGCACCTGTCCGACTGAGGTAATTCTGTTACCATGGAAACTATCTCCATTCATTCCACGCGGGGCCAGCCTCCGAGTGAGCTGCGTTGGACTTTTGTGATTGGACGAGAGAACCCGGAATGAACCATGTCAAAGGGTAATTCTGTGAATTTAAAACAGCACATTTGGGAAAATAACCTATTTTTACCGTCTATGGGAATTAACCGTGACATTATTTTAGAATAGCTTATTTTTTATGGTGCTGGGAGCCCGTTCAAATGGTAAGAAAGCAGCTGGGGGTCATCCACGGGTACTGTGGTTGACCACCAGCTTTACTGTAAGTGCTGTTAAGCTTAAAATTCGGTATTTATCTTTTATTTATTTATTATTACTGCACATTTTATCACCACCTCTGTAAATAGGAGCACCATCTTGAGTTTGAAATGTTGACTTTATTTCATAATGCACAAATAATTAAAAAAATATAACATTTAGGACTTATGCAGTTTTGTGACTGTGATTAACTAGACTCATCTTTCTTTGATTGGTTGGAGTTTCTGTCAATCACCTTCAGTGTGAAGTTCCGCGTCCCGCCCCCTCCGCCGCTGTAGCTAGCTGTACGTAGTGGCAGCACATTGAATGAAAGTCAGTCCTGCAGCCTGTTCTCCACGAACTGAGGGGAACATTTCCACGCTGTCACCTTTTATCCTTTGATAATACGCACATGTTACTGCTACATCATATAAGCTATTCTTATAAAGCGTGGCCACAAAACACAGACGATATTTCTGGGGAAAGGTGAGTATTTGCCGAACCAAGAATTTCTGGTTAGACAGGTAATGTTAGCTAAAATTGGTTCATGATACTTTGTGAATTTTCCATGTTATACTTTTCATTTGACTATGAATACTAAGCACGAGTGTCTGTGTAATGTTAAACACCTAGTCTGAAACGGGTGTTTCCTTATAATTTCCGTTCTTAACATGTTGGAGTTCTTGTGCTAATGCTACTACCGGTTTCACGTTAGCCATGTAGCTATTTAGGAGTAATTACGTGTCTTTAATGCGTCCCTCTCTTTGCTTGGTTTTGCCGATGAGCCACAGACCTACTTCGATTATTATGTTGTACTTTAGACGTTTGGTATATTGAATAACAATGTCCTGGTCTCTAAATGCAGCTCATTTTCATTTAGACATGCATCTTGGAGGTATCATGTTGCAAGACTGACAAGACTGCTAGCTTTCCCTGCGAAGTGACCCGCAGATATTCAAGTGACTATAAGAGGACACTGTTTTTCAACGAATAGTGTCTCTGGCATGTAAAACAACTTTCCCATTTGTTTAGAATCCCAGAACAAACCAGCAAAGCAGCAGCTTCAGTATACATTAAATTGGAAAATTCAGTTTTTAATATTGTAAAAGTATTGTCACCAACTTGAATAATAAAATATATGTTTGCTGCTGATAATTTTAAAAGAACAGAAGTCTCTTCCTGCTACACTTTAGAATTATCAAGTCCCAATGAGTATGATCTGTGATCACACTATTATATATGAGCATTATATATTTCATTGATACACTTTACTTTCTAAGAGTACTCTCCTCTTCACAGGACCAGGCAGTGTGTGGTCATGAAGTGGGCCACAGCTCGACAGGTCACTGGGCTTCTTGCTGCAGTGCTGTTGCTGTTGGCAGAGCAGTGCTGGGCAGACGGTGGTGGCCCAAGTCTCACAGAACGGGTCATTTGGGCCGTAAACTCTGGTGGGGAGGCCCATGTGGATGTGCATGGCATCCATTTCAAGAAGGACCCATTAGAAGGAAAGGTTGGTAAAGGTAAGTTTATGTTATTCTGCTTTATTTTGTATAATGATAAATGTTGATAATCTACAATTTTATTTTGTCAAATGTTAGATCATCTTTATAGCTTAATATTGAGATATATCATGATCTCATTGTGTCTTGACCTATGTATTGTGATGCAAAACATATTGTCAGATACTACTAATGCACACCTGTTATCTTAAGTTTCAACTGGCCATCATATGTGCTGGACATGGGTGAAACGTAATACAATTTTTTACTTGAAATAACGAATCTTAAACAATACCCACTTGTCTTTTGTTGATTGGTAAGGTTGGCTCTACTGCAACAGTAAAGTTAAATTAAATTAGTACATTAGTTAAGACCATGTTATAGAAATGGAAATGAGATTAGGGTTTATGTTTATGCGACCTCTGGCTCAGAGCTGCAGCTGCAGCTTTGGGAGTTTAGCTGGCGTGGCTGAGAGTCAGTGGAGAGAGAAGACGACCGCCCCAGCCTCTTTTGGAATCAGAGCAGTGATCCACCAGCTGAATCGTTCAGCATTGCACATTATTCACCCATAACCATGACAACCAAAGAAAAGGATAAAGAGTTGATTGCCTTAAGGTTAACCTGTAACCTCTTGTGTTAAAGTTAAAATGACAGTTTTACTCTCACTATTCCATAGTGAAAGCTTAATTTGACAGTATTTTTTGGGTCAAGTTTGTTGCATTGTATCTGCAAACTCAGGATTCAGCATCAAGAACCAAAACTCAGCTTCTGCTCAAAGAGGAAGTGGCTGGTGATTGAATCTACATCTGACATTTTGGCTGTAGTGATAAGAAATGGAGGAAATTTGAATCAAATTTGAAACAAATTCACTGAACTTATTTTGATCAAAGTAAATGATTAACTTAATATATTGCAATCTGTTAATAAGTTGATCATCTAGTGGTGTTTAGTCTAAGAGGAAGTGTTACATTTATTCAACTTGTATTCAAAAATAATGTCATGGTTAGTTAATAATAAAGTAAAACAAAAAAAAAGAGACCTAATTGGTATTTTTATTCCCTTTTTTAAACTATAACCTGGGTGTGTCTCTGAGGACTTCCCTCCACTGAAAGGGGCGGTGGTGAAAGCAGGTCCACAATATGAATCAGATGTGCTGAGCTATTATGCTGTAGGAGGATAAAAGGATAAAACCCAGCCCCGGCTCCAAAAGGTACATGGAGCATTTGTTTTCGAAACGGCCTAGTATATCCGCTGTGGACTTCAGAATCAACTCGTTAAATGAATGGGGCGCGTGCCGGCTAACGCATCCGGAAATGTGTTCATTTTTATATTTTTTTCGCTTTTTCCTGCCCCGCAGCCGTTTTGAAAAAGCCCACAGAAGGCAAAAGTGGTGGCACATTAGTTTCAACTGCCAAGGTGTGACAATGTTTGTTAATTTTTACAGTCTGTGGTCAAATCTGCTTTTAGCAAGGTATGAGTATCTGAACTGAACTGAACTGAACTGAAAAAAGAAAAAACTCAAAAAGGGAACTTGCTCCGGGTCAAATGCCATGTGTATAAAAAGACTGTCAAACCAGTTGACATTTTATAAAAAAATTTTTTTAGCAGATTTTCTTTCTTTTTTTGAGATAACAATTGCATGCATTGATTTGTAAATGTTCAATTTTAATCTGATGATACTTTATTTGTCATCAGCATCTGATTATGGGGTGCGTCTTCCAATCCTCCGGTCTAGTCCTGAAGACCAGATTTTGTACCAAACCGAACGCTACAATGAGGACACATTTGGATACGAGGTGCCCATTCGAGATGAAGGAGAATATATATTAGTTCTGAAGTTTGCAGAGGTTTACTTCGCGCAGTCACAACAAAAGGTAAACCTAATAGATTTTTTTTTTTTTTTATGGAATAATTAGGTAGGTAGGACTGAACATAAAATGTTTTCCCTGTATTTGTAATTACTCTAAATGTACATTGTAAACATCGATCATCATAATAATTTGTTGGTTTGATACAGCGCTTTCACAGCATTATTCATTTACTCCATATATTGTGGTGATAAACTACTACTGTTGCCACTGCTGCCCTGGCATAGACTAGCAGAAGTTGGGGAACCAGTAAGTTGGTCGGCCCCTCCAACCATCACCAACCATTCACACACACACCAGACTTTACACTTTACAGCAGCAGCCACCCCACTGTGGCACCTGATGTTCCCAGAGGTCTCCCATCACAGCACTAACCATTGGCACTATGTTGTTGCAGGTCTTTGATGTCCGTCTGAACGGCCACATAGTCGTAAAAGACATGGATATATTTGATCGCGTAGGCCACAGCACGGCTCATGACGAAATAGTTCCCTTTTCTATACGACGAGGAAAGCTCAGCGTCAAAGGAGAGGTGTCCACTTTCAACGGAAAACTCACTGTGGAGTTTGTCAAGGTACATTCTATTCTATTCATCGTTTTACCGACGAGCTCAGGGGTCTCCACCTTTTTTTTCGATTCGGAGAGCTACTTTTTTAAAAACAGAAATGGCAGAGAGCTACTCCTTTTAGCAGACGTAATACAATTGTAGACTATAAAATAACTACAGCCAATCATGGAGAACGCACATGCATATGAATTAAAATAGGTATGGAATGACAATCATTCAGGATCATGTGTTGAATTCTTGAATCCTTAAGAGAGCTACCTGAAAGGGGGTGGCGAGCTACCAGCTCAACTACATTAACGTCTTACAAACTGGACTGATGGCGACCTGGAACAGTCACATGATAAACCACGCGCTTTATGAGCAATGATGGAGGCCATGCAAATTAGCAACAGCGCCACATTTATGGTTATATCACCCGCCATGATTAGTCTTGCTTTTATATTTAGATGTTTACAACTGTAACACAAAAAATGTACAGGTAAATCTGAAACCTGTCACTATTGTGATTGAGAAGGTTATGATGAACTGATTTGATGGATTTTGATGCTTTTGTCTTCTAGGGATATTTTGACAACCCAAAGGTCTGTGCTCTCTATGTTATGAAAGGAACACTAGATGGTAAGTTGTAATAACTACAAGTTAATGTATTTTGAATTGTTTATGTCTTTTATTAGTGTTACTTGATTATATTGTACGGTCAGTTACAATTCCAATACAAAGGGTTAAATAAAGGAAAACCTTTTCTCATGTGTGTGTCTTTATTTTGGTCATGACGGTGGTTGCTAAGGACCTCTTGAGGACATAAGTTTTCTAGTCCTCACCTGTGTTTGAGTGTAATGAATGCATGTTTAAAACGGAGGAGTTGAAACTATTTGTTTTCTTCTATTACATAGACGTACCAAAACTTCAACCTCATCCAGGTCTGGAAAAACCAGAGGAGGAAGAAGAGGAAGAGGAGGAAACGGAAGGAGGTGAGGAAGGGGGTAAGAAGAAGCTCACCCCGGGCTCAAAGACCAGGGTTCAGTCTGGGCCGCGAACACCAAACCCTTACGCGGCAGACAACAGCAGCCTAATGTTTCCAATCCTGGTGGCCTTTGGGGTTTTCATACCCACATTGTTTTGCCTATGTCGACTGTAAGATCCTAGAGAATGGACTATGACAGAAGGGAGCAAGGATGGCCCCACAGGTAAAGCATAAACACACAGGACAAGAAGACAAAACATGGAAGGACGATCTTATTTGGAAACCCACTGCAGATTATTCAGACGGTGCTATCAAAGGTGAATTGTGGGAAGTTTTGGCCATGCTTCTTGTGAATGTGTTTTGCATCCACCTATGCTGACCCTTTCTGAACAATCTTAGTCATTTTTTTCACTTGGACTTGGCAGGCTTTACTCCTGCCCAGTCATCTTCAGCAGCTTGTGGCTGCTCAGGAGTGACTTGTTTGGGCCTAAACAAAATCATAGGGTTTTTTGGTTTTGTTTGAGTGTAGTAACTGCACTTGGATCAACACTCCTGTTCAACATCTGGTCGACCCTGAAAAACGGCAGAAGAAAAAAATGGACGCCGAATAAGAGCTGCTAAGAAAGGACAGGAAACCAAGCAGTTAGTGGACATGCGGTTTGTGTTTTTAAGGAGTTTTCTGTGTGCCGAATCTGTCGTTTCGAGTTATTTTGCCATAAGGTTTTGGAAACTTATTACATACTGCCGTCATCCGGCACTTTACCCAACAGGCTACACTCTCGGATGTCATCTTGCCTTTATTTTGATATTGATTATGTTATGCCTGTTTAAATTAGTTTTTATTGTTTCATTCACCAAATACTGGTTTAGGACTGTTTCCCTTGGCAGCCTTTTCCCCTTTGAAGACATTGATGAATGCATTTAGTGAGAGGCAAAGTTTCTGTGCCAATAATACTTCAGGTCACTTGACCTCTTCAACTCATTATTTTCTAATGTTTTGTTGTTTCCTGAAAATCTTGTTTATTTTGCCTTTTTTTTACCTTACCAAATGTCTATCGCAATTGTTTACTTCAAATCCTTAATGTATATTTCTATTATACCTTTTTAAAAGAGATAATGAATTTAAATCCTCACTTCTCGACCTTTATGTACCTTTGTAGTTAGAACAATCTATTATTTAAAAAATATTAATGTGCCATGATTTGAGTGACGATGTATATTTATACTTAATGATCAAAGGAATTCTATAATCTGAGGTGCTAAATGCTCATTTACTGACCTCCTTCAAAAAGCACAATCTCAAAGTAATGTTTACTCGGGGGGAATGCTCCTGAAGTCATTTTTGTTCCCTGACTTTTTTAATTTTCAATGTAAATTTAAATACATTGGTTCAGATACTTTGCAAAAGTCTTAGTTGGTAGTATCTTCTGCCAAAGCACTGATCTCCCTCTGGAAAAGATCATTTCAATAAAATGTTGATTAGTGATGAGGCTAAATAAGCTTTATCTTGTGCTACAGAATCTTTTCTTTTTATTAAACGAAATCTAATCCTAGATTCTCTTCGAAGCTTTCTAATACTTTTGCAAAGTAGATGTATTTTAATGGTCTTTGTTCAAGCTTTTCTTGCTTGTTGTAAGTGCTGCCTTTGACAATGGTGACCTTATTTTGCGACTGAAAGCAACTTTATTCTTTGCAGAGCTGTGTTGTGGACCCTTTTGTCTCTCATTACCTTTCCTAATGCATTTTTCTGGTTCAAGACGCTGTTGTAACTTTGCCTGTTTCACTAATGCGTTTTAAATGTCCCACAAGACTCCCTCCTGCCTTTGGACTATTGCTTCATCCCAAATGCAGTACCTGACAAAAGGCTATGGACCTCTTTACTACTTTGAGCAAAAAAGTTGGTGCCAGAAAGTATGTAAACCAGGCTTTTGTTTCAATTCAATCAATTTCGTCCATTTTTTTCGACGCTACACAGCTGCGTGTGTTTGTTAGATACATGCTCACACTGGTGGTCTGACAAGCGACTGAGATCACTTTTATTTTGTAGTTATGGGAAATTATTCTTTTGAGACTTTTCATTTGAAGAAAGACGGTTGTCGGTACACTAAATATATGAATAGGCTGCAATAACATTTAACTGTCAAAGAAAATTAAATGACAATTTCTAACTATATGGGGGTTTTTCATTCTATTATAGTAAATAATTTAAATAAAAGGGGCTGGTCTGAAGATATTTTATGATCCACTTGATTTGTATGTTTGTTTTCTTCCTCAGGATCTTTTTGTTTTTTTAATTTTATTTTATTGGTGGTTATTTGCACTCATGTTTATTGAAAATAATTCTTGTCCTGTCATGTGTTTGTCACCTTGAATTATTGAATACATGGCTTTTCCATCACTCGCCTTGAGCTCACTCTTTCGTTGGCTTCATCTAAAATAAACATATTTTTTCTTCACCACAATAAAATGTTTTAAGAGACACTTTAATTTGACCAATGCTGCTAACTTTGAAACCACCAAAATCAACTATAATAAAATCCATGTAACTAGTTACTTGCTCTCAAAACAATTTGGTTCCATCACTAGTTTTCACATGCATTTATTTTTGGCCCGTGTCACATATTTCTGAAAAATCTGATCTCATGTAAAAAAAATAATATATTTTACAATAAGATGAAGGCCGCCTGTTGTATTTCTGAATTAAATTTTTCAAAAAAAAGAAAGATGCAAGATTTACTCAGATGTTTGGTGATCACACAAATAATAGCTGTGTCTTAGTTCACAAATTCATTATTGTAGACTTAAAGGGCAACATTTATCTCCATCTGAAACTTGCATTTCTAGATCTTTATTCTTTCACTTTTGAAGTAGCATAAGATCAGAAACACAATGGCCTGTACCATCAGTGCTGGTTCATTTCAACATTAAATAAGTAATGCTGAAAGTGTAAACCGTTCTTGAACCGAAGAGACCTAGATTTATCCCTGGACTTTATTCAGATGTGGCAGATATGTGCTGTCCCTTTTTAATAAATGTGCTATTTGACCAGAGCCAGTGGTGGTTTAAATTAAGCATTTCTCAAAACTGTAAACCCAATAGGTTGGACCATTGGGGAGTATGTCTTAGCATTCAGTAGCATTCATGCAGTGCGTTTTTGGACTGTTCCAATAAATTGTATAGATTTATTACATGCAAAATGACATGCCAAGCCTTTGTTATTTTTAATACAGGAATTCTATTAGGGGTTTTTTATTAGCTGTGAGCCATGATTATCAAGTAATGCTTGATAATATATGCCACAATATTTAATTGTGGTAATGTCATAGTTAACTCTTGATTAATTGCAACTAACCGCATAAATTTCCCTTTTCTAAATGTGCCGTGATTTGGTTTGAAAAGGGACTGGATGATGCAGAAAGGTTATTAATCCAATCCCCTCTGAAAATATTTGGATTGTCTAATATAGGCTACTCAAACTCTGCATGCTTTTTTACAGTGCATAGAACTATTTAACATCATAGAAATGAGTTTTACAGTTTGATAACCGCAGTGGAAAGAACTACAGCTTCAGGGTTTGTGCTGTGACAACAGTTACCCTAAGATAGGATTTTTTGGTGCTGATTTCAGATACGTGCCCGTGATAGAAGCCTGGAGCTCTAATCTACCAAAAATATGACCCATGTTTATGCACTGCGCAGTCTGTTTTGTTTCCGGCCTAGCCACAGCTACATTGGGACTGGGAGTGGTGGTTTTTCTAACGTGATTATCTATTATTATCTAAGTGTGCTTTAAAAAAAATGACAGGATTTTTGTCAACAGCGTTAATAACACGTCTAAATGACAATATTATCAACATAACAATGAATGATAATGTATCACTTATTAGTTTCACATTGAAAGTTCAATTACAATAAATGTAAGTGAACTTTTGAACAATGTTCTAATTTTCCGATTTTTCCGATTTTTGCATGTATATGGGAAGCATAGGGAGATGCTACTTTGAAATTGTCCTAATTCCTGAGGGATTTTTAGTGTAAGAAAAGTGAGGTCTCAAATGCAGTAAAATTGCAGTTTTTTTCTGGAACTATAAGAATGCATGTTCTGTCTGTACTATGTTTAGCAGAAATGCAGCAAACGCACCAGCTACTGTTTGTCCAGGTGCTGTTTTCTCTACCTTTCTGCACCAACTGTGAAAACCATGTCTCCAAATAGCCCCTCATATCTTAGCATCTGCAAAAAGCAGAACACAGCTGAACAAAGTGAACACCACCAGTCTATTGATAGAAGTCAAAACTCAGTAATTTTTTTTCCACAAGCCACTGTATTATTGTAATAATAATAACTGCAAAATGCCATAAATGCACACTTAGTATAATAACATTTATACAATAATATAATATATATATACTTTACAAAACATTACATTCATAAATTAATAAAAGTCCAAAAGTGCATGTATATTTTCCACCATTTGTGCTTTTTTGGTTGTAATCCAGTGGTTATTTGTAATAGACGGCTATGAACGGGGCGTGTAAGACATGGACATCATTGCACGCGCTGGAGAGACCACAGTCCAAAAGCAGTCCAAGGTCTAGATTCCACCCAGTGGGATCACTGTTGATGCCATGGTCTTTACGGGGTTCTTCTCTATGGCGCATATTCACCAGGCTGGGTCCAGGAGAAGCAGTTCCTCCTGCCACATCTTGCAAACCTCTGATAATAAACTCTAGGTCCACTCTTATCTCCATCACGTCTCCATGCATTGAAGAGCTGTACCTGCAAGACACAAACATGTAACAATCATCTCATCCTCTTATCTTCCATGGTCTGAACTAATGGGTAATAAGGGAATGTTTTTTCATATTTTTAGTTACATCTAAAAAAAGAAAGTGCTTTATCAATATGACTTGGTGAATTTTCAAAAGGAGGTTTGAAATGGTAGTTACCTTGTTGGGAGATTTTGTTTTGCCAGTGAAGGAAGCACAGGCCGAACTGGAGCATGCAGTGGGTTGGAGAGCTGCAAGTGAAGCTCAGCCCTGGTCACCGTCAATGAAGAAATCTCCTTCAATAAGAGAAACTCCACATCTCCTTCTGAAAAGAAACATGAGGAATATAAGTGGAGAGAAGTACTTCCCTTTGAATGTCAAAGATCCATCTATGTGAGGAACTAAGGCCTCAAGAGACCTTTTCTGACTCACTGGGCTAACTGGCCTAATCTGTCAGCAGGAGACCTAACTGCACTCAGGACATAAGCCAGCTAAGGCTCATTTGTATGCAGATAACGTATGCAGCTGTGAAATCCATCCATTGTTAGGTCTTCGTTGGATTTGTAGAAAACTCAAAATGTACTGCACGTGTGGAAAGTACTTTTAATCATAAACAAAACTAATCTTACTCTACGAAGAAAAGGCTTGCATGTGCAACAGTGTTGGTTGTAAACTTTGGCTTACCTCCTCTGAGTCGCCCTTGAATCCCTTTGACGCTTCGGCAGTGGAGTTTTTGTTGACAGCAGTGATAAACTCTGCGCACAAAACTGAACAGGGGTTTTCCCGGGAAAACGGATCCCCGCGAGACTCCGGGTGAATAGGGCCGCAGACGCAGCGGCATCAGCTTCCCTTGGCCTTGCGGCACTTGGTTGTTCTCCAGCCAAGGCGCACTGAGATCCGCGCAGCGCTCCCGGTGCGCACTCGCTACCCCACGTCTCCACCGCTTTAGCGCGTCCGCGCGTAAAGACGCACGCTCGTCATATTCCACTGTAGTCCTGCGAGAGAGCGCGCGGCCGTACACTCCGGTGTCACTCGTGATGACAGCGACGAGAAAAATAAAAATCCAAGTGTGCGCGGACATGATGGTAGCTCCAAAATAGTCTCCGAGCTCTGTTCTCCTGTGCGTCTCTCAGGTCGCGTATATAAGCCCAGCCACAATGGCACATCTCCCACTTAGAATTTGAATCCTGACCCTCCCCTCTTTTGTGTCCGTGCCCCTAACCACCTATTTGCCCCCCGCGGCTGACTTTAAAATGCGCTTACATAATGAGGCGCCCCAAAGAGCCATGGGCTCCTCTATTCATATTCACCTACTACTAATGACTGTAATTACTTCATGTTTGGACCATCAAGGGCCATGTGAAATGTGAAAAATAAGATATTACAAGATGCATTTTCAAACAGACACGCTCCTGTCAGAGCACGAGACCATGTTCTGGCCTTTCAACAACAACAAAAATCTACGCTGAAATTATTATTTATGTCGTAAGGCACCGTTGCAACAGTCGTCAACCCAAACAGAGGAATCAAAATAAAGTGAAAATACAATACAAAATATTGTTTTAAAGAAGTGAAGAAATAAACAAGACCACACAAAGAGTATTCAAAACATGTGATTTTAAATAGTGCTGCTTCCAGGTTTGCCATCGTTAAACTTACTAAGGTTCAATGGAACACTCTCCATCGACTACAGATGTCTTATTAATGAAGGCCTACTGCGCTTTTAATCTGGTCTGTTTGTATGAAATGTTCAGTTCAATTGAACACTGATCCGATGGGTCATCTATTTAAACATATATAAAGTTTGTATATCTATAATTCATATGAAAGTAAAAAAGTTAATGTTATGTCACATTTTACACAGGCTTGAGAGAAATTCTATAAGACATTAACAGAGTGCACAGTGCCATTAGAGCAGATTGACCCCGTGTTTGAGCAGTCTGTGGCGGGCCTTGGTGGGCAGAGAGAAGGCGCTGTCCTGGTGGTTTGGGATGCCAGAGTTTCTCACTGTGCCATGTTGGAGGAAATATGTCTCCTGAGCAACGCTGCGTGTCCCGTACACAGCAGCACCAGCACTCCTGCACAAACATGGGACCATCAGATCAAAGACGACTACAGTGCCTACTGGTCAGAACATGCCTATAACACATCAATACACTTTCTATCCATAGTTACAAAGCCAAAATAATTGTAAGGCCGTGTAGGCTGGCAAAGCAACAACAAAAAAGAAACGTCTTTAAAGGTTCACAAATACCATGGATATGAACACATTGTTTACATTATAGTGCAATTTCATTGAAGTCATCTTTGTGTCTGCAAAGAAGTTCTGAGAAATTAAACTGGATATGTTACAGAGGGTTGTGACAACATCTATTTACTTCTGTAATTACACTTACAATGTGAAACTAATAAATGGCAGCCTAAGAAGACAAAGTGAGACACATCAAGCCTTTATTCTTATAGTACCATTTGAGAAAACACTGTATGTAGAGTCCAAATGAATTTTATGACGACATAAACAACAATGATGCATCTATAGATGTTTTAAAAGTCTAATCTTTGACATTATATGTTTTCATTTGTTGCACTGCTTTTTGGTCTATTGTGCAAAGGTGTGCGAGGATGTGCAGGTTGTCACAGAATGGATATCCCCCTCACTCACCCCAGGTCACTACCCCCGTTATTTATATGGAAAACCCCCTCCGCTACTGTCCCATCGCCTCCACTGGACTGACCTGATAATAGCCTCCTGCAGAGTTTCAGTGTTACAGAAATGCGAGTGAAGGAGTGATGCGGCCCTCACAAAAGGTCGCTCATGGGCTGCTCCAGGACGACCAGACAAGTTGGCTACAGAGAAACAGGTAGTTCAGCACACGGAAAACAAGCTCCAAATGAATGCACTTATTTAAATAGCTAAGATTCATTATAATCATAATGATAATTATTCATATGTGGCCACTTTGCTCAGGTCACTGTTTGCAGAAACGGGACATTCTGTACATTATATAATATAATCATATATTGTATATATAATCACATGAAGAAATATTATACATTGTTTATGTCTACTTTCATTCTTTGCATGTATTATTTTTTTGTTTATACAATAAAAAGCTTCATGAATATACAATGTTGTATGCACAGCTCTCTTTAAGATTTGTTGTTCTGTAATGATCTATCAATGCTGTTGGCCCACGTCCCCTGCCCTCTAATGTAAAGACTTGGCAGAAAAGTGAAAAAGATGAAATCATCAAAAAGCCCTAAAGAAATACACCAAAGGAAGAGGAAGAAAGAGTATGGTATTATGAGGCTTTACATGTCAGCGTGCTCTGAATGGAGTCAAAATGGGCAAAAATGTAGGGTCCCTGAGCGCCTGGGGCTCCTGGGGTGACGCTCCTCAAATGAGCCTCCAGTCCATTGAGCGCGGCCAAGCTGCTGTGATACTGGATGCAGACCACAAAGGGACAAGTTAACATCACAAAGATAAATTAGTGCACTCAAGTAGTTATAAAGTGGAAGGCAGGGCTTAAATTAATACCAACAGTGTTTGAAGCCGGGTTCACACTTAAGCTTAAAGACTGAATTAAATTCAAATTATAATGAGTTAGTGGATTACATTGTAATGTATGACAATAACTGGGCCACAAAGCCATGTTGCTTAGAACTTTAGCTAAAAACAAAACAAAACATGAAAAGAGCACCTAAGAGCAGACTTTTTGAACTTTTCTACGTCAGAATTAAAAGAACTCAATAGTGGGTTTAAGGACACCGAAATACTACTCTTGAAAATGATCTAGTCCAGTCTTTCATTTCTCATGTTAACCCTTGAGGTGCCAAAGTAGCCTTTCCAATATAATAATAAATCATGGTTAACAGCTTCTATAAAGCAGACAATTATACTGCTCCATAATATTTTTAAACTTATGATGTTTTAGTTAACAGTGCCCTTGCTAGGTGTATGACCACTGCTTGATCAGAGGATCAAAAAGGTCTGACTGGGTTAGAGAACCCTCATCCGTGATTCTATTTCATTGTACAATTGTACACGCACCAACTCCATTAATCCTACTCAATTGGATTATGGGTAATGAGGAGATCTGTATATCATCAGAGTTCCATTTGTGTTTCCTGAACACTCGAGCCATTATTGAAAATAAAACGCGGTATATTCAACAAAATTCCCAAAAACAATACTTTGTAAGAAATATCAAAACAGGAAATTTCTGCACTTTTTTATTAAACATCCATTTATAAAAACAGAGCTGGAATCCAAATGGTTGAATCCCACCCAGAGGTTATGAATCATTTGTAAACAAAAACTCACCACTTCCTCCATTGAAGCTGAGTCATCCAGGAAGTGCCTCTCCACGAGTAGGATCAATACGAGCCCCTTGACCCGGTGAAGGTACAGCATCATTGGCACCAAGGAGTCGTCATTTTGGCAGTCAGGCGCGCCCTCAGCACCAGAGGGCACCACATGACCACTGCCCCTCCGCAGCCCCCCATCACACACCTCCTCCGTTCCAGCAGCTCCATTGAAATCCAACATTGTCCTGCCATTTCCTGCTATTCCTCCACTTGCACAGTTTGCCTCCGCACCAGAACTGCTCATACTATTGTCAGTAATATCATCGCCATTAGTGCAAAAACTGTGATAAAAAGAGACATCTTCTTCCTTGCCGTTTGGGAGAGGGGAGGAGGAGGATAGAAGCGGGTCAGCAGTGCCAGGAACAAACACATTATCAGTAGAAGATGGAGGACTCTTAAGAAGGGACTGGGAGGACCCCGACTCAGAGGGCTCCGAGTCAGTGGAGAGAGTGTCTGACAATGTTCGAGACAAACGTGGTTTTCGATGCTGGGTTTCTTTACATGGAGTGGAGTGAGTTCTGGAGAGACAGCCGGGATACAAAAAAATATTGTTAATTGTTAATATTATTTTTTTTTTTTTTCAAATTTGTGTCAGACATGTTACTATAGAAAAGTAATTAGAATATAGTGGTAAGTACAAATATACCTTTTTACTGAAAGTTCACACACAAGTGAGATACGTCTGTGGAGTGACAGAAAAATGATTTGATTTTTCACTTTACAAAAAATAATATTAACAAACGTATTTCAATTTGCTTTAATTTGTCACTTGTTTGTGAACTTGTAGTAAAAAAATCTAAATTCAATTGTTATAGTTGTAAACCATACTTTCAAAAAGACACTTCATGTGGCTTCTTTCAATACTTGTGTGTTTTAAAGTTCTTTACTTGATTTCTTTGTCGACAGGAGTGGACTGTAGATAATGCAGCTCTGATGTGGTCAGGAACACAGGGACTGAGCTCACTGGGTCTTTCACTGCACTGGAGCCCGCACTGCTGTGTCTTTGGGACTGAAAAAGAGTTGTAAGTTATGTTTTATTGTTAAATATGAAATAATTTGAATAAAAGAAGAATATACATGTAAAAGTACTTGGGAAAATAGTACCTTGATAAATGTTTCATTCTCATGAACCATGACCTTCATCGTGAGTGCCGGAGTCATCTGAGTGCTAACGACTCTGCAAAAGAAATGCTTCACAATTTCCATCTAAAAAACTCAGAGGGGTCATTCTTTAAAATCCAGTTGGTGATCTCATTATTTGTTCCTTGTCCCAGAAAACGGCAGAAAACTCGGGCCATAACTTTGTGATATAATGTTAACAAACAAACACTCCCAATGAAATCATAACCCCGTGGAGGAGGTAATAATTCAAGTGCTCATGAAACCCACCTTCCTCTGAATAAGATGCAGCCTGCCAACACCAGAGGGCAGCGCTGACAAGCCTGAAGAATGAGAGCTGCTTTCAACAGTAGCAGTGGGTCAACCTGAAAAATAAACGTGTTTACATTGTAAACAAACTATTTACTTAAGAAAACAGTCTTTTCAGCTTTAAGTTTTAACCGCATTTGTGAAGCAGGTTGTGATATTCATTTCACCGTTTCATCATATGAAAAACGGCTTTAGAAAAGTGAGTACAATTTGCAATGGAAAGCATGAACTAGATCCAACTATTCCCATCTATATTTACAACAACGACCTGCAGCAAGTATAAAAACATAAGCATTTGCTTCATCCGCCACTTTTCAAACCATGTCCTTGTTATTTGTTACATTTATCTATGTGGAAATATGTGTTGTGCAGGTTTGAAATACAATGTATAATCAAAATAAAATATGATACATACATTTGTTGAATCAATCGTTTTTATGCAGCTGAAGATGTGATGAAGATCATTTGTTCCTTGTTGATGGTGTGAAAGATACTGTGCCCATCGAGAAGCCAGAGTCTCCGGTCTGTTCAGCTACGTAAAACAAAAACATTTTCATTGAAGCACTAAATCCAGGAGACTTTCTTACCTTCACAAAAATGTCTCCCTACATTTTCTTCTATGTATTTCCATCATTGATTAAAGGAGTCAACTATCTCTTTTTAAGTTAAAGGGTGGCACCTTTTGTCTAATTCACAAATTATTTCTTGAAAATACACTGGCGCCTTAGGGGTTAAGGGATGAATTACTAAGCTGCGCAACACTGCAGTAACCGTTGCTTTGACCACAACACCACATTAAGTCTTTACATTCATGTATGTATTGTCACCTCTTTCATAAATTAACACTATGAAAGAATAAAGCTCGTACCTGGTAGCTTTGTCGCACAGAACCATTGTAAAAACAGAACAAACTAATGAGGTGATCCAAGAGTTCACAGACGCTCACGGTGGGAATGTCCACAAAACAGCCCAAAGCCTAAAGCAGGTCAGAAAGGAGTCCTTCAATAGAGTCTGCATAAAACTCTTAATTTGTGGTGTAATTCAGGAAATGCACTTACCCACAGGAAATCATCCTTCATGCGGATGGAAAACTTGTTCCTGCGCAGTCGGAGTACATGCACAGGTGAAGACGACAGTTCAGACACACAACGACCTGCTCCAGCCAGCTGACCACAAAGTAACTCCTGTTTGTCTATAGGAGTCTGGAAAAGGCAAAAGCATGTGTAGTATCATTACAATACTATTTATCCAGTAAAGAACTATGACACTGTGTTGTAACTACATGATGGCTTGATGTGATTTTCACTATGAAATAAATAACTTTATTGAAATGATTGTATGGTTAACAATGATGTTGAATGAGTGTTTCGCTGCAGGTGGTGAGTCCACAGGAGTACGGAGTGTGAGCATAGCCTAGCCACTTCATTATAATTATACTACAGTAGGAAACTAGTAGCCTGGCCATAGCCACCGTACACTCCGCTCAATCATCATTTCACAACGAAATGAAATTTGTACTAAGGTGTGGTACAACCAGGCTAGGAAACTAGCTGTAGATGGAAAATTAAAATTGAATTGCATTGAATTGAATTGAGCTATAATCCAAACCTCTTCAGGGTAAAAGTAGCAAATTCCCTTTCTGGTGGGATCCTGTTCCTCTTTCACTTTTGATCCATCATAGAGAAAGAAGAAACTGCAACTAGAGGAAGAACATCCTATTATTATAAATGCTTGTTGATTGATAGGTGTATTGTGAAAAACTATTAAAAGTTAGTTTAAAGTTTTGAAATCCAAATAGTAATTTGCTGAGATATGAAATGTAGCAACAGTTATATAATATAACCATAATAAGAGTGGTTTTGGGTTAGGATTTTTGACATTGCTACAATTATGTTGGGAAAAATATTTTACATTATGTTACCACTTTGGTGAATAACTGTATATAGTGTGAACCTATTAACCTTTACTTATTATATCGCCAAAGCAACGTTTATTTAGGGGAAAGTGATCGCCAGCCATTCCCACAATAATAAGACTTAATCTTACCTCTTTAAGTCTGGCGGCATCTCAGCCATGGCAGTGAAACAGGAGAAACTATCTTGTATCCATGTATTTTGACAGTCACAGTCTGACAGTGGCGTGAAAAAAGTCAATTCAGCTCTCTTCTCTTAGTCCGTGGAAACTGAGACGTTCACGGCTGATATTTTACCGCAAAAGAACAAGGTTAAAAAGCTGTTTGCGTTTCGGCGCATTAGTTTGACAGAGAGAATTTATCTCTTGAGGAATGCAGATCACACGCAGGAGAAGTCATGTGAAAGCACGGCGAGCGGAAGAGGACAAACTTCAATTATTCGCACGGATATTGTGATAGGCAAACAGACGCAAAAATAGAAACGTTACATTTATTGTTAAGACAATCAACGCATTACCCCAATACATGTATTTTATTGGACATAAAAGATCAACGAGCAGATCCTTATTGTTCATTCATTTTTTAAAGGGGGATGATATGTTGTCATTTAAGACCCATATAATATTTAATACAGATGTAACAAATACAAATAATAACTGTATATGTATGGCCTGTAATGGATCATGTTGTCTGTTCTCGATTGGACATGCCTGGGTCGTGAACGCGCTCCGCTGTAGTCTCTTCAGCAGCGGCTTGTGCAGTGAGAAACCATGGGAACGAATATATTATGGGCTGGAGCAACTACATTTAAAGCTGGGGTACTTCACTTAATACATTGTTAGTCCCAAAACAAAGAGTCTCATAAAAGTAACATTTTGTGAACACTATTTATCTCATTAGAAATCTTGACGCTTGGAGTGAGGGTGGTCAACTTTCTCTCATTTTTGTCTGACGAAGTGAGGAACAAGGATATGGATAGTTCCATTAGGTACCCCAGCTTTGTAATAAAAAAAAGTGTTTTCTGTCTCTCGCTTGATGTAATAATACGAATATCAAAATTATATTTTGGTTTATGTTATTATTATTATTATTGATGACTTGACTTCATAACTGGATGATCAACTCAGGACACCACCTGCAGTAAAGGCTCTCCGTATATAGATAAAAAAGGTATAATTTGTTAATAAAAAACAACGGTCTATGATAAAAACACACACAATGTATGTCTATTGTAAGTAAGTAAGCTAGTAAGCTGTTATTTATATACCGCCTTTTCACTGCACATCGGAGTCTCAAAGTGGTTTACAATTGTTGGGTGGGGGTGCCACTACAGGAGGCACATGCCAGACCTATTGTACATATTTTTAGTGGTAGGGGAAACCGGAGCACCCGGAGGAAACCTACACGGGGAGAACATGCAAACTCCACCCAGAAAGGCCCTGGTCCAACCGGGATTCGAACCCAGGACCTTCTTGCTGAGAGGCAAGAGTGCTATCCACTCAGCCACCGTGCCACCCCCACTGTCCCACCCCCTGTGACTGCACTATTCTTTGAGACACAACAAAAATCAATTAAATCTGGAGTTCATTTTAAAGTAAAGATTGGTTTCTCGTTCCAAAACAGTTTTCACATGCTTGTATCTTTGGCCTCAGATTTTTCAGACAGAAAAGTGAAAAAGAGAGACCACCTGACTCAGGAACTCAGCTTTTAACCCAGTGCTTCAAAGAGTGACTCCCAGGGCTCTTTCTCACATTTGTGTATTATTTATTAACAAACATACATGAATTAAAAACATAGCATGTTTTCTACTAGGGTAAAGATGTAGTCTGATGTGTAAAAATATAAATAAAAACCTTTACAAGACCCTTTTTGTTGGGACTAACAAAATATATTATCTATGACAAAAAGTTAGATACCCCAGCTTTAAACAAAGCTGAAATAAAGGAAATAATCAGAGCAAAAGGCAATATTTTTAACAATTAAAGCATGGATCAACATGAGGCGTATTCAGAAAGCCCACGTGCCAACAAAAACATGTTGAAAGAGGCTTAACCTACATACTGTAGATAATCATGTAATATTGTCTGCGTCAACAGAGTTTCAGACAGACGTTACAGCAACGGGTTTCTTTTCCAAATTTCTCATAACAAAAGTGATATTTTTCATATCAAATGTCCATATAAACATGTTTTTAGGTCTTAAAACAGTGGTGTAAACCATTTGTAAAATAAAAAATATATGGTCATGCCAACTGTTTATCTAATAACAACATTTCTTTCTCCAGTTTCTTCATCTTTAGTGCTCGATAAGCCATCAACTGTTCACGATTCTCAATCTCCTTTTTTAGATAAGTGCAATAAAGAGACCTTAAATCATCCTTCTGTACCTGGAAAAAAAATGAAAGATTCAAATTATTTCATTGTTTATAAATTTGCGTGGAATATTCTCAAACCCAATCTCACCTCAACATTCCCACAACAGGAGGCATTTTTATTTCCTAAAGAAACAACCTCTTGCAAGCTGCTGTTGTGCAAATCCAACTATAATGATAATAACAAAGAACAATAATGCCATGTGAATATTTTGCATTAACCACTAAACTGTTACTTACACTTTCATAATGAGAGTCGCTGACGTCGGTCTCATCGCTGCTCACACTCTCTGGTTCAGTCTTCGTTACAGGCATCAGGATCACCGGGTGGCCAGACACTGGGGGGAATCAGATTCTATGAACTGTGAAATGTAATAACATCTGCACAAACATGTGTGCAGTGCACTTTACTGTGCAGGAGGATCTGAGAACTTTGTACATGAGGAGATTAATCATTATATATGCTTCTATCTGGAAAATGAAGGGGGAAATTATTTTTGTGAAAAGCTGAATGTAGTGCTACCTGCATGAGAACCTGTCAAATCACAGAAACTAAGCAGGACAGGACCTGGTTAATAATGTGATGGGAGACCTCTGGGAAAACCTGCTGCTAAACTGCTGTTGTATCCTTGGGCAGGACACTTCATCTGAATGATTGGTGGTGATCAGAAGGACCATTGGATTTGACAGATTAGTGAAGCTACTGATCTGTCAAAGTTTACCCTGGGGCTGTTGTGGCCACTGACCACTATAGTAGTTTACACTTTGTAAGAATCAAGGAATAATGCCATTTGCAGCTACATTGACAATTGACACACAAAGGGAAGAGTTCCAGAGGTTGCCAATAAGAGAGTGAAAGAAACATACCATTAATATAAGCGTTGGAGGCTTCAGTATCACTCAGGGGCTCGATACATTCAGCTGAAGGAATAACTTCCACTCGGATTCTGTCTTTTAGTGACATGGCGTCAATGGGTGACAGAGGCGGGATGATTCCATTCTTTAACATCTCTGCTCTTCGTCGTCTGGCTGTAAAGAAGTTGAGTGAGAAGCCAAATGATACTGAGAGAAACGTGTGCAAACATTTCTGTCTACCTGAATTAGGGCTAGAACGTTCCATTCAATTACCTGATTGTATTATGTTTTTGTGTTTGATTTTCACTTGTTGCCAACTTCTTTTGTAACCGCTGTCTGAAGCCCTGTAAATGAATTGCTTTAGACCATGATAGAAATTGTAAAGATAAAAAAAACAATAAATTGCATATTCTCACATATTGATTTTGTCTGCTATTCTCTGCCACGCCTCCTCCCTTAACCTCGAAGCACTGGAGGTGTTGGATTTAGCTGTTAATATATCTCTTTCTTCTTCATACAATTTTAAAATTAATTCTTGCTCTTTGGTGCTGAAAAAATGAGCTCTTTCTTGTTTCCTCATCATTTGTAGTTCTGTAAAATAAACAAACAAAAAAACATGAAAAGACATTTTTATAGAAGTGATGCTGTATTGCAGTGGGTCACAACCTTTGCTGCCCTGTGTACCCCCTATAGCCAGCGTAGGCACTAACACCCCATGTTTTAAGAAATACATGCATTTCACATACTCCATGGGATTTTGAGAGAGGCCACACATTACCAAGATACCCTCTGTTCTCTACAGAGTACATTTTTTTGTACTTAGTTCAGGTATTTTCAAGTGATTACTATTTTCTAGCTTGAGTTCAACAGAATATGTGTATGCTTGGAAGAACAAAAAGGCACAGGATCAATTGTAAGAAAGCCTTGCTATAGCAGACTGATAAGACAATTCTATTTATTTACTGCTTTTTGGGTTCAATGTTGAGTTGTTTTTTTCTTGAGAGAATTAGCTTTAAAACATAAAAAACATGCCTTGATAGCCCATATTTACAATAAAGCAGTTGAATTATTATTATTGGTGTTTTGAGGGAGGACCTTGTACCTCGCTCAGCTTCGATGAGGGCTGCAATCGACAAGGGATTGCTCTCGCCTTCCACCGCAGCCTGGACAGACGCAGTTATCCGAGATGTTTCAAGGCTAGATTTACTTATAAAATCGTACATATCCGCCATGGTGACAGCAAAAAGTCAGGTTTAACACCCTCTCCTACGCGTCATCCAGCGCGGCGCCGCTTCTGTCGCCAACAAAGCGCAGAAATTCGGTCCCGGAGGAGGCTACAGCTGAAGCGAGGTTATCCGCAGGCTTTGTTAACCCTGGATTTTTTAATTCGGCTTAAAGCGCGTTCACGTGAAAAGGCGGAGAGAAGCTTAACTCATTGACGTACCAAGGGGCGTGTGTGCATTGAATTAAATAATAAATCAGAGAAAAACAAATAGTGAAGTGTTTGAAAATGTTTGAAAGAAAACAATTTCATGCAGTCGTGCGGTGCTTCAACTGCATCACTCTGCAAGTCCAATTTCCCATCCACAAGTTGTCTGAGCATTCATTTCCATCCATCCATCCATTTTCTACCCTTTAATCCATTTCTGGGTCAGGGGGGTGACAGTCAGAGATGCCAAGTCTCATAGCACCAGCCCCTCACTGATCCTCTGCAGGTGGTGAGTCCACAGGAGGACGGCTGCTCTCTGAGTGTGAGCATAGCCTTGATCTTTCAGTGGGGGCTTTGGGCAAAGTGGGGTTAAGTGTCTTGCCCAAGGACACAACGACAGCAGTCATCAGTGGGAGTCGGTGGAGAAGGTGCAAAGGTGGGAATTGAACCCACGACCTTCTGGCCTTAAGGCCAATGCTCTACCAACTGAGCTACTGTCGCCCCTGGAAAGCATTCATTTCCCAAAAGAAAAAAAGAAATCAGTCATTTTTACTTTACTAATTTTATAATAGTGTGCTCAATCCAACCTCTTTGGAGCAAGGAGGGTCCGTGTACTTTTGCGTTCAATACATTTTCTATTTTTGAAGGGAAATGGAAAATCGAAAAAAGGCTATTTTGCACTTTTCATTGCTTATAAGACATGTATATTATAATAACTGGATTTGGATATAAGAACTGGGCATTATAACTGGACAGCACGCTCTTCATGACGCGTCTTCCAATGCGATCAGTGAGACAGCAACAATTCAGCCTCGAACAAATACTATACCAAATACTAAGACTACATCCACTGGTCATTTTCATGTTGTCAACGTTTTCTTTCTTCGGAGTTTCCTTGTTTATTGTGCTGTAGAAGTAAACGTGCATATTTTACGAAAAGTTGAAGTAAGTTTGGGCCAAGTATCAGATTTTTGATTATGGATGACAGCCTCCATTGCACTTCAATTTACATTTGAAGACCAAGAAAGTCAAACCCCATCCTAGAATGACTGCAAAAGTTGTCATTTGGTCAAAGAAAAATCTATATCTACTTGTTACGAAGCATTCACAGCTTATTTTGTGCACCACTACTGTTCTGTAACACGAATTCATCTAATGAAAAGGTTTTTCTTTTTAAATTAGATAATAGAAAAATATTCAATATAATACAGTAATGTACACCAAATTGGTGATGTAAAAAAAAAAATGTTCCATCATTACATAAAAAGTTAAAATGTTTTGTTTATGTGAATTGTTTTAGAATAAATTCCAAAATAGTTCCAATTCTAGGTAAATTCTTAAACAATATATACACAAAACTGACCACTTTGTACAATTATGAAAACATGAGACCAATTAAAGTTTAAAGTTTAATTTATACATAGTTTTGATATATGGTCCAGGTCAGAGCACACGGTACATTTGGGTTCTTAAGAGAGCACATTGGAAGAACATTAATTTTTTGAAGTGGTGTGGTCCAGAGTAGAGCAGGGCAAGGACCGGTTCCGAGTCCGGCTTGAGTTAGTTAGATGTGTTTACTCATCATGGCCCTCATAGCCATCGGGGAGAGCGTTTACGTGGGAATTGTGGAAAAGCGAATGGTTTCCATCACCCCAAGGGAATTTCTGAAGGAAGAAAAAATAAAATGTCAATAAAGTTCAAACGGACTTAAGTTAAATTCAACATATACCTTAGAACGAATGCGAAGATGAGAATATGGCACAAACTCTGGTTGTTCATGCCCTTGGTGTTGTTGTTCCTTCAGGTAAGTGTTGAGCATGCACACAGCAACTCCAGGGAGGGCAACCACAAAGGACAAGATTTTCCACGTCTTTGCTAAAAGAGAAAAGAAGAAGTTTAAGTCACGTCTTTGGTTACTGGTCAACGCTCTTTAGAGAAGAAAGTAAACACCACCCCACTTAAACAAGAGAATCAATCACTGAAATAAGGTCAGACAGATGGCATTCTCTGCCCATTTCACTTGATTATGAATTTATAAACACGCGTTAGTGGTCTTCAACTAAAGCCCACGCAAGAAGTGTTCAGGTTTTATAAACAACTACATTCCAGTGCAGGTAAGTTCATGAAAAGCGCATACTGTTGGTAGCTAAGTTAAGCCTAGTGTATGGTCGCGCGGAGCTTAGCAGTGTTGATATCGAAGCAAGTAGCTAATGCTAGCAAGGTCACTCTCATAAAGTTGATCTAAAATTATAATATCGTATTTATGATGTATAAAAGTAACAGCTGCCTCGCCTGCTTGTTCGCCATGGCCTCCCGCAACAGCAGAAAGTTGTCGTTTCTGAACCAAACTGGACCGGAGCAGAGCCCGAGAGACGCGTCCGAGAGCCGCCATTTTGTTTCACAGACAATGCTACCGGAAGTTATTCATTCTAATTTATGGGGCGCGACCTCTAGCGGCAGCTGTGGGATGGTGCATGCTTTATGCTGCATCCAAATCCATCCTTGTGCTATATAAAAGTATATTATGAGACGGGCAGCTTCAGGTTTGGCCCAAATCAAATTCGACGTGTTTTGAATGCCACTTAGGTCACATTTCCTCAAAGATCAATAAAAATAGATATAAGTTTGGAGTTGGCTGTTTGTTAGACCTTGGCATAATCATGGATGTTGCATGGATCTGTTGTGGATGGTTGTGGTTGGGTAGATTGTGCCAGAATAAACTGTCAAAGTTACAAGTTATAGTTATAACTTTATCCCCACCGCTGTCAGACTGTCAACAAGTCACTTTATGTCACTGTATTAAGACTGAAAAAACCTGCACTACTATCGACACTGTTTCTGATTGCCACTTTTAAATTGCCACTTTTTATTGTACATCCTGCATTTAACATATTTGCAAATTTCCTCCCTCTTTGCACAATCTTGAGTGTTTCTATCCATGCCAAATTTGACATGTACATTTCTCCTTTGTGAGATAAATAAAGCATATCTTATCTTATAACTCAAATGTTGATTCCTAATTTAATTTGTGATGACTAATAAAACAAAATAAAAAAGATCTATCATGAAGTTTGTAATATTTATTGGTGTAGTCACAGTTTCTCTGTATTCTCTGAACTATGTGATGTTTGATGGACATTGAGTCATCAGTTTGTTTCTCCTGGAAGTGGATGATTTTCCGATCTCATGGTCAGAGTCCAACTGTAGGCTGGACTTTCCTGTTGTGGAAAAGGTACGTTCAACAAATTCAGTTAAGAAGATATTTGCATCATCAATCACAATTCTGCTCCATAAGCTGATTTTAATAATTCAGACTTGCAGTAATGGAAGCAGAGCCGAGGTATCACCAGTTTGGTCCTGTGTCCACTGCGTCAGTGACTTTACAAAAAGGTAAATGACTCTTTTTTATTCCAACCGAGTCTAAAGACACTCTAATAAACAAACAACTGTATTTTAGGTATAAAGAGTATTGTTTACTTCTTGTATGGTGTCCTGTTGCTCCTGCTGTTTGTTCTGCTGTTAACAACAGGAGTCAAATGTAAGATTCAAGTCACTCAAATCTTTAACGCAATGTCACAACGCAATAATCTTTTTTTCTCAAATTAGTTTCTCAAATTAGTAAAGATGTGAAGCTTTCAGTAAAGCTAGTAAAGCTTTCAGCACAGCCTTTTTCTTGAAACAGCAACTTTCACATGCTCAGCAATAATTATTAATTGCTCTTTCGTGCATTTGTGAAAGGCCTCCAAAGTGGGCGCCTCAAAAAACTCATCGAGTTGAAACTCCATGTTCAACACGAATCCCGCTGTCCGTACCAAACTGACACGCGTAAAAATGCGACCCACACAAAAACCCTACTCTCTATACTACCTGCACAAATCACAAACCAAGTTGTTACCAAAACAAAATCATACAAATTGCCAAATTATGTCACAAATAATACGAAAGTGACAACTCAAGTAACAAAAACTCTCAAAAATTACTAAAGGCAAAAATTACTGTCCTAGGGTTTTCACATTGTTTTTGACGAGCCCCCATAAATATGTTACGACCCGAAGGACAAAACATATTTAAGGACACCGAGACAGGGTAAGAGTTCCAAAATAGATTTTATTTACGTATTCCAAATGAACTCTTGTTTTAATATAAATCCAATTTATGGATTAACCCAAAAAAAACCCAACCCCGTGTCCAGAAACACAAAAACCCAAAGTAATCAAATTAAAGGTGGACCTGGTGGGCCAGCCGAAACAAACAAAATGGGCCGACACCGAACCAACCCTATACAGGGCCGTCCGGATCCGATGCCGACACCCTAACTAAAGAATAAAGAAAAAACCCAACTAGCTACACCCTCACACACGAAAATGTAACCACCGGACCCACCAGATCAAACAAAAACTAAACTACCGAAAGGCTACAAAACAACCAAACCATGCGGCGTCTGGAGAAGGCCGCAAGCCGGACCAGGAGGGAGCGCGCAGCGCGGGCACGCTCACCTCAGCAGGTGGAACAAACGAGGATGAGAGCAGAGAGGGGCGGGAGTGCACCAGGACAGCGCCTTTTATATCCCGGCCCGAGCTGCAAAATAAACAAAACACGTTACTCATAAGTCTATCAAAAAGTTACCTTACAAAATATACTTATAAGAAAACAAAACCCAAAAATCCCTGGAAACAAAAAAGACAAGATATAAAACCATGGGGAAAAAGGTGCCCAAACATAACAATGATATTAAAACACAACTTGCACTATCTGGCCAATCTGCACCCAGTCCTGGTAAGTTTGTTCTTTATTTCACTTATATTCAATCACAGCTGTTAAACCCACTTTGTAATGTTGACAGATAACCCTGAAGCTCAAAGTCAAAAGGAAGAACACAGACAGCCGGTATATCTCAAAGAAATTTCCCCAGTTCAGGGTAATACACACAAAATTGTATTAGAAAACGTATCTATTGATAGGTTTTTGTGTTTTAAAAGAATATAAGTATTGTATGTTTGTATTTATCTGTGCATTCTATTCTGCTTTATTTGTAACTGGACTAAATATTCTGACCTAGTTTAATACAGATGCTCTCAGGATATTTAAGATTAAATTTTTCCTAAAGTCCAAGTTCAAACCTTAAAGGCATCATATTTAGGATAACATTTTCCTGAAACATTTTAAACTGCATATTACATTTCCAACAAGTACAAATCAAAGAAAGTAGAGCAGTAGTAATAGTCTCTCATTTGGGTTGCCAGTTTCTTTGGTGGAATTAATCAAGTTGAGTAATTAGAGGAGCAGCAACAACAGTTTAATGCAGTTTAAAGTACAATTATAAACACTTGGTCTTTGTTTACTATGGCTGATCGAAATTGTGATAAGTGTGTGAAATACTTTTTTGTTAGGCGATTACTACTGCTACTTTTTGCCTGTGTATATGATCTTTTGAGTCCAACCAATCCTACCATATGAACTAACACTTTGTTTTTCTACTAAGGACAATGTCGAGAAGGATGGATCTTTAATGAAAAAAGATGTTACTTTGTGTCGACCGAGTCTGCGTCTTGGAGCGACGCTGAGACACAGTGTAAACGTCTCCAGGCTCATCTACTCGTCATAAACAACGTGGGGGAACTTGTAAGTATAAATACAAGTAATATGATTTAAAGACACTAAACAACACGTTGATTAAAGTTGATAAAATAAAGCCCATTGGTAGAAGCTTTTAGAATAGAATGACTTGAATTAATAGTAAATGTATCTTTAAGAATCCAATGAAATGCAGGCTGTATGCAACTTGTTAAGTGGAAAAATGTTTAGCTGCATGAGTGGTAAAATAGGCGCTTTCACTTTCCATCACAGTGGTCTCTTGGATGTTATAGAATTATTTGTTTGTACTATTTTCTTTGAGATGTTCTTATTTTAACCCTGCATGAGAGAACTTAGAAAACAATGGCTACTCAAGCACTGTAAAAAAAGACAAAAAAAGGACACTATGCTGCCAACTTTTACAGCCTCTGAGGCACTATAAGGTCACATATGCAAGAATATCCACTTTTATTTCTTATATATTTATCAACAATTTAAGGTTTTCATTAGTCTCCAATCACTGTTAATATTTGCTATATTTTAAATAGGACTACATTTCAAAAGTTGTTGCTCTTGGACAATACTATTGGATCGGGCTTGTTGAGCGTCATGAAGAAGGGGACTGGAGCTGGGTGGATGGAAGCAACTTCAATTCAGCGCACGGTGGCTGAGTGAATAGCACTCTCGCCTCTCAGCAAGAAGGTCCTGGGTTCGAATCCCGGCCGGACCAGGGCCTTTCTGAGTGGAGTTTGCATGTTCTCCCCGTGTCTGCGTAGGTTTCCTCCGGGTACTCCGGTTTCCCCTACCACTAAAAATATGTACAATAGCTCTGGCATGCGCCTCCTGTACTGGCGACCCCGCTCCCATCTTTGTGTGGAGTGAGAGACAAATGCCCAAAAATAACAATTGTAAACCGCTTTGTGACTCTGGTCTGTGAAAGGCGGTATATAAATAAAGATTACTTACTTACTTACTTAAACGTAAAGAGAAAAAAAACAGCTTCCGAAATGTCCTTAAGAATGTCTGCCTTGATATGAATGTTTTGTTTTATTCTCATCAGTTTTTGGGATAAGGGTCAGCCTGATAACTGGGCTGAGCGAGAGAATGGAGAGGACTGCGCGCAGCTCCATCCTACGTCCAGCCGCAAACGCAGACTGTGGAACGATGCAGACTGCAGCCTGGCGTACTGCTACATCTGTGAGAGTCGTCTGTGAGAGTCCTCTGTAGACAAACACATGAGACTAAAACACAGCAGAGTGGGAATTTAACTGGAATGACTTTAATTTATCTAAGAACATGATTAACATTCAAATCAAGCAATGTGTCCCAAACTTCTTTGTCCTCTACCCTTTCTGAAAAACGAAAACTTTTTTTGGCTTTCCTATCAAACAACGGTCGGCATCATCTTCTCAAGGGGATGTTTATTTTTAGCTCATCATTTGCATCAGTTTTTTTTGTAACATGTTGGTATTTTAATCACATTTTTATATGACTAAAGCACTGTGCCACCGTGCCAGTGCTTCACAGTAAGAAGTTCCTTCTCTAGACCTTTTTGGAGGTGTCTCTCTGTGTCTGGGTAGGTTTCTTCCATCCATCCATTTTCTTCCCCTTAATCCATTTCTGGGTCAGGGGGGGTGGCAGTCAGAGCTGCACCCAGTACACAGAGCACCAGCCCCTCACTGATCCTCCTGCAGGTGGTGAGTCCACAGGAGCTGAGATCTTTCAGCGGGGGCTTCAGGCAAAGTGGGGTTAAGTGTCTTGCCCAAGGACACAACAACAGCAGTTATCAGTGGGAGTCATGAAGTAGGTCTTATGGTGGGCTCGAACCCACAACCTTCAGGCCTAAAGGCCAGTGCTCTACCAACTGAGCTACTCTCGCCCCCAGGTTTCTTCCAGTTGCTCTGATTTCTGTCATCACTGTGTGGAGTTATTGGGAAAATATTGATACTCCAAAAAACGCTTTGTGTGAACTTGGTCTGTGAAATGCACCCTATAAATAAAGATGACTAACTAACTAATGTGGATTGAACCAAAACTGTATCAAAGAAAGGCTTGTTATTGCAGACTGATGATGAAGAACATTGTGTGGTTGCTAGACAATTCCAAAAAAGTGTTGAGCAAAAGTCAATAATTGTGTTACATAACAATTACAGCTTTAATGATTGTTTTGTTCTGAGTATAAATATGGAAATAGGATCATTTATTTGCAGCGGTCACTGGGCAGATGTGCGTTGTCTTCATTGTATCCAGCTTCAGCAAAACATTCCGCCGCCTTCCTGTCACACTCACAGATGAACTGCTCACACGGGTCGTTTTTCTCTGCAAGATAATGATGACCTGTTTTATCGATATGAAGTACTACAGATCACAAGGGCATTAATAAACTGGATTCTATTGGCATTGAAAACACATTGGAAGAGAGTTATTTTTTGTATTTGAAATGTATTTTTATTTTTTTGTTAGTTACTAAAGGATTTGGCCACATGTACATAATTTATTAACTCACAAATCCTCAAAAATGAGGAATTGAATAAATCACATTCAAGTTCTGGTTACCTCAAAAGTCCTCAACTCTAAAGATGTGTCAGGACAGGAGAATGTTTTAAGATAACAATCATTATAACAACTCTGGGTTGTTTGAAGGAAAGTTGAGGCTATACTAAATAAAATAAATTTGCTTAAATTAAGAACGTAGCCTTGACAATTGTTGTAGTCAGAGCCATAAATCTACAGTACTTTAGTCCCATTTGGATGAGATCAGAGGTAAGATCGAGGAAAGGGAAACCTTTCATAGAAATAACCTGCAAATATGTTGATTTTAGGTAATATTGTTTTATATATGTATTTTTTTGTCTATGTGTTTGTTTTTGTGTACAGCACTTTGGCTAAACTGTAAAGTTTTTAAAGTGCTTTGTAAATAAAGCTGGTATGGTATGGCTGTAGCATGAATAAAGCTTACCCAAACAGGTGACAGTCTTGGTGGCTGCATTACACCTGTAGTGATAGAGTTCTGTGTAGGGGTTGTCCAGAATGGGCCAACAGTCTGCGTGCTGCAGGGCATCACTGTAGCAGTGGTCGTGAACCTGGCAACACCTACAGACAAAAAGTATCAGGCACTCCTTGTGGTTGGTATTTGAGATATTCAAGGGGTTATTGTAATTATAAGAGCTGCAATATCTTTTAGTTATTGCAGTATCCACCTGCTCTAGTATATTAGATTTAAATAAATAAGATCACATCATTATTGCCAAAAGAGATATAAAATATGCACATTGGAGGGTGTCATCCAGTTTGCAAATATTTTGTTTAATTCCTACAATTCTTCCAGGTGGGTCTGGGATCCAACAGAGCCACACGTAGAGGAGACTGTTATGTGAACTTTAGGTCCTCTTCATTTGGACAGATGTGTTGGACAGAGGAATGTAACTCTCTGGGGCAGTATAAATTCAGCTTAAAGATACTCAAGTGTGCAGTCAATAATTGTGTGCTGCGGTCACGTGACTAGCAGCCACGGCAGCCATACTGGAGGACAAGCCCTGCTAGCTATCTATACTGGACGTTCAAAACTAGAACTCTCTCGAACTACATGAAAACTGAACAGAGAATTTGAAACTTCAACCTAAATTCATGAATCAGATCCTCTGAAAATGCATCCTAAAATGTATTATTAATGTTTATCGTTACATCCAGGTTTACCGCGGTCGCATATTGTCGCATTAAAACAGTTTTTTTTCATGAAAACGTGAACAGAAAATTCTGAAAACCTCTGTGCACGTGTATTAAGAATGTATATGTATAATGTATTCTCCGATTAACATTGAATGTGTTTATTGTTACACCATGGATCTATGTGTGGCTACACTGCAGTGGAAATAATGAGATTACATTCAAATCAATGGAGCTTTCTGCGTCTACTGTGAGGAGCCGTATATTTTATTAATAAATACTAGTACGGGGCACCCTGGAGCACGGCTCAGTCGTTCACATGTCTGCTGGCCTTCGGTAAGTCAGATACCCTGTGAACCGGGTGAGGTCCTGTGTGAGACCAAATATATAACAGCTATGCTACAAGCTAAGCTACAGTCTATGGAGCAACCCCACGTTGCAGTCAGACAGATATGTTTTATCCTTAAACTTCTGTTTGTTTCGGAATAACACTAAATCCGCCATCAAATTGATTTTACTTAGCAGAAATGAAATGATCCGAGCATATTCGGGCGCTCTGGGGGCTATTAGTTTTTTGTTGTTGCGTATGGTTGTGCCATTTCTCTCTCGTTTCTTTGAGATGTCTTCTGTTTTTGAGCCGTGTGAAGTAAGGACGACTGGCAGTCGGTAACACAACTTATTTTCCCTGTCTCTCCTTTTGCTGCAGCCAAAAACGGCAAAAATGTTGAACATGTTTATGCGGTCCCGGGTGCACGCCACTATCATACAGCGTTTGTTTGTCCTCCAGTATGGCATTGGCGGATGCCCCGCGAGTTCGAGGCATCGTGACGTCACGTGAGATATCTCTATATTGTGTCTCTTTGTGTGTTACGTTTTACCTGTATTTTAAAAGCTGATCAGGCCATTCTATGCACACTGTAAACCTGCTGTCACTTTGCCTCTGCTAGCTTGCTATGTTTGGTCAGTACTACACATTTAAATGAATTAATTAATGCTGTCTTTTAGAATCTTTGATTTAAGGTGGTGTAATTCTTGATTTGTTCAAGGAGGGACTTGTAATAAATGATGTTTTCAGATTCACATTCAACAGTGGATGCCAGAGCAGGGGTTTGTCAGGTGTAAACAGTACATGATAGATCAAAATATGCATGGGGTAGTGAGGTTTCAAAGCTAACACCTCCCTCATAGGGCAGGATCAAATTCAATCAACAGATCTTCTCAGCAATGAGAGAATGCTTCTTTTATGCTACTTTAAAAAACAAACAAACAATACAGGACAGAATTTAATGAATATGTTGCATTCCCATCTGTATATCTTGATACTTTAAACAGGAGCAGTGTATTCTACCTGTCAAGTTCATCCACTGGTTTCCCAGAGCCGCCCAGACCACAGTAGCAGCCATAGTCCACATAGTCCAGGATGGGCCAGCTGTCGGGCACGGTGCAGAGGATCATGGCCCTGAACTGCCACACAGCTCTGTTCCCCAGCACTACACACACGTCACATCACAAATTTCACACACAAAAATAATGACAATGATAATAATACATCACACTTATATAGCGCTTTTTTGGACACTCAAAGACGCTTTACAAAACACATAAAAATAAACATTGAAGAAGAAAATGAAGGAAAGGCAAGCTGAAGCAGGTGGGTTTTGAGAAGTTTCTGATGGGTTGTGGGAGTGAGTTCCAGAGAGTAGAACAGCCATCATAAACATCACTGTCATAGAGGTGTAGTGGAGGGTCCATCACCTGCTTCTCTCAATAAAATGGTATTGCCCTCTTTACATGTTCGACTTGTACAAACATCTTTAATTTATTCTAATGCCGGCATAATACATTAAACTTTTCTAAATTGATTTTTGGGGTAATCTATAGATCCCTGGTATTGTCATTTTTGTTGTTTATTGTTAGTGCTATAATGCGAGTCATGTGCAGGCTATACTCACAGAGCGGGAGGCAGAGGAGCAGGATGGACAGGGCCTGGGACAGATGCATGATGAGAACCAGGCTGAAGACTGTAGCTGGAGCATTTTAAAACCCTTTGGAGAGGGTTATATGAGGAGAGTTTATCTTTGACCTATCACCTTCAGGCATGCTCTGTACATTGTGTAATTCAAAGGCATATATAAATAAATATATAGAGATTGTCAAACGGCCATGAAAAACCCTAATCTAACAAATAATCAAAGACATGGTATTAAATGAAAATATAATAAGTATTGGTTGGTTTGTATAGACTACATGTATGTTTGCACTTTACATTGAAAGTCAAAGTACATTCTGTGGAAAACCATGAGAAACCAGACATGTGGCTGGTTGTTTGCTCATCTGTGTGCTGGGAATTTAAATTCAACTTGTTATAGAGTACAAGTGAGGGGACAAAGTGTGAAGAGAGAAAAGTTTGCATTTCAAACAGGAAATTCAAATAATACATTTTAGATTAGTAGCTACTTATTTTATATGTCTTTAGTCATGCTTTACAAATACTTGTGTAGAAAAAGAAACGTGTTACAAGTTCACGTTTAATGCGGCCATCTCTGCGGTCTTATCTCTTTTATCAGTGCAGGTATAAAAAGCCCTTTGCACTCGGACACACTTTCTCCAAGCTGGAACCATGTCCCGGACGCTCCTGGCTCTCCTTGTAACCGGTAGGATTTATAAATGATAAGATTAGAATATTGTACAAAAGTTCTTCTGTTTCTGTCATTCAACTTAAAATGTGAAACTAATATATGATTTAGACTCATTAAAAGCAAAGTGACGTATGCAAAACACGTTTCTTTGTTATAATTATGAAGACTACGGCTTACAAGGCCATTTTCGAATTATTCTTACATTTTATGAGACATTTTATTTGAGGGTTTTCCAAGCAGTGGGCGAGTTATCAACAAATTAAGGCTTGATACATCTTACGTTGCATGTAATAAGTCTATCTATTAGTTTAACATTATTATTTGGATTATTTATCATATTATTTGACTTGACGATGCTCAAAGTACGCAGAATGTCCTTGTAAGCACCCTATTTTTAAATGATATTCCCAATCGGTTACTGAAGAATGTTCCTGCTTGCTCGTCCAGTTTACAATGTTTTTGTTGGCAGTTTGTGTGGTTAATGGAGCCACTCTTCCAAAAGCCTTATGGCAGTTTGGAAACATGATTCGGTGCTCTCAGCCTGGAGTCAACCCTCTCAAATATAATGAATACGGCTGCTGGTGTGGCTTTGGAGGGAAAGGGACTCCCGTGGATGAGCTGGACCAGTAAGAGCTGCATTTTAAATAGATGTGAGGTTTGGGTTGTTTGTGAAGGACAATAATTATGTGGGGATGTCTGGTAGGTGCTGTAAAGTGCACGACGACTGCTACTACGCGGCCAGACGGGCCCCCGGGTGCACCAGTGTAGCGGATCTCCCTTATGTTCTGGTTTACGATCACACCTGCTCCAACCAGAGGGTCACCTGCTCAAGTACGACAAGTACCACTGAGGTTCACATTTGGTCCAAGAGTTTGCGTTCATGTGACATTACTAGATTCCAAAGAGTTTATAGATTAGAGTTGTGGTGGAAGGCAGTTGAAATATCTTTCCTGGCAACTATAGAACTATCAAAAGTCAGACTTATGATCTCGTTTAAAGCAGATTCTATCATTCTTGGGTCAATCCATACCAATCAAAAAGCTGTCAGAAAGTTCCATATTTTCTGTCAGTACCATAGTCAGTACGTAATAACCATGGTCTAATACGTTCTCATAGAGGTGTCTAGAAGAGGTGAAAGTATTCAAAAGCATAATGCACAATTTTGGCCAGTAGAAAGAACATTCATTCATAAGAATAATATGGAGGGTTTGTGAATCTAATATCAAAAAAAGATCTGGGAAGACAGTTGTAGGCTTCTTTCCAATAGACTTGTATTAGAAAATGGGGAAGCATTAAACCACTAACTTTATTTTCAATACTTTTCATCCTTTGCCCTGGTGGAGCAATAGTTGCACTTTCTTAAAAAAAATAAAACAAATACTTCAATCTATTTTGATCTAAGTGGACACATAAAAATAACTGGAATAACGTAGTTTTCATATTGTATCATTGTGGGTAAACAGAGCGCCGCCCCTTGTCCTTGTCACCTCTCTTTTTTTAACCAGATTGGTGATGTCATGTGACTGGTGCACTTGCGTTTGAAGTGAAATCCAGTCCTCTTAACCAGTGTGAAAATTCCCAGATGGTAGTCCTGGCGGTATCATTCAAAAGGACTGGGGACACAAGGTCTAATTGATTATTTCAAAATAAATCTCCAGCATCTTTTACAAGACGAAGATTGAAAAGGATTTTCCCAGATGCAGCTTTTAATTGAATTAGTGTAACAACATTTGCCTTCTACAACAATATTACTTTATCACTAAACAAAAGAATCATTACACTTTCACACTTATATATCAAATAGGTTAGCAATTCTAAATCTTTAAAAAAATATTTTGGTTTTCACCCAATTTTGATGCAAAATACTTGCATTACCTGCACAAATAAATGCATCTCGTTATATTTTAAAGCGTTGGGGCCTTACTGAACATTTGCTAAGTACAAGGGTTTATAAGTGATGTTAGCGGTGACTAAGAAAACACTATTGCCTTTTAAATATCTAACATAAGAATGCCTATTTTTCAATGTTCTTTTGATACATAATAACGCAAGAATTGTATCAATATCAATGTGTTTGTATTCACCAACTGCTGATGCCTGTTCTCTCCTCAGGCACCAATGACAAGTGCCAGGCCGCGGTGTGCGAGTGTGACCGCGTTGCAGCCCACTGCTTCGCTGAGTCCACATACAACCCTGAAAACAAGAACCTGGACTCCAAATTCTGTGTCTGAAATCATAATATAAATCTAATAAAACATAATGTATGAAACAAAATACCTGCCTCTTGTTTGATGTAATTTAAATAACTCCCCGGTAACAAAAGCAGGAGATGATTTGATTTTGGTAAAAAATGACTGAGAATGGACATCTCCATAAGAAATACAATGTTTTAATAGTTTTACCATAAGAAAACATTCACAGTCTTACAATTAATTTGAATGTAGTTCACATACAAAACATCACAAAATTATCAATGCATTCAATTATCACTCAATAGAGCTTAAAAAACAACATACACCAATAATAAGTTCAATAATATTTGAACAGGAATGTACGGAGTGAGAATGATCACCGCAGTAGAATGTCCATGAGACGTTCTGCTCTGATGTGGGTTAAATGGGTTTATAGAGAAGTGTCGTCACATACTTCTTTTTGTAGCGGTGAGTCGCACTGAGAACCATGACTCCATCCTGTAAGAACATGAAGAGGAACATTCATGTTTTAGCTACATGTGATATACAACACCACCTTTCCATTATTTGTATCTATTTTGTCATACACCTACATGTTTTATCATTCAGAATTGGTTCCATCATTTAGAGTTCAGTTACTTAGAAATACAAAATGGGGGGGGGGGGGGGCACAACTTATATTCTATTATATATAATTATTACATTATTCAATTTATTAGAGGCCAAAGCTACAGGCTTCAGAAAGAGTCCAGCTATTTGTTTATTATCATTCACAAAGATTTGACTGATTGTCGCCAATCGTTTTAGAGTAAAGAGGCAGCATGAGGGTTTTAGGATCCTCCAAAAATGAGAAACAGGTGTCTGGCTTTGAATATTTGTTTTCAAATCAACTGGATGTCATCCCCAGCATATAAATAGGTAGCTTTCAACAAAGACAACCAACTTTTTATTTTGTTTGCGGTACTTACCTTTATGGACAGAGCGTAGAGATGATTGAGCATCACATGGTTTGGCTCTGGAAGTAGTGTTGGGTCGCACTGAAGAAATAAAATTAAACAATTCAGATTAAAACTGCAGCTAATCCAAGTTCTAATACTGTTTTATTTAACTTACAGAGATCCCAGTGTCTTTGTTGAGCAGCACTTGCAGCAAATGTGGAGGTAAATAAGGAGGATGTTTCATTTTCTCCTCTGGTTTAACGGAGTAAGAGTCCTGGTGGTACGGCCCGGGCGGAGAGCTGGACAACTCTGTGAAAGCATGTCATTATTACATGGTATAAAGTATACTACTACAGAACACAACGGTTTATAAAACAATTCCATATTTTGGTATTTCCATCGCTTTTACCAGCTATATTGTGAGAATCTTTGACACTTGTGGCTGGTTACGACCTCCGCCACAAGGAAATGTAATAATGTTAGTTTTTCCACATCTGGAATGTACTCATTATATACTTATCTTCTATACTTCATTAACTGGCACATAACACAAGATCAAGTATTTACCTTCAGTCGAATCCTCAGAGTCAATTCTCAAGGCGTCAAACACTTCAAAGTCTGTCCTTTTCACCTGGATCACATTATTCACGGTTCCAGTTTTTGACGTCACGACGGACTGCAGGAGGTAAAGGCCATGTTTGTAAATCGATCCATGAAAAGCAAAGTGTTTTATCACTTCATCCATCAGTAACTCACCCCAGTGGGATCTAAAGTCCACTGTCCGTCCACACTGAACTTGTACTGGTGCTCTCCTTCAGGAAGATCCACTATAGCCACAAAATTATTCTGGCTAAAAGCAAAGCAGATGAAACAGTGCATGTTATGCATCGACTTCCTTCCTCCCTCCCTTTTAAAGAATTGTGCTTTTATCTGCTATAAATAGCACTTGTTGATTGTTAGACCCCAGCCAACAAGGGGGTATTGTAATCATCCATGTTTAGGTTTAACTAAACGGATATAAGTGGAAATTAGGTGAGTGATCATAGATTCTATTAATGCTAACCCGCTCAAGGACAAAGTTAGGCTCCAACTTGCTCTGGCTCTTATTGACTCACAATGCAAGAGGGGTTTAACTTGTAACGATTTATGTCACACTAACACTTTTGGGTTTACACAATCTGTGGTTTAGCAATCGTGGCATTTATATTTTGATGTAGTCTTTGTAAATCCAAATATGATCCTTATAAGGATGCATACAATTTCGATGCCTTCATTTGTGAGGTAAACTCCAGCTTGGTGGTGTTGGTGGGGTATGTGCTCTCCGAGTGCAGAAAGTCTATTTGTGTAGTAGAGTATTTGACATTTTAAATATCATTATCGATCAAAATTATTGATATTAGCCTGCTTATTGTTAGTACATTACTATAAAAAAAAAAAACACTCAAAAAGAACAGACATTTACAGAGTAGATCAAATAAATACATAAAAAAGGAAATTGATGTTCACTTATCATTAATTACACGTTCATCGTGTTCACCCAAAGAACCTCTTCAGTGTAACTAGAATACCTTTTGTTGAGTGGAATTTTGGAGGCCCAGTTGTTGAATGATCCAGAAACATAGACTTCTTTGGCTGCTCCAGTCCACCTGAACACTGTGGGTCTGGCTTGAGTGGAACCTTTGGTTAAACACTCGAGATCTCGCTGCCATTCGAAAAACTCCTGCATTTCAGCATTTCCCTGGACAGGGCAAGTGCACAATATTTTTTAAATTACTGTTGCATATACAGTGCCACGCAATATTATTTACATTTGGATCATTACATTTTTGATGGTAATAATTGAAAAATCTGTAATTAAGGAATCTTAAATCATTGGTCTATCATCACTGGAAATAATTATTTATATCAAGACATTGATTTTGTTTACTCATTTGTTGCTTACTTGGTCGAATATTAGCATATTAAATCTAGGGATGAAAAAAATGTATGTTCTGAAAAGCAGAATTTATTTAGTAGGATATATTTCCAACCTTTTGGTCGTCTCTTTGGAACAGGTCTGCGTCTTCAGTGCTGTCCAACAAGATCTTGGGCCGGGGGTCTTTTCCTCCGGGCTGCTGACCGTCCCGATACGAGGGGGACCCCCCTGCGCCCCCCCGGTCACTGCTGCTGTTCCCCATCCCGCACACACGCCTCTGTCTGCGGCCAAACAAGTCACAAACACGTCCGTAGTGAGACACAGAGCCGAGTCTGTCACTGCAGGAGAAATGTTTCCATTGAAATCCTAAATAAAGAACCTCACGGGAATGTTCCAGCGCAGGAGTCACTACAGCTGCTTTCACTTCTATGAAGTTATAGTAAGTTTACGCCTTTGTTTACTAATGAAGAAGTTTGTTTTTAAGATCAGGAACATTGACCAACAGCAGCCTCTTCTTCAAAGTTTACTGGTTTGTTTTCCGTAAAGAAAACACACCTCTTCCGCCTGCGGGAAACACGAGGTTAAAGATTAACCCTGTGAGCGCCGAATGCTCAGCTCCGTCACTCACACAGTTATATTATTATATCATTACATTATGTATCATGTTTATAAATGTTTATCCAACTGAGCATCAGGGACTGCCCTCCACATGTGGGCCATGAGGTGTGTGTTTCTCATCTTTTTGGTGTAATTCTCACAGCTCTCATATTATGTGTTTATTTACAGTCTATGTTTATCACCACCAGACGAAAAAACACAGTCATCAAGATTTCATTGTTGATTAGAGGGAACACTATGTTTTCAACACAGATGATTTCTTTAGTCCATCAGACTGCCTCCATTGGACAGCAGAAGACTAACAAGTAAAGTTTAGGGGATTTGTTTGGAGATAATGAAGGTATTTGAAAGTCACTTGTGTTTCACTTTGAATACATGGATCAAATGTCCCACAGTTGTCATGTTTGGATGATTTAATTTCCAATCCCATTTGATATTACTGTGTATAATTGAAACCCCCATGAAAACATGTTGGCCTAAATTAAAAGAATTATATTCGGAAGGAAGTTAGACCCACTGAAACCTTGTTAAATGTGAGAACTAAGGAGAAAGTCAAGATAGTCCATATTTGATAACGCTCAGAGCACTTTGTTTATAAGCATCATGGGAGAAAGCTGCATATTCTACTCTACTGTTTTACAAGCAGTACAAAAAGAAAACTGAGGTGACATCTAATGATCTGAGAGTACACACAGGTTCATAAGACAGAATTAAAATAGAAATGTATGAGAGTGCTAACTATAGGAGCCTTTGATAATACAAGCTGCTTTGATGCTTTTGCTACAGCAGTGGTATGTCTTAGGTGTGAATAAAATAAATAACGCCATGTAAAGCATCCAGAAAAGCGCTATATAAACCCGATGTATTAGTATTTATGAAACATACAATTAGTCTAGACTACTTGTTTATTATTAAAAACAAAATATTCACATATGTATTCTTTAAATGTGAAGACATTTTCTAAAATATAATTTACAAAGTGCTGTTGTTGTTGAAGTGGGCTGAGAGAGGATATAGCACTGTCGCTTCTCAGCAAGAAGGTCCTGGGTTCCAATCCCAGTCAGGACAGGGTCTTTCTCAGAGGAGTTATGTTCTTCCCGTGTCTGCTCCGGTTTCCTCCAGGTGCTCCGGTTTCCTCTACCACCGAAAACTATCTACAATTGGAAATATAGGTAGTAGGTTGATGCCGAAGTTGAGCATCAACACCTGGATGCCGGGTGCTGTACGGCAACGACCACTGCTCTTGACGGAAGCCTTAGTGGCTTCAGGATGGGTCAAGTGCAAAGGATTAATTGCTCTAACTAAAGTGCACCTAAAAAAATAAAATGAAAAAACGTTATCCTTTCGAGTAAAAGTAATGCAAACAAAAATGATAAAAAGAGCACAAGTAAAAATACATTTTTAAAGTACTACGGTGTAATCATGCAAAACCTTCACCCACATATAATTGTGTATAATTGTCAGAATTGTGTGTATCAAACGTGTAGCTTTGCTTGTCATGTCGATAGAATACACACATAAAGTAATGAGAGTATGTCATTTATTACAATTTAATTCATTTAAATGGAATGATTTTATTTACTACATGTGCTTTAGGAGAACTGTGAAGTAAAACATTTAAACCATTTCTAACTGTACCAACTGTGTTATTATAGAGTAGACAGGACACATAAGTGGAATGTTTTAAAATAATTTATTAGGAATTTTAAAAAGTTGTTTTTTGTTCAAAGGAATAACAACTGGAAAAAAGAAATCTTAAAATGTTACAGTGTTGACAAGATTGTTATTTCTCAGTGACAACAGGAGTGTAAACTACTGTGGCAGCATCAGCATGATCTAACAGTATTTCCCAGCAGAAGAGGTTCTGAACTTTACATGATGGGCCAGTGCAACGTCTCCGAACGGGATTGATTTGGTCTAAATAGCTGTCACATTGCTACAGTCGGTGACTTCCAGTGGATATGCAGTGAAAGATTGTGGGTCTTGATGAGTAAACATGAGTTAATAAGACTTTATGACACCCACAATGACAGAGATGTTAATATAATTATTTCAAAAGTCAATCAAAAGAGTTTCACATTTGTAACGGAGGTACCGTCCCCAAACAAACAGCTCATGGCACATTGGACTCCAATGTGAAAACCAGCGATACTTCTCCAGCTGCAGAGCCGTCAGAGCTGCTGCAGCCAAGTCCTTCATTCACAATCAACACAAAGCATCACAGTTAAAACAATATGACAAAGTAACAAAACAATTTGTTTTTTTCGCTCCTTACACACGCTCTCATAGACCCCTGTCCTCCTCACAAACTTATGATACGTAACAGTCGCAGTTTACAACACTTGAGGAAGAAAATCTTTCCTCAAAGTTTCCCCAAAAACCCCAAACACAAAAATGTGCATCCCCTCCCCCCAAATCATTATTTACAATATATTACAGAATTGTACAGCGTTCATAGGCCTGTATGTTACCGACTAATGACCTTTCCCTCGGGCGATTATTAGTGAATCAAGTTTTGTTAAAAACCTACCAAGATATACATTTTGTGACACATTGTCAAGTAAAAGTATTAATAACAAATGCTTGTTAAGTTTCAGTATGAACTACTGACAAATATACAGTTTTGTCAAAACATATTACATCTCCTGACCTCCAAATATCACATTCAAAGATCAAACAACCCCAAAAAACAGCAAAAACAGAAAGAGCGTTATAGCAGGCGTAACTTCAAATAAAACAAGAAACAAAGAAAATATATATAGATACAGATTCAGCAATGACTTGACAAAACCTCAACGATGGCACGTTGAGTTCAGCGTTGTCAGTGTAGACACCAGCGTGAGGTGCACGCACGCCCCGTCCAGACCAAGAGGGGCTGGAGTCAGGGTGGATCAGCATCAACTCCTTCCAGCTCCAAGTCTACAACAGACAAGACAAGTTAAAAAGGATACAACACAAATGTTAATTCAAGGAACTACAGCCAAACTCACTCTCTCAGTGATATCCATTAGTAAAGGCTGTGGCAATCAAAGGGCCCTGTGGAGACAAATATGAATTAGAAATGTGCATTGTGCAACATTTGCAGCCAGTTTCCCCGGGGCAAACTGAACTGAACGAGAGATCAAACCAGTAACATTGGGAGCCCATAATCACGCCCTATTCTTACTCTCTTCGCCTCATGTTAAAGAACACATTTCCCCTGCGGCCTAACACAACTTTTAGACAACAGTTGAACCTCTAAGACTAACTATGAGCTGTCCCTAAAATGCTTAAAACTCTACTCTCATCCATCCCCATCGCTACCAAAGAGAACCCTACCACACCGTTGTCAAGAGCACTACTACCTCTTAACTAGATACTGACCAAATTCTCTGCTGGCGCCAACTTAGCAACAAGTCTAATTGATTGGAGCTGCTGTACTGACCCCCAAACTGTGGCTGAATCCAGTGCTCGGGGCAGGGCTAGCAGCGCTGAGGTAACTGCTCACAGCGGACTCCTGACTGGCTGTCCCGTACAGCTCTGCCATTGGCCCAGGGCTGCTCGTACCTAAAAACCCAGAGCGAGATGGGGTGGAGCCTAGAATGAAATATAACAGTTTTGAGTAAACTATACCTATAGCACAAACGCTCAGGCTTCCAGTGTCTGTGCATGGCAGACACATGTATTTTAAGTTTGGTCATTTAGAACGTTTAGAATACTGTACCTCTGACTACTGCTGCGGCCGCTGCTGCTGCCATTGGTCCGTATGCTGTAAGAGGAATGGCTAGAAAGGGAAAAGATGAAGATTAGCAACAGACAACTTATCAAAAAAACCGCAAAGAAATTAAATATTTCCAGTTATTGGACAAACTATTCGGTACTTGGGTTAGTGCAGTAAAAAAGAGATTGTAAAGGAGACATATTATGCATTATTTTTGGACCTTAAATGTGACAAAGATACATTTTACTTTGGGATTTTATGTTTGAGAATATGAAATTTTCTACAAAGAAGAATTATTTTGTGTTCTTTTCTTTTTTCTCAACATCGATAATTGCATAAAATCTTACAGACGTGCAGTTGTAAAGAACATCATTTTCACCAGAGAAAGTGCCAAGAACTAATATGGGGGCTTTAAAAGGCAGAATATGGCTCTGAGCATGATACACTAAGGCATGGCTGTCAAAGTCAAGGCCCGGGGGCCAGATCCGGCTGCAAGACAATTTTTTGTGGCCCCTAAAACTACTTTTTTATTATCATTAAGTAGCAGCAATGATGGTAATGGGCCACCAAGGCACGTTATACATCATCTATTTTCTCAGGAAAACAACCAAATGTAATGTATTCTAACATTTTAATCCAATAACACATCATTAGAATTCAAATAGTTCAATATAAAATGTGTCTACCCATATAGTTGATCCAGTTTTGGTTTAATCTAAACAATAAATGCATTTTGTTTTCAGAAAAATAAACCAGAAAAAACGTATTAAAATACCTTCATAATGTAAAAAACTATTCTCTTGTGTTTCGGCCCCCGACCAGTTCCAAGTTTTTTTAATCGGCCCTTGACCAAAATGAGTTTGACACCGCTGCACTAAGGATTCAACAAAGCGAACCAAGTTTGATAAAGAAGTAATGGGGGGGGGTTAGCCCTTGATACAAGAGTTATTCATATCAGCCCGAATGGAGCTAAAATTAGGGAACAATATTGTAACACGGCAAAAAGTATTTGTTTAAAGTTGATTTTGCATAATATGTCTCCTTTAAAATTACTGACTAATAATTTGTCAATGGGTTTTTTTGTTAGAATGAGACATGGAAGAAAATAATAAAATATGGAAAAAATAATTGGTCTACATTTAATCAGTGCTGGAACTAACCAAACTAAGGTCTTATATTCACTTCTGAATTCAATATGCAAACAAACCACAGAAAATAAAGTCTCAAAGATAGTAAATAACTTGTGTACATATGGTTAATAAGTAGATATGGCCAATTAGAATTCATAGATTAAGATCATGCATTTTTTGGCAACATAGCCATTATACATGTTCAAATTCTGTGTAACTTTTTGCTTGTAATGGCATTTTTAAAATACAGATCTCTATCTAACAAAAAACACAACTATGACAGTGGAAGCTGAAGCAGACTGACAACACAAACATGCAAAACGAATGAGATCAAATGAAATGGCGGTAAAGGTAACGGCAGTATGATGCTGCTTGTAAAGTCCAGAGGAGGCACTGACTGACCTGTGAGTTCAGGGGGGTGGGGTGAAGTCAGAAGGGGGGTCCTCTCTAAGTGGAACTCTAAAACAGAAACATCAGCTGTGAGACACACCACCAGTATCACAGAGGAGGAGTAGGGAGGGTGGAGAGGGGAGGTAAGGATGCTACGGACCAGGGGTAGAAAATTCATACGTTAAATGTTACATGGTACAAATAAAACAGTCTTAAATCATTAATATCTTGGAAAAAACAAGTCCTCTCCCTGATGTTTACAAGCAGACTTTGTCGTGAGGTGCTCATTCTCACGACGTAATATGAATGCCCCCAGTATGGACAAATAGAGTTTATGTTGTCTATATCAAAATCTGTATGCTTGTCTTGGCACGTGTGTGTAAATTCAAGCCAACCCATTTTTGTCATCATAATGCATAGACTATTGATGGACAATAAAGTTATTATTTTCTATTCTAGACTATGTACAGTCGAGAGGCTTTGAGTGTTCACACTTGAAATAGACATTTTTCTTGTCCTATTGGCAACATTTACTTGAATCTACCACCGTAGATATGTCATCAATTTTTGCAGTGTTAAAAGTTTAAAAACAAAAACAAAAAAAACTTTAGATAATGTGATGTGAAACTTAGTGTGGACCTTATGCTGGATGGACCTAATGAACCAACGAACCATATATAGAGCATGTTGGGATTGGTAGACTGAGGCTGTTCTGTTCATCCACATTGAAAGAATAGAGCCCTGGTTTTGCATGTTTGGTGACTAAAATTATTATTGCAAGATTACTATTATTATGATTGTACTTTCAACATACAGCAGCAGCAATCCTACATTCTAGCATTCTACAATGTCTTTATGTTACAAAAGAAATCGTGATTTTACCGGGAAACTGGTATGTGTATCCGGGTGTGATGCCAGCGTAGCTCCGACTGGTGTAAGTGGCTGTCTGGAAGCCTGGGTACCCTTAAAAAAGAAGAGAATTGGAAATTCAAGACAGAGTAGCACAGCTCTGTTAGTTCTATGAACAAAGGCTCCCTCTTGTGGAGCACATTTGTACTATAGGAACTAGAGATGTTTGATATTCTACACCTGGGATCTGGATTTTGGCTGTTCGCTTGTTTGTCTTCACTCTCAGAATTAATCACATCAAAGAAATAGAAAACTGAGAACCGGGCAAAGTCATTGTACATTCTTGACTGCAGAGTGCAATGTCCGACCACGTTTAATAATCAAAAACAATGAAACTTCACTTAAATACACATTTTCCTATTGTGCTACTTGTTTACCTAGATGCACAGCACACCACGTCCTTCAATGTTGCACTGAAGTATTTGAACAGTAGATGGTGCCACAAGAATCTAGTTTGCCGAGTTCATACACTGACTTAAATAGAATGCTACACTATTGATGAGACTATTTATTCTGTTTTTTCCCCCAATAGTTCAAGTATTGCCTGAAGCCCCCACTGAAAGATCAAGGCTATGCCATAGAGCGGCCATCCTCCTGTGGACTCACCACCTGCAGGAGGATCAGTGAGGGGCTGGTGCTATGTGTACTGGGTGGCATCTCTGGCCACCCCCCCGACCCAGAAATGGATTAATGGGTAGAAAATGGATGGATGGATGGATAGTTCAAGTACCACCAGTTCCAACATCTACGGTCTGTGGACCTAACCAGTAAGTGTGACTGTGTACATTAGATTATCTCAATAACATTCAAAATAGTGGAAATCCATCATAATTATGTTAAAACAAAATGTCTTCTTTGATGTAGTTAAATATAAATCTAACCACAACAGAAACACAAATGTATAACATTAGATGCTTCGATGGTTGATTCTTTGTGCCTGATTTACACTCATCTCAACCCTGGTTACCTAACTATAGATCTATGTGCATGGGCAATGCAAATTAAATGGATCTCTTTAGTTAATTCTTGTACTAATAAAATAAATAATCAATAAATTACAGTAAATGTCAAATATTTTGATGTTTTACTTCATTGCTACTTTCAATGTTGTTCTGTAGTGGAGGCGGCGAGAGGCGCTCGTGATTATTTTGGGCGTCTCTGGTCTAAACTATGGCCAAACCAGTTCAAGGACAAGAACAAGGACGAAGCCAAATGAGGTCCTAGCATTCATTAAAATCACTCTTAAGTCTCAGAATGCTGAGAAGTCCATGTAGCATTTGAAGGAGCTCGCATAGCGCTGTTTGACAACTAGAGCCAGTCTCTTTCCATTTTTGTTGAAGAAAATTGACTCATTATGATTATGTTGTACTTCTTGTTTTCTGTCATCAGAATAGGCAAACATTAAGTGTCTGTATCTTGTAGGTATCGTATGTGATATTACAGAAACTGCAGCATGATTAACTATGCATGACTTGTGTGCGTGGCCAGGTTAAATGGTCAGCCCTCTCCCCTTGACATCTCAGTGACATTTCAACCAGATGGGGCATTAGTGCAGTTATCCAGGTAAAACACAGTTGCATACTTCCTATTCTGATCAATATCAACTTACCGAGCATACCAATCCCCAGCATGAAGGCATCCATCCCATAAGGCATCACCCGAGAGCGCCCCCTAGCGGAGCCAGTGGGGGACATCACTTCCTTGGGCTGAGCCTTCTTACACTCCACCTGTCATTGCAAGATGCTTTTTCAAAATGTAATATTTTTTGTTTTTACAAATCATTCTGAAAAGCATTGACTATTGACTATAGGCAAATATGTCTAAGATGAGAGAACATTTCAGTGTTGCAGCACAGTGTTGAATATGAAAAAGAACCTGCTATAAGGGAAATCTGCAGTGTCACCTAAATGTTTAAAGGCTGTAGAACCCCTCAAACACACTTGTCTAACTAAATGACTGAGCACTGCTGCAGCTGTAAAAGGCTGTGCATGCACTGTGAAATACAGCTGCAAAGGGAAGGTGCAGGACCGAGGGCTACAGGAAGACCATGGCTGTCCTCTGAACTAATCACCGCGGTGCAGACAAGCCACAAAAGTTTTCTGATGACTTGATATGAATGAGAAGTGCACTGTAAAAAAAAAGCTCGCAAAATTGGACAAACACAAAAAAATCCACAAAACTGAGAGGTCATGAAAGGTGAACCGCATTATAGTGTGGAACGACTGTAAGCTGCAGGTTCAGTAAATCATAACACAGGACCATACAAAAACTAAATCATAACCAAATCAGGAATAGAACTAATACAATTGATTCAAAAACAAGAATAACCTTACTATTAAATCATTTATAAATCAGCATAATTGTAACTCACCATTTTATTGTTGATTTCATGGAAGTGTATCTCGCAGACTTTCTCCACCACATCTTCATTCTCAAATGTCACAAAACCGAAACCTAAAGATAATTAGAAAAAGTCTATCAAAGTACTATATGAACAGTTTACAGACAAAAAACACAAAAAGTAACCTGAAGTTCTAAAATGTCATCAATGGAGCTGTGAAGTGTCCGCCTACCTCCATGTTCCGGAAGTAAAACAAATCAGACTCAACGCTTGTTCTGGGTTGATGAAGAACTGAATAATGACGTATAAAGTATATTATTGACACTATACAGACCGCAAAGTTATGGACATACTGTATTTAGCCATATTTTACATGGTAATATTGCTTTTAGGGCTGAAAACAACAATGCTGTGAATAGTTGTAATGAACAGTCCAGTTTCGACATTATTCCACAAAGAATCTTGTAAAAGATCCATAGCAGTTATGCCAAAAAGCTAGTTAGACTCCGCAAGGTTTTCAAACCATTTGGATTTTTCAAAACACCTGTGGGGACTTTGTCTGCAGACTGCCACTTCGCAGCTCCAAACAACAACAGCAGTCTAAGCAAAGGCACCCGTCATAACTGCCACCTATAGTAACATAATAAACACTTACATTTATCTTTTATCTACAAACTATGACCATCTAATCTACATTTTGTGTAAACGCGTTAACCGGTGCATTTGTTCTGTATATCATTTGCAGTAATCGGCACTGTATCAGCTCCTTAATACGTTGCACCTTCTCCCCTTCCCCCGTTCTGTAACAAGTTGTCGCCCTGGACCAGAAGGCCGGGGCAAAGCCTGTTGCCTGTCATAATCGATCAGTCCCGGGACGCAGAGGAGGTGCTTAAGGAGGCTTTATTCTGATCCCGATTAACGGACTGGCTAATTAGACTGGCCCTGTTCTTCTGCTGTAGCTCAGCCCACAGGAAGGAGCCCTGTGGGGAGAGGCAGCGAGGGACAGGGGGCGGATCAATGGGCCACAGGAAGAAGCACGAGCACATTCAGACAGAGGTGTAGCAGCGACAAATTAGGAAAGGCACACTTCAACATTCTGGAAATTATAGATTTGGGTTTATTAGAATAAATTATCTCTAAATGCTTGTTGCATATTGGTCTTCTATGGTGTCCTTTGCTTTTTTATACTTCAGAAAATAAATATTTGTTAAGCATAGAGATATGAGTATTATTTACAGTAGTTTATCTTGTTTTGTTCTTTATTGTGCGTTACACAACATACAAATAAAGGTTCTCTAATCTTCTCCAATCTCTTCTCGTATTTTACAATTGAATATTTTGGAAACATTGGCTTTACATTTATTTTTTCCAGTTTGGTGTTACTTGAGCAACATACTCCTTCAAGTATTATTGCAAGTTTTGCGATGATCATTATAACTTTTGGAATCCTGATTTCACCAAGTGTGTTTTATTATATTCTTTATTTGAAAAAGGTTAAATGTTTGGCCAAACATTAAAATACCCACAAAACAACTCTGAAGCCTCACCTCTGTGCCTGTTGGTGGTCTTGTCGAACATGAGCATGGCATCGTCCACCTAAAATGGAGACAAATAAAAGGCCTTTAGGCGCTGATATCTCGCTGGCCACGCGACATATTGCCTGACCTCAGCCCTTCTCAAGTTCTGCAGGAGCAAAGCAACAGATGGACATGAGGGGGAGCGGGGAGGGAGCAGAGGGGACAGGTTTTTATAAGAATATAAGGGGCCAGCGACTTGAAAGAGGTGAATACTGTAGCCTGTGACATAGATTGTTAAGTTGTACACACATTGAACCAGCCACACTTTTATAGCAGGACTAGACAAGGACTAAACTACAAGAAAGACAGGTTAGAACAAATAGGGCTGCAAAGCTGATAACGGTTTATGCTGTGATTACATTTTGTTTTCCCGGACAGAAAGAGTCTTGTGGAAGTGATATTTGGTGAAGAAATCAGACCACAACATTCCGTCTTCAATATATTATATCTTTAACATATTTAGAATAGTTGGCCATTTGAGGGCTGGTAAAGCTGATGAGGTTGATCTAAAGATGTGACACAGGCCAAACATACAAGCCCTTTGTAGTTTCAAAGTTAGGTGCCCCAGCTTTAACAGGAACACCCCAACAGATTAAAGTAAAAGCATTAAGTTTAATACAAGAACATATTCAAACTGGAAAATTATAGTTAAGTTTTAACTAAAGCATAGTCTCATTATAAACTTAATTTAAAATAAATCCACATCCATAGAACAGCCCAATACTTTAGTGCCACTCCTTGCACCTGCTTCAGTCAGAACACTGCTTGATCACAAGTGGTTGCACTTAATGAGTGTTGAAATTGTAAGTTGCTACTGAAAAGTCCAGTCAAAATCCTTCTCACAGCGAGCTCAAACCCCCCTCCACTTCTTTCTATCCGGGTCCAAAGTTTGACATTCCCATGGCAACACTACAAAAAGTCCCTCTCACAACCTACAGGCCTGGGCCAACATCAAATATGGTTTATGAATAGTGAGAGAGTGAATGGGACAAAGGCTACACACCGCATTAGAAGAAAAGAGTGTCTGAGACAGAGAAAAGCCCGTCATATTTGAGAAAGGTGAATCCAGTGCAGGTGGAGACTCGCTGAGAGGGGAAACTGATATGGAGTGAAATAGCGACAGGTGGATTGGTGAATGAGAGCACTCAAAGTTCTGTAAGTATCACCAAGAAGAGGCAGAAGTAGTGGGTCAAAGTGGAGAGGGAGGAGAGCGCAGAGACAAAAGGCCGAGGCAGAACAAAGGCGGCCTGCAGGCTTTGTTTGTTGGCACAGTCGACCATAATTCCTCCTCCTCTTCTCCGTTTGACCTCTCTCTCTTTTTCTCTCCCTGTCTTTCCACAGCTTGGCCTCTTCCCTTTATGGAGAATTAACACAGGTGTCGTTCTACGCAGCGTGCACATGAGATACATGATATTAGGAAAACAGTTATATAATCTGTCCATGTTTATAGTGATTCAAAACATAAAAAGTAAGTTCTCTAGGCAAACTTCAACATTAACAAACATGTCCCATCAGTGATACCCCATATGAAGTTCAAACAACATCAAAAGGAATGATTGGTTATTGAAAATGTTTATTTTTCCATGAGGACTAAGCCAGTACTCATCTCTGGCTAAACTTGAGCTAAGAATAGGATGTTGTCCTTTTGGTCGTGAGCCTGTTTGTCTGTGTCTTGATGAAACTTCTAAACTTGATTCATGTTAAAACTGACCCTCTCATTCAAATTGCTCAAACGTTATACTGCATGTGTCTGGGGTGCAAATAAACATTTGGTAAATTAATATGTTCTATCTGGGTCTATAAAAAGTCCACTGGCAACCGCGGTGGGTATGCTCCACTGAATAATTTGTCATAGTCTCACAGAGAGGGGTGCTTTTGCGTGTGTGAGCGGACCCCCAAGGGCAGTTTGCCTACAGAAAGGTCAGAGGTTATTGAAGAGTGTCAGTCTGTGAAAGAGGACCTGAAGTCACCGGCTCCTCATGGCCTGACACATGCACATCGCCCGCCAACTGTTCAGCTCCAGTATGTGAAACCCACCAAACAAGAGAAATCAAGAGTGGAATTACATGGAAGAGATCTGCCGCATGAGACCACAACCACTCACACTTTCATCTATCAAGTAAACAAGGTGCAGGGTAGCTCCAGCTTTGGAAGTCACATTTAAGACTTTTATAATGCAGTTAGAGGAAATGTAAAACTGCCATCAAGGTTGCACGGCCTTTTTATCCTTTAGTTTCAATTAATTAACTTGTTACAGCCCTAATCAATTATTGAAATATGTATTTACCATGTTTAAGTCTATGTTTTTTTAACCTTACATATCCTTAAAAATGCTGACAAAGAGGTTTTATGACTCAGATAAAAGTCATTATGTGAGTACAGAATGGAATGGAAATGTGATTACGATGCTCTCCAGGGGCATCACTTGAGTTTTATTTTTTTGGTCAAATATAAGATATCCCATATTCACTGAACAAATCGATTAATCTAAAGAATTGTCAACTAATTGATCTTCAAAATAATCGTTTATTACAACCCTGTCTTTTTTACACAACATTCCAAAATCTAGTCAAGGCCTAGAAGAAGGATTTCCATTTCCATGAGTTTACCGGACTGTATTCTATTTGATTTACACTTTGTCATTCTCTGTTGACGCTTTTAAATGCCTAAAATTGGCAAAAACAACTTTTGGAGAAGTAAAAAGGTGTTTCCTTTTCATCAATCAGCACCAGGCTAAGCGCAGTTGACAATTGCATCTTTAAGTGACAAAAATGCAAAGCCACAATCTCACAAATCTAATCACCTTTTTATCAAACTTTAATATTTTGAATTGGGCTTCATCAAATTGAATAACTTTTAAATGATTTATCAACAAAGGGGCAACATAATAATGGTAGTGAAGACAAGAGCAATTCTAGCAACAATAACAGTAAAATAGAAGTGATTTATATGACTTTTTTTGCATTAAACTGCTTTATAAAGTGTTTCAAAGTTAACAACATGTTAAGTATTGGTGTTACTATAGCCAAGTAGACACGGCAATGCAGTCGTTGTGTAAAGACTGTAATCATAGAGTCACTGGTGAAAAATAACTTTGTTCAGATGGTTCTAATAGTGTAATAATAGTTTAGTGAATAATGGTGCTACCTCAACACCTGGATTAACATCATCCCACTTCCAGCCAACAAGATGCAACACGTTAAGCGCACACCTCCTGTACAATGGCTTCCCCGTGATCAAAAACGCTTCAACAATGCCCACTGTAAACATTCAAATCACATAAACAGCTCTAATTGCACTTCCCTGCTCCATATTTCAAAAGGTTGAGTGTTTTAATGCCGCTCGGCCGGACAGCATTCCCTCTTATCCATTCTTTTCCAGCTCTCATCTTCCCTGTTATGCCGGGCCCATCCCTCTCCGCGCCCCTTTGTTCGCACCACGGCGGGGCACAAAAGATCCAGTGAGGCAGTCTAATCAGGAACTTCCATGGATGGTTGGAGCCCACATTTCACCAACTATCCCTCGATATCTCTCTTGGCAAAACTCATCTAGGTGTTATGATTGAGCGGGGAGCAGAGGGGAAACTTAAGGCCCAAAACTATATAGTCGCCCTGGAAATACATGATGTGGTCAGTGTAGGTCTGAAGAAGCAGGATTTCACAGCAGACTTTGGCTGTGTGTCTTTCAAACTGTTTATAAAGCAGCAGATAAAGACTACCTGTTGAATTAAACATGATCAAGTCAACATGTCCTATAATTTTATACACGACTTTGCCTTAACTTGTCGCACTTTGAAAACTTTCTCGAGCAGTAAAACTACTTGTCGCACATGCTCAAACTTTATATTTCTGCGTTCAAACTCTAATATTTTCCAGGTTTAAGGGCTGAATCTAACTATATTAGATTGCGTTCTTGTTTCAGAAGCGGTGGGCATTTCTACCAATAAACAGTAGCCAAACTAAACATTTGCCAAGCTTTGTATGGACGCATAATGGTCCCCCACACCCCATCTTTGCCCCAGTTCTCTTTCCCCTCTCCCTCTCTCTCCTGTCGATTCTTTTGTGGAGCCGTCATCTATTCGTCGCCCTCTTCAAACTCAGCTGCTAATGAGAACTTTGGCAAACTTGTGTGCTTTGCTCGACACAATTAAAACCATCACAATTAGGACCATTCACTTTGCTGTAACATTTTTGGTATTTTCTAATTTGTTTTTGTAAGTGGAAGTGACAAAACAGAAATAAAGACAAAGCTATAAAAGCCTGAAGCCAAAATCTTTGCCAAACTTTTTGTATAAGCCGTTAGTTAGAATGTAGTAGTACTAGAGGTAGGGAAAATGTTTTGTTTTCTCTAAACTTACATAACTTGAGGTAAACTTTTTATGGTAAAGCACCTGCTGCACAGAGATGTGTTCAAAGCAAAGTAGTTGGAACTGATTTAACTGTAAGACACAAGATGTAGTCTCAAAACTACAACAAAAAGTTAAAAGTTTTGGGTAGATTTTTTTTAAGTTGATGCAAAACTCCTGAAGTGACCCCCACACTCACAAAGGCACATGCAAACGCCCGGGGAGCACTAGGCATCCCTCCTCCAGGAGAACAAAACCCTTTTCCCGCAGAATTACTTCGGGACAATGGGCAGGCCAGGTCGCCACGGTAACGGGTCCAGGGGGTGCAAGGAGGGGGTGTGTGGGTCGGAGCAGCTGTTACATCAGATTAATTCAGATTCTGATAATCCCTCCTCCTTCCTCAAACCATCACCACACAAAACTTTTCAACCCGCCCCCCTCCTACTCCTCATTCTGCACGGGACGGTCCCTTCCCAGTCCCCCTTCGTCGAGCTGCTGATGCTGCTGAGCTGTGGACCTCCTACAGCCTCAGCCACAGTGTTTTTCCCTTCAAATCCTCTTCAAGTCTTTTCCCCCTGTTCTCACAAGATCACTTTACCTTCAAAGTGCGACCCTAAAAACACTTTTGTTTTCTTATGGTGATCTACCTGTTGTGTGTGGAAATGTGTTCAAGGTTTGGAGCAATAACAACATCGAAATGGTTGTAATGATTATAAAGATATTTTCCTGCACACAATTTGGCATTTAGTACTAAATCATTTTGATTTGAAATAGCACAGTAGATTTTACCAAACACTTGGGCCGCATATGGCTTCAGTAATTCTTAGTTAACTATTGCTTGGGAAACAAAAAGGCCCGTTAATATGGGTTTTTAACTCATTTTGAGGCTGCTACTATTCGAGAACATCCTATGACATAGTTAGAATTCGCCGTCTTTCTGATTCAACCACAACAGGTGCAGCCTGTAGTTTGCCAGAGAAGAACACTGCTTTACATAGTATGCAAAAGCCCAACCTATGCATGAGATAAAGAAATGAAGAGAGCCACTTTGAATGTCTCCCTCGCAACACAAATAAGAATCAGACTTGCCATCAGTCTGATTTATTTGAAGTAGTGCTACAATAGTTGATAGAAAAAGGACAATTTAAAAAAAACCCTCACCTTGCCAAACTGGTCGAAGTACTGCTTGACATCTTCTATGGTTGTGTTCACAGACAGTCCGCCGACAAAAATCTTCTTTGTTCGAGTCACTAACTATAAAATAAGACACACATTCTCAATACTATTAACCAGAATATATACTTCAACATATTTATTATAATATGTAAAATGTAAATTTGAAATCCTGAGTAAATAATTGCCCAATGGAATGTCAAAATGTACCATATTATTGACATGAATTATTTTTCTTATTCACTGGACACATGGCTATGTTATGAATTAACGTGAGGTGAAGGTTAAGTCTGTTAATGAACAAAAATCAGAACAGGAAACTGGTAAATGCCCTTTAGTACTTAAATATGAGTTGTTATAGTCTTTCATTGTACGACGCATTTTCCCATGCATTCAAAAGAGACAAACCCAGCTCCAGTGGGGATAATACATTCCCGAAACAAGATCCCTGCATTTTGGTTGTGGCTCAACAATACCAGAAACCCCTGAAGTTGTGAATGTTTTTGTTCGGGCCATGATCACGTAACAGTGGAGTGATACGAGCTCAGGTTCATCAGATTACCAGGTATAAGCCCAGATAAAGCCACGAACACTAACAAACATTGTATACAAATAATATTAAAAACTCACTTTAGGCTGGGCTCGACGCGGGAATGCAACCTTTGGGTCAATCTAGAGGAGGAAATACAAAGAGAAGATGCTTGTTACAAACTGGCCACTCATTAAAACAATTATAGATATTCATCCCTTAAAAACAAGAGATATTTCGGCAACATGCTAGATTAAGAAAATGATGCATTTATAGTTAGATATTATTTCGGCCTTTGTCACTGGTGAAATCAAGTCTAGTGATTTTGCTCATAATTTTTTTCTTATTTCCCAACTTCTCAATTTGTTCAGGCTGGGGAATAGCACAAACGTAAGTTTCCCCACTGTGGGACAAATGAAGGATCTGCAATATGTTCATTTTGTGTACATTTTCCTCTTTGATAGTAGGCGGAGGACTATGTGTTGTGTATTGAATAATAAAGTGCTGCCGTTGTTATGTATTTTAATGATAGTGTAGGTTTATCCTATTTTGTCATTACCATAGAATTATATAAATACTACAGTTTATCTTCTCTAAGAATAAATCATGCTTCAGAATATATTATTGTCAAAGGCCAAACACGGTTCCTTTATTACGGTCCTGGAGTTGATCTACGGTTCTAATAACCCATAGGTTAAGTGTAAGGGCAGTAGTTGCAGGTAGTAGTTGATTGACCGGGGATGTGTCCCGTCTTCCTCCTTCGTCACTACAGTGCGACATGTGATCTGCAGGAATCTCACACAAGCTCTACACAATCACGAACACCGCTCACCTCCGCAACCAGAGCTCAGAGAGAATGCAGAAACAGAGGAGACAGGAGCACAGAGCTGTCAATCACTCACTCCTCCTGCTGCTCTGATTCAATGGCGATTTGTATCAATTTGACCATTTTTGAGCAGATGCGGTTCAATAAATGCAGAAATTCATGATCAATTAGAACAAATAAAACCCTGCTAATTGAATAATATTTATTGTAATTTTATTTCATTGAATGATACTTGAAGAAAACTATTGTACAGAAACCAAAATAGAAAGATAAGATTTCTGTGCTCTCCAAAAGCTTCTAGTTTCGCCATTTGTATAAAGATAACATAGTTTTGTTGCATTTAGTTGTAGTCAATTGGTGAACAATACACAATGAGTACCTGTCAATACTCAAACGCCCAAGAGAGAAAACTCTCACTTTAAATAATGGAACCATAAAGCCTTTTTACCAGACTTCCCATACCTGTGTTGTCGACCGTCCTCTGCCTTGTGTCTCCACACAACATTTTCATTTATTTATTTGAAAACATGTCTAACTAGCACATACTACTAACAGAAAACTCCAAACCCACTAAGTCCCCAAGATGAATAGACTTGAGAAAGAGCCACACCATGCCACGAGGATGCAATCAAAGACAGATTATAAAATTGTAATTTGAGACCACTATATTAGTCTATACTGATCTAATAGAGCTAGAAAACAACTAGACTACTCCACACTGTACTGCGGTTACACTAACAGATGGTGAGACAGTCCAGTGCTAAGATTAGTCCAAAACCATGAGAGGAACTACTATGAAGATCTACACAGCCTCTATGGTAAACCGCATGCGTTTACCTAGAGCTTCTACTTGAATTAAACTTTGCACGTCACCAGAACAGATCGTATTTTGAATCATTCGTCGGTCTAGAGAGTAGCAGAGTGAGAAGACTAGCCTAAAGACTTAAGGATCAGATGCAGTTTCTACTTGTTTAGTTTCTAGAATATGGAGCTAAAGACTACTCTCTGATAGTCACCTCCGGTCACCAACCCGCCTGATGTCCAACACTCCTGCACATTCGGAAAACAAACAGACACACACACACAAACAAACAAGATCAACAGAGGGCGGCACAGAGCGTGTCCCAGGACCGGAACACATGGACATTAAACAGTCGGATCGAGCGTGGAAAAGTGCTTCTATTTTGGAAAACAAGAGTAACAAGGGTGGAAGTGGGCAGTAACTAGCAAGAGATGCACTGAGTAACTTTTCCGAAGCGGGGGCCTGCTACTTCCGCGTCTTCAAGAAGATGTTTTTGCCTGAAATTCCTGAAATGTCCACAATTTCCCAGGCAAAACAGTCCTTGGAAAGTGCAATTTTACAGTGAACAGGGTTGAGTATTGGTATGAAAATGTATCAGTGATTTCAATTATTTCTCCAATTGCAAATATGGTGTCATCAAAAATACCATTAAAACTACTAAAAAATATACCATTTAAAGCTTTATGCATGTCAATCAATCATTCAAACTCGTGGGTTTGAAAACAAAATATCTCAATTATGAGCCAAAAGAATATCATTTTTATTGGCACCTCTATGGAGAAAAGTCACATGGTGCACCAATAACTCAAATAGTTGTAGTGTTACTTGTGTTAAAATATTATCATATGTAGTTTATACAACAAACTAATGGCATATATGTTTCCATTCAGAATTATTATTTTTTTCTGATCTTTCTTTAAATTGTTAAGCTGACTAACCAAAACTAAAACAGGCATTCTAACCTCCGAACCTAGTGTGGATGCTTAGGTTAAGAGGAATGTGTAAAGGCCTTCAGCAGTATAAGGCCATCAAGGACGTAATTCCAATAGAGCTTTATGAAATCAGGCCAATCCCCTTTGAGCGCTACATCCATGGAATGCAACAGTTGGACTGCCTCTCACAGCCCTGACCACACTTTACTCAACTTCGTTAACTTCTATAAGGGGCAAACCCAAGCTCGTTGACTGCAATCCTATTAGTTAACAGTGCCATCCTAATCACAGACAGGGTTAACGGTGGCATGACCAGCCCCCATCGTCCGGATCTAAAACTGTACAAATCCACAGACGCACCACAGTGTCTGCTGATGAGGGATTGAGTCAACATTAACTTGTAAGAAAAAAAATTCACATCCATAGATGACTCTTTCCTACAAAGCAGGTTGAGGTTTAGATCTCATTACACCTAAACCTGCAGAGAACATGCTTGGATTGAGATTTTACTTAAAACAAAAGTAAACTCTGCGTTGGCTCCAGTCAATTTAGATGATCATAACCAGATCAAAAAAGATATAGCAACTAATAGGGGTTCTATTTAAAGCATTTAGTTTGGGCTGTATACGTTCTTGAATGGAGGACAATAAACATCTAATCACAGGGCTGACAAAGACAACAGTCAAACAGACAAATCATTCACCCTGCAGTCATCAATCCACCTTGCCAACCATTGAGCCACTGTAACCCCTTATTTTGAATACACTATTATTTCTCACTACCGAAACTTAGCTCCAGTAAACTCCTAAATGGTCACTAACTTTTTAAAACGAAAGCAGTGTTCCATGAGCCAATAAGTCCCAGACAAGACCTTATTACACTACGTTTAGTGCACTTCTTCTGCAAGCGCCTTGGAGCTACACTTCAATGGAAACGTTGTCTTACAAAAAGGTGCCGCTTGCGTTGGCTGTCACTGGCTTTACAGATAGCAGGAAACCAGGAGGGATACCCGGAGGGGCGACTAACTAACAGTACGGCTGTAACATAAATCACGATAAAACCTGCTTTCCTACAGTGGTCAAAAGCAGGCCGCATATGTCCTTCTACACGACAAGTCCCAATAAATTCCACTGTATTTGCTCTCTGGCCACTTGGCTGTGCAAAGCTGTGTTAATTCCACTGCTTCAGTCGGTCACAGCATGGCACATTCTTTCTGTTGCCACTGGAGAACTTTTCTCTCCCTTTTCTAACTGGATAACCTGTCTGCAGAAGCGCTGGGGGAGGTGAGGGAGAGGGTGAGGTGGGGGGGGAGCTGTAAAAGACCTACTCAACTCACCATCCGAAGCTCTACATGCCAAAAACACACACACTCTGACACGCCCAACATCAGGCCACAAGGGGCCCGCCAGTCTGAGCCGCTCTGTAGACTTGACACATCCACAAGTTGAGAGGGAAGATTATATATAGTCAATAAGTCAACAACGTCTTAAATATTTTCAAAAACCTGATCACTATTTATAAGGTCATGTTTTCCTCCCATCCTTTTAAATGACGCTATTAAAGGCGCCTATAAGGTGCGATATCCAAGACATTACAGTAACTGATGTGCATTGCATTGTCTTTTTTGTCTTTGTGACAGAGCTTTTCTTCTGTTTATGTGTATGTGAGTGAGTGAGTGTGTGTGTGGAGGAGAGGGGGGGTTGCGATAGAAACCAACCCCATGGTGAGTTAGTGGCGTCCAACCATGATGATGCCACTTGTCATAGCTGTTGTGCCTGCAACTGACACTATAACAGTAGGGCACTGGGGAGCCGAGGAAAAACAGGGAAAATACAGATTGGAGACTTTGTGATGTATTTCCTTGGCAAGGTGCACTGTGCTTTAGTGGTTCAAGCAGTGACTAAAACTAACGCAGTAAACTGAATGAAACAGATGTAAATTAGTATTTAAAATTCTGGCATTCTGAAGTCAAAATTTACCTATATAAAAAAGTAAATCAATGTTGTATTTTCATTAAGGTAACTACTGTGCATCTACTCTGTAATGCTTTAGGTGACCTTTACATTACATAAATTGTATTCAATAAAACAATTCCAAGATGGCTTGCTTGTGCCGCTGTAGTCTCAGTATGAAATTGTAGGTAGACAGAAATCAAATTGTTTTAGTCAAATCCATTTAGTTCAGAAGTGGATTCAGTCTTCTGAGAAAAATCCAACAGTTAATTCATAGATTAAGTCCGACAGTGTTTGCTGGGAAAAGTTGTGAAGATCGAGGACAAAAAACTTCCCATGTTGTTTCTCTACTTGGTCACTTATTTTCTCTATCAAAAAAAAGGCACATCAGTCAAAGTACAAAAGTGAGGTAAAAAAAATAAAAAATTGGACTGTTCTTAATTTCAATACAGTGACTTACTCGCAGCAGTCCCACCGAGGAGAGAGGCGGGGGCACTGGTCCCTATGGCTACCAACGTGCAGCATTGTTCCCGAACCAACCCACAATTCATTACTGACAAAAAGACACTGCCACACTAGAACACACACACACACACACACACACACTGAAAATCACGCTCTATAACACCGGACAATTAATAGAAATTTCACAGGCAATTCGCACAGGTGCAGCAGTCTAATGTGTTCATGAAATCAACTGGAAGTTGGAAGAAAAGAAGTTTGTTGGTTTTGCTATGACACCAACAAGGTTTCAAGTTGCATGCATTTGTTCCTGACTGAAACTCCTTTTCGGGTCAATATACCCTTGGGACAAAAACTAGACACGACCAGAAACTATGGCTGTCCTTTTGTCGGAGCAAATCAAAGTTGGCCAGTGAACCTGTTTCTTTCTAAGAGGTTTCTTAGTAAAATGAGCGGAAGCCATTCTGCTGGTGAAAGTGAATCCATCATGGCATCACACTATAGGCAGTATAGGGACAAACAGACATGCTTTGAGGAGTAACCCATCAAAGTGGAAAATTCGTAAACGTGTAAAAATGTAGCAGCAGCAGTAGTAGTTGCCCACATCTCCAAAGGATTATTGTAAAATCCACTAATCAAACACTGAGCAAAGGGATTAGTTGTTGGTGGGAAGTAAATACAGAGAACTCACTGTTTTTGAGTCCAGCTCGTGTCTACTTTGGGCCAAAACTTTATCCACGCCAGCTTGATCAACAAAGGTGACGAACCCAAACCCTCTGTAGACATAGACAGAAAAGAATAAATGGAAATAGTGTGGTGCTGCGTTATAAGCAGATGAACTTTGAGTATAGCAACAGCTCAGTGTTAGAGCGGCTCACCTCGAGCGCTTAGTAACTGGATCTCGCATCACCATGCACTCCTTCACTTCTCCATACTTGCAAAAGTACTCCTTCAGCCCCTCTGAGTCAAAACAGAAACATGTTAATCTGCTAGTTAATGTTATGAGTGTTTTTCCATCTTTTACGCATGGTACTAGACATATCACATGTGTGCTAAAAATAAGAAGATAGTCTTTCTTTGCCAAGGTGTCCACCAACATACTTTAACTACGCGTTTGAAATGTCTAACAAATATTAACAAGTCTTTCATAAGACAACATAAACATAAGTGTTAGTGGAAAGTATTTCAGTAACATTTCATAAACATTAAATATCAATTTATAGAATAAATTTGTAATTTCTATATTAATTTGTTATTAACAATTGCAGACCTATAACCAACCTATTATAGAGTACCCAACTGTTTGTAGGGCATCAGCCAGGCAAACCTACTCCATCATTCTTTAGTAACCATTAAAAATGCCAAACGTTTAAACTTCGGCAAATATGAACGAGCCGTGATTCAGAAACTGGCTCCTTGTAGTCAGTGCCAGGCTTTTTAAGACGTAGTGGCATAATAGAGTGCGTCTGTGGGAAGAAGCGGTGGAAAGACTTACCTTGTGTTGTCTGCCAGCTCAGTCCACCAATGAACATTTTGCTGTGGGAAAAATAAAGAAAACGTCATTTGAGTGAAGTTTGACTGAGGGTAAAATGGAAAAATGTGTTTTGGAGAGTTGCGCGTAACATCTTTGATTCATGAGTGGCTGCCTCATGGAGGTGTGCTCGGCTCTGGCCACAGACCAGGCGGGCGCAAAATACCGGCTCTGTTTACAAGCTCCGTTAAGTGAAGTGCGAAAAACTATGAACGAAGTGTGAAAGTTAAAAGTAGTTTAGTCACCAAGGGTCGTGAGGTGAGTCCGTGCTGGACAGGCTGACCTGGCTCCCTTCATTGTCCATGTCGGAGTGCTCGCTGTGTGGGCGCTGTGTCCGGCGGGCCGAGTGGGAGAGCAGGCAGAGACTGACTGGAGCGGGGCGGGATTGGCCCTGTGCTTTGGCCCGGGGTGACAGAAAGGGGAGCAGGAGGCCAGATGCAGCCTGGGACAGACTCCTCCTCCTCCTCCTGCTTCAGTCCCCGCCACCGCCGCGCGCGCCCCTGGACAGCAGTGCGCCTGGAACGCGCCTGTGGTGCACTTCCGCAAACAGGTTTATAATAATATGAACAGTTCCACAAACGACTGAATATCAGAGCTAGTCCATTTGCTCTTGAGTTAGAGCAGAGGCCTGGGCTGCTTTGGTCGCATTCACAGAGAATCTGACCGTCTAAAAGTAGGCTTTAACATTAGCATATACAGTGCGGGACATTTACATGTAAATAAGTGGGGGTAAGACAAGAAAAGTGTTTCACCTCACTTCTACTATCATAAAAACCAATAGGCTACATTTGTTTCAAACATGGGGCATGATTTTTATTTATTTATTACAGGTATTCATATTTTTGCTTGCATGCTAAGAATGCTATTTTTTGTCAAAGGTCGAACAAATTCATTAAAAACAACATCATACAAACAAATCCAATAAATACCTTTAATAGGCCGGATTCAACTTTTATTTTGAAGAACATTCCCTGCCCCACTTCCTGTCAAACATCCATCATATTATAATGTATTATTTACTTCTCAATTATGTAATATTATGTAATGCATTGTTAGTTCCATGTTTACACAGAAGTACACTCTCCAGTATGATTTTCTTGTAACCATATGGACATTAACACAACAATAGCTTTGTCTGTCTGGTACATCTTTCTCCAAACCTGCTTATGTACACTACACCATGGCACAACAGACGGTCTGTGTGCTGCTCATTCATTGCTTAGCTTTAAGTATTTAATTAGAGCTAAAGCCAGCTCCAGCTAATCTTCTCAACATTGACTCAACATGTGACCAATGCAAATCAATGCAGCAGTATTTTAAGACAAAGACAATGGCAGGTTTAAAATAGTAATGCTATAGTGGCACATACTCAAAGTTTAAGTAAAACCCCTATAACATCCAAGTAAATCTCACACTATCAAATTTGATGATGAAAAGATTACTAGAGGAGGTGCACAAATTGAAGTTGTAATGAATGGCCATCATTTCACATTTTCAAGTTTTGAAAAGTCTTCACACAGTAGATGCAGTCCGTTAGATGTCACGTAAGTGTTGGGAATAGTAAGTAAGTTTTAGTAAGTTTTTATTTATATACCGCCTTTTCACTGCAGATCTGAATCTCAAAGCGGTTTACAATTGTTAATTTTGGGCATTTGTCTCTCACTCCACACAGAGATGGGAGCGGGGTCGCCAGTACAGGAGGCGCATGCTAGAACTATTAGACATATTTTTAGTGGTAGGGGAAACCGGAGTACCCGGAGGAAACCTACGCAGACACGGGGAGAACATGCAAACTCCAGTCAGATAGGCCCTGGTCCGACCGGGATTCGAACCCAGTACCTTCTTGCTGAGAGGCCAGAGTGCTATCCACTCAGCCACCGTGCCGCCTAATACTACTTTGACTTTGGTCAATTGAATAATTTAAAATGCATGCTGTTTTGAGTATTGACTTTGACAATGTCTACGCACATTATATTTAATTTCTTGAAAGGCTTTTTTTCTCTTTCACCACAGTGGTGTGTTGGGCCTCAGCCGCTTCTCTGCAGTGGAACAGGCGCAGCTCTGGAAGTGGGACAAGGGGCTATTTGGACAGGAATTAAGGGGTGTGTTAAATTTCTGCATGCATGATCAATGGGGCTGAATGGGGCGATGTATGCGTGTGGAGCTGGGAGGGCAGTGGTCCGAGACTGAGACGGAGCCAGTAGTGTGAACACAGTGATTCAAAGTGCCAGCATGAGATCAGCAGTGAGAACAGGCCAGTTTGGGTTCTATCTCATTATCAATTGACAAAAGTTTATGTTTTTTGTAAAAATCAATCTCAACTGTTAGTAAAGACCCACCTTCAGACCTGGGGAACAATTTGAAGAAGGCTTGCAGCTCTGCAGCTGAATCATGTTAACAAGGTCATTGCATCTCAACCAGTAGCTGTCTCTCAACAGAAACATAAGCAGTAAAAAGTTAAAAGCAGAAAGAAACATTCTTGTACTGTTAGTATTTTAGTAAAAAATACTAAAGATGATATTGCTGTTGTATTTAGCAGGACTCATTTCATGCCGACTTTAGTAATGGTTTGCCTATGAATGTTGTTGTTGTTGTGTGGTCCTATATCTGTTCATTCAGAATTCTTAAGAGACTAATCCATGCGTTTGTTAGACTACTGTTATGACTTGCTCACTGGACTCCAAAACGCTACAGCTCAAGTCCTGACTAGAACCAGGGAGTCCACTCACATAAGTCCTGTGCTCAGGTCTCTGACCTGAAGTTCCCTCACATTAGTCTTTTTTGTACACAAACAACTGTGCTTGTGTACAAGTCTTTCCATGAACTCACAGTAAAGTAGATATGTGACATGTTCGTGCAAAATGAATCAACTCGAACTCTGATGCCGGCTGTATACTGACTCCAACTTTGATGCGGGTCAGGTCCTAAAGGATTCAGAAAGTGCCTTAAACCTAAACTAATACACTGACCTCGGAGCTCTGCAAGTAGAAGAGGTGCAGTGCGGATGTGCTTTCTGAAAGGGGTCTAAGTTTTGCCGGACTCCTCAGCGGTCTGTGCCGGTCTACAGCCCAGACCCTAACTGACCCGCACCAAAGTTAGAGTCAATGAACGCTAAGTGTGAGTGTGGGTCTGGAACAGTCAGTCAAGAAAATATGAGAAATGTTTCTACCTGGACAATATTTAAATCCAGGTTAAATTATAATATGTGTAGCTCTGCATACAGCGAAAGATCTGTAAATAGATCAGACATGTATCAGACAAATTTATTTGTTTGAAAGATTGCAGCATGTTAGTGCCATATTTCAGAATGATGAATAATTAAGACCAAAGTTTTTAGAGTAAAAATAAAATATATTAATGAGCTTCAGGAAACTTTTCCACATTACAAAGATAAATTTGAGTAAAATAGAATCTAATCCAAAAAAGATCTTTCTTTCATCCACTTGTTCAACATGGCCTCTTCTGATTAAACCAGCTTGTGTGGTGCCATATTAGCCACAGTCCTAAATGAACTATTGGAAAGCTCCACACACACTCACACGACTACACATTGCCCTCTGTCCACTTTGGTGAGGAGGTTTTCCCCTGAATAGTACAATGGGACTTAATTACAGGTCAGTAGCATGTCTCAGGGAGATAGAGAGAGCTCTGTTACCCTTTGCAAATACAGTATAATGCCATCTTCCCAAGGGTGGGGTGGGGTAACAGGAGGCCCACACAAAAAGGTGCTGATAGGCTGAACCTGAGAATGGTATAAGGTGCTCCCAGAAGAGAAAGTGAGCATTTTACACTGAAAGAAGCAGAAAGATAAAGGACTACATTAAGTCTCAAAAGGTGCTACCACTTCTTTCCCATGTAGCTATTTCCTGCCATTCATACGGACAACTCTCAAATACAACAGGTCTAATCAACAGTAAAGAACCACCTGAGCGTGTAAACAGGGCGAAGACGTTTTGGCTTCAGGGCTGAGCTCCAGTCTATATTGCAACTGTTCAACTCAGTCGTATTTAGGACTGCATCTTATGAATATATTTTGATAATGTATTAGTGGTTTAGAATGACACCTGAGTAAGATAAAGCAAACCCTAACCCTAAAAAACATTGACAAAATTCAATTGATGATTATTTCTGAGTCTTAAAATAACATTTCACAAGCCTTACATATGTTGGAGTCATTTATCGTTTATTGAAAAAAATTAACTCAGTAATTAGTTACAATAGATGGATTAATCACTTCAGCTCTAGTTTAGTTGACCATTTAAAACTGCAAATTTTATGAAAGTTAGGACAACTTTGAATGGTCAGATTTGACAAGAAGCACAATTTTAATACATTTGAATAGCTAGATCTTGTAGTATACACCCTTTAAATGGTTTTCAAAAAGTTTACCAAAATGTGTCCGAGAAAAAAAAGGTAGAATCCGCTGCTCTAGTTGACACAAATGCACTGCCATTCAATTTTTAATCACAAATGATAAATAATTACTTAGGCCTCAATCTTGTTCGACAAAGTCATAATATGCAACTGCTGTGAGCCATAGATTAGCAATCAAAACTTTTCTCTGTGTAAAGTGGGTCACAGTCACAGCATGCTGAACCTGGATGACGCTCCCAGTCGCAGTGGATGACGCAACAGCGTCCTCTTGTGGATGCACCAGCAGAAGGAGAAGATTCGTTCAATCCTTTGACCATAATGTGGTCAAATAATAAAATTACTAAACATTGTTTTGGTGTGCACATAGCAAAAAGCAGATTTATCTTCTGTATAAAACATGTAAATACAAAATGAAACACTCCACACAAAATATAGTTCCCTAACTTTATTTCTTAAGTGGAAACTTGAAAAGAAACTGAAGCTGTTGCAACCTCAGCTGCAAAGTTTTTCATTTATTGCTGTTTAAAACGCACTTTGGTCGCTGCCGGGGCTTGAGAGAGCAGGGACAAAGTTCACCGGGCCTGTATCAGGAGGAGGGGGTGTAGAGGAGGTTCAAACAAGGAAAAATTGACCTTTGTAAAGCAAAACAGCAGGTGGAGAGCTAAATACTAGGCAGCTCAGGGCACATCAAGAGAAATTTCTGGAGAAAATTAAAGCATACAAGGAAAGTTTATCTGGAAGAGGACTACAGGTGTACTAAGGCCAGTGCAGTCTGCCGAGTTGGTTTAGCTGTGTTTGTTTGCAGTAGTGGGACATATCATCCTAGTAATGGACGCAGAAGACAGAACGCCCAGGACGAACCGACTGACCGCACTCCAAGAGCAGCTGGTTTGGGCCTTGTTGGGGTCTGGACTGTCCCGGGACGTCTTGATCCAAGCCATGGGGGAGCTGGAGCGGGATAGGTTCAGCAATGGAGCTGAGAAGGCAGACAGGGGCGATGGGGAGAGCTCAGAGGAGGGAGAAATGGACTACCCGCCGCCTATTTACAGAGAGCTGGACAAATTGGATCCAGAAGAAGCTGCCAAGCTAAGGGCTGAAGTTGACCGGCTTTTGCAGTAAGTCATCATCAAATAAAATACGCACAAACTTGAACATTACAATAACAAATTTTACTAAAAAGGAATCATACATTTGAATAGTTCAGTTCCACTAGTAAAACATCAACCTTATGTCTTGTTGCATGCACAAGTCCAACCAACTATTATCATACCTGGTATTTTATCCATACTGTTAATAACACATCCATGCAATTGCAAAATATGAACTTGATATCATCCAGTTGTTCTCCAGTCTTCCTTTCTCGCCCTGTCCCTCTCTGTAGACTGCCCTCTGAGGCGATTTTAAAGAGGTTCCTCCTTTTGCTGGTTACTAATTACCCAACTGCATCATTATTCTGTAACCATTTCTTAATAAATCAACAATACGTAAATGCTAGAGGTGAAGATTAATAGAAAACAGTACCATGTGACGCTGTAAGTTTACACAAGCCGATCAATGCTGTTTCAACAGTGAATGTGTGTGGTAAGACGAGCTGTGCAATGATATAAAGCCCCCCCCCCCCCCCCCCCCCAAAAACATAACCCTTTTGAACCCAGAGAATCAATCCATGGGGATAAGAATGAAGAAATATGGCAATATTTATTTACTGTTTTTGCCCTAATACGCTGAAATTGAATTTGATGTAAAGCCCCTTTGGTTTACCGTTCAATGATCTAAAGCTGGACTTTGGTCCTGTGTGCTTCCTCTTATCTCACTTTGTCAATATGCCTAAGTCTTTCACTTCCATCTTAATAATGCATTTTACACACCATCTAAGCTTTGAAAATATATCTATATATATAAATAAATATATATACATTTATTTATGTGTTTAAATTCCGTTCAAACTAATTCTGTTCAATCTATGATGACAATACCTCTGTTCATGTGCATGAAGTTTGCAACATCAGGTTTTCAACAATTATCTTAGTCGTCAACATTAAATTACTATTTCTCTTTTCGTTTGTACAAAATAAAAATGTGTAAATATAGCCTATTAATGACAATCTTAAACTTCTTACATATCAAAAATAATCTATTTAAAAGTGCGGGCAGTTCTGCTATATAAAGTATTAAACTAATCCATATGAGTGCGTTATGTATTTACTCCTTGGTCCATAGAGAGGATCCATGGCATGTTGCAAAAATGGTCAAAAGTTACATGCAGCAGCACAACCTCCCACAGCGGGAGGTGGTGGAGTCCACGGGCCTGAACCAGTCCCACCTCTCCCAACACCTCAACAAAGGCACACCCATGAAGAACCAGAAGAGAGCCTCGCTGTACAGCTGGTACGTCAAGAAGCAGTGCGAGATCAGCCAACGTGAGTATGCAACACGTCAAGAAAACTACTGTCAACTCCAACATAATCCTTTTAGAACATTGACACACTTCTAAAAGATGAGGAAAGGGAATCACAAACCTGTTTGTTTTTACATGCACCTAACACTTACATACATGTTTTATAACTGCATGCTTTAAAAAAAAGTGTTTGAATGCCTTTATTAGACCCACAGTGGGGAAATTACAGACCCCCTTCTGGGTTGTGTTGTTAATGGCTTGTGGCCAGGACACCAGGGAAAAGTGATCTTTAAATGTCAAAGGGATTTTCCGGGTTAAAAAAAAGAAACTCAATAACTATCCATCCATCCATCCATTTTCTACCCTTTAATCCATTTCTGGGTCAGGGGGGTGGCAGTCAGAGATGCCACCCAAGTCTCATAGCACCAGCCCCTCACTGACCCTCTGCAGGTGGTGAGTCCACAGGAGGACGGCTGCTCTCTGACTGTGAGCATAGCCTTGATCTTTCAGTGGGGGCTTTGGGCAAAGTGGGGTTAAGTGTCTTGCCCAAGGACACAACGACAGCAGTCATCAGTGGGAGTCGGTGGAGAAGGTGTAGAGGTGGGAATTGAACCCACAACCTTCAGGCCTGAAGGCCAATGCTTTACCAACTGAGCTACTGTCACCCCGCTTGGGACGAATCAATAACTAATGTGAAACAATTCAAAGTTGCATTATATTAATGCAATTTCATTTTTCTGAAATAATAGATTTGGTGATTTTGCAGTCCTAATACATAATATATATTACATATTTTTTGCAGCTGTACTTCATATAACCAAAAGCAATATAATCATAATGTCTATGAGGTGACACAGGGACACAGACTGGGCAGGGTTAATTACTACGTTTACCATTATCTCTTTACAAATGAGATTAACAGCTGAGAACGTTAATTTCCTTTGGCCTTATTGGTATTTTTAATGTATTGTATTATATTTTACTCTATACCAAAGTAATGTAAAGTCAATTAAATTACCTTCAGAGTTCACCAATGCCAAACATGGGCTGGCCTCTATGGACGAACAAGGCGGCGAGGAGATCAAGAAAGGTCGCAGGAACAGATTCAAATGGGGTCCGGCCTCACTGCAGATCCTGTTCCATGCCTACGAGCGGCAGAAGAACCCCAGCAAAGAGGAGAGAGAGGGCTTAGTGGAGGAATGCAACAGGTGACACAAACTGACTCAATGTTCTTCCTATGGTAGCCTGATCTTACCACACCATCGTACATGTAGGGAAATGATAATTGACCAGAGTTTACTAAGGCCAAGCTTTCCTATGGTATACATATTTTTATTTGCCAAACTCATCTCAATATTTATTCTTTAAAGCTGAGGTACTTGACTATCAAAATATAATATTAATCTAACTAGTTCCTAGTTTTCACAATCATGTATTTGATTGGCCTCTTTTGATCAGCTTTTTTAGACAAAGAGAGGAGCAACTTTTCTCAGCCAATCAGCTTTCATGGGCGCATGTGAATAGCACTTTCGCTTCTCAGCAAGAAGGTCCTGGGTTTTAATCCCGAACCAAATAGGGCCTTTCTGAGTGGAGTTTGTATGTTCTCTCCGTGTCTGTGTAGGTTTCCTCTGGGTGCTCCGATTTCCCCTACCACTAAAAACATGTACAATAGGCCTGGCTTGTGTATGGCAACCCCGCTCCCATCTCTGTGTGGAGTGAGTGACAAATGCCCAAAACAATTGTAGAGCGCTTTGTGACTCTGGTCTGTGAAAGGCACTATATAAATAAAGATGACCTATTACTTACTTACTATATTGCAGAAGTTTTCTAACAAGATAAAGCGCAATCTGACTCCTCACTATTTGTGTTGGGACAAACACAATGCAGCATCTGGAGGTGTATAATTGCCGGCGTAACTCCACACAAATAAAACATGAATCCAATCCACTTAGTACATTAAGAAACGGTTTCCAAAGTGCCATAGTAAAACCTTAGTCCCATCATTTAAAGGCATTTTGTGATTAATGAAGAAGAGGTCCTCCTCCAGGTCAATTACAGGTCAAGTTTTTGGACATGAGTGAAAAAATATCTACATGTCCAATTGCGTCATTATACTGTATGTTCAGTTACTTATCCTGAAAATAACAACGGAACAGCTTTGAATCAAGCTAAAAGATGTCCTAGACCAACATCCATCAGTCTAAAGTCCCATAACACTATATTTTATGAACCATGGTTGTATAATCCAAAAACAACATGTACATCCATTACCCACATGCATTTGTCTGTATATCTTATCAGCCAGTGCATCCCTAGTTTTGACCCATGTGTTCCAGGGCAGAGTGCCTGCAGAGGGGCGTGTCTCCGTCCCAGCTGGCCGGTCTGGGCTCTAACCTGGTCACTGAGGTGCGGGTTTACAACTGGTTTGCCAATCGCCGCAAAGAGGAAGCTTTCCGCCATAAACTGGCATTGGACACTCCCTACAGCAACCCCTCTGCAAACACAGCCCTCCCTCCCAGCCCAGAGCATGGTAAAACCACAATCCTTTATGACTTCTTTATAGGTGAAAGCTGTATTTGAGATTCCCATTTGTAGTATTACTGATGAAATGTATGTTATTGATAGTTATACATACTTTAACTACCATAACTACACCAAAGAAAGAATACTTTTCTGATTGTCAGTTTGTTGCCATGGAAATTTTCAGCTTGTTTCAGATATCATGGAAAAATCCACTAACTGTGGAATATTCCAGGCAATACAGCATTTGTGTTTACCCAAGCAGAAAGCAGACCATTCACCAAGAATGTTGCATAATTATCCTGGTCTTACCACACCATTGTACAAATTTCATTTCATAGGCAAATAATAGACCGGAGTTAACGGATGGCTAAGACCAACGGATGGCTATTGCATAATGCACATTTAATTAAGTTTGATTACCTAAATAAATAATACTCTTGTTAGTTGGGTTCACAGGGCGGTTTTGCTGTCCAGGTTTGAAGTACAGCCAGCAGATCTGTGACAGTCTGGGCTCAGTGAGGGGAACAGCAGCAGAGCGAGTGGGACGGATAGTGGTGAGTCCAGTCCCACTGGAGCCCAGCCACACGCTCCTCGAAAACCACAACGGCAAAACGGTGAGAGATCAACAAGTGATGCGTTTCTTCCCTCACCATTTGGCCTTTCTTAATACTTAAAAGGCAGCAATGTTACAAGTTTTATTAACAACTATCATATTTATCATAAATATAATAAAATGTTTCCAACATCCAAAAACATTTTATTCCATGTTACTGGCATACTTGAAATTTTGAAGAAGGGGAAGAGTGATGAATGTGGAAAAGCCCATGGGAAAAGCAGGCTCTGAGGACTGCTGTGCAGACCATATCCACTGTGTGTCCACTTTTTTTGAAACCTTGCAAGGATGAAAATAACTCATCTAGAATCTTTTTAAACTGTATCTGTGATTCAAAAGATCATTGATAAAACCATGTAAAGGGACGTTCATAATGTATGTGTCCCAAGTGAGCGTGTCAGTTTTATACAAAAGTGTTAAAAGCAAAAACTGTCATGCCGAGCTGAACAGAATTGTTGGCTGTTTTTGACCAGTCCTCCCCTGCTTTGAAGTAAGATCATAACATCAACAGTCTGGAGATAGGGGACTGCTCATGCTTATTAAATAAACTGTACAATCATGCATTATAGTTATGATCGGTCTTTGTAGCTACCAGAAATTTGCCACAGGATCATATGACATGATAGTAGTTCATAGAACATTTTCATGAGATTTATAATTTACTTCTTTTTATAGATGTTTTAATGATAAAAGTAACAATTCTGAAAAATAAAAAATCAGATTCTGCTGAACAAATTCTTGTGTAACTGTTTCTTTTATGCAGGTCTCAAGTTGCGGATCGCTGCCCCCTGTCAGCACCCTCACGTCACTGCACAGTCTGTCCTCTTCCTCCCAGGGGCTCATCATGGCCTCTCTGCCCAGCGTCATGAGCCTGGGGGAGTCCTCTCTACTCATAGGTACGGCTCCTGTACCACTAAACACAACAATACAACTACATTTTCTCAGGTTCTAAGTTCAGGTTTTCCATGACCTTTACATGTTTCCTTGACCTTGGATACACATATGCGACTTTCTTTCATAAACCAGTTGAGACTGGTAGCAATAATTTACAGTTCCACATGTTTTGTATAAGAATCATGATATATTTCAAGTAGTAGTAGCAAGAGGTACATACAAAAATGTGTAGACATTATTTCATTTCAAAACCAAAATAGAATATTTGTAGTACTTTTTCTTAAACTGTAAAAACCTTGCAACAATCATTTATTTACTGGCAAAACAGTAGTTGAGAATACTTGGGCCATTTTATCTTTCATCAATCCAATGTTCTTAGAATGCCAGTCAGTTGAAAACAATACTTCACAATCGGTGTCTCTCTTTTTTTTGAAGGTAAGAGTAATTTATAATTTGATTTTAAGGTCTAACCTCCACACAACCCCAGACCGTACCTGTGATAAACAACATGGGGAGCGGCTTCACCACTCTGCAGCCCATCTCCTTCCAGCAGCAGCTCCATGGCTCCACACAGACCCCTCTCACGCAGCATCTACAGAGTCATATGGGAGCCAGTCCATTTATGACCACCATGGCTCCGCTACCCTGCCACAGTAAGCCGCAAGTAGTATAAACATGTATTAGCTACATGCATGGTCTCTTTTTTTAACAATTATTAACAGATTTCTAACCATGCTGAAATCTATTGCCCAAACCAGCCTTCGGTTCCCTAGTGGGTATCTGGTGTGTTTGCAATTGATTGGGGGATGAAAGGACTAGTAGTAGATTGTGGATGGGATAATATTATATTGCAATAAAACTTTATGGCTGTATATATGTGAATAGTGTGTTAGAAAAAGGACTTATTACTTACAACAATGCCAGATAAAAAGGTTGTCTGAACTAAAAGATTGAAAGAATCTTGTGTGCTTTACATTGCCAATAATTCATAAAGTCCAAACATGGACATGGAATGAGGAGTTGAGAGAATATGTTTTCAAATTGTGTGATGATTTTGTTCTCTTTTTACTATAATCTGTTACAGTGTACAAATCAGACTCACCCCAGTACCATTCGTCCAATCTGCTGTCCCAGGCCATGGTCATCACTGACAGCAGCAGCCTGGGCACACTCACCAGCCTTGCAGCGGTGAGACAGGTAAGGCAGGGAAACTCCAAAATACTCCTAAATTGAGATTATATATGCAATTCTGTTTTTATTTTCTGATAGATACTTACATCTGATCCAGACGATGACACCGACACCCCTTTAGAGGAAGAATCTTTACATCTTCAGCCTCACACACCTGTACCAGGTAATACAGCTGCATAGGCACAGTGGTTGAAAAAATAATTGGTGGTAATAGTATAACAAATACATTATTTAATCAATCTGACAAATACATATACTGAACCATTCAAAAAGGTTCATTTTGTCTTGAGTAAAAATGTTTTATTTGTGGTTCTTTTGAAAGACACAAAAAAGCAGCTATCTCAAAACTGTCACCCACTTTGATGGCATGTCGTCTATGGGCTGACGGTCTCTCCAGGTGAGAGGGGGCGTGGTCAGTCTCAGCAACCTATCAGGTCAATCAGGCTGACCACGCCTACTCAGGAAGTAACATCAGCTGCTACAGTGCCTTGCGAAAGCATTCAGCCCCCTTGAATCTTTCAACATTTCACCACATTTCAGGCTTCAAACATAAAGATATAAAAAATTAATTTTTTGTCAAGAATCAACAACAAGTGGGACACAATCGTGAAGTGGAACAAAATTTATTGGATAATTAAAACTTTAACAAATATTGCACGCCCCACTGAAAATTCTTGCCCATTCTTCCTTGCAAAACAGCTCGAGCTCAGTGAAGTTGGATGGAAATTGTTTGTGAACAGCAGTCTTCAGCTCTTTCCACAGATTCTCGATTGGATTCAGGTCTGGACTTTGACTTGGCCATTCTAACACCTGGATACGTCTATTTGTGAACCATTCCATTGTAGATTTGGCTTTATGTTTTGGATCATTGTCCTGTTGGAAGATAAATCTCTGTCCCAGTCTCAGGTCTTTTGCAGACTCCAACAGGTTTTCTTCCAGAATGATCCTGTATTTGGCTCCATCCATCTTCCCATCAATTTTAGCCATCTTCCCTGTCCCTGCTGAAGAAAAGAAGGCCCAAACCATGATGCTGCCACCACCATGTTTGACAGTGGGGATGGTGTGTTCAGGGTGATGAGCTGTGTTGCTTTTACGCCAAACATATCGTTTTGCATTGTGGCCAAAAAGTTAGATTTTGGTTTAATCTGACCAGAGCACCTTCTTCCACATGTTTGGTGTGTCTCCCAGGTGGCTTGTGGCAAACTTTAAACGAGACTTTTTATGGATAGCTTTGAGAAATGGCTTTCTTCTTGCCACTCTTTCATGAAGGCCAGATTTGTGCAGTGCACGACTGATTGTTGTCCTATGGACAGACTCTCCCACCTCAGCTGTAGTTATCTGCAGTTCATCCAGAGTGATCATGGGCCTCTTGGCTGCATCTCTGATCAGTCTTCTCCTTGTTTGAGATGAAAGTTTGGAGGGACGGCCGGGTCTTGGTAGATTTGCAGTGGTCTGATACTCCTTCCATCCATTTTCTTCCCCTTAATCCATTTCTGCGTCCGGGGGGTGGCGTGCAGAGCTGCACCCAGTACACAGAGCACCAGCCACTCACTGATCCTCCTGCAGGTGGTGAGTCCACAGGAGCTGAGATCTTTCAGTGGGAGCTTCAGGCAAAGTGGGGTTAAGTGTCTTGCCCAAGGACACAACGACAGCAGTCATCAGTGGGAGTCGTGAAGTAGGTCTTACGGTGGGCTCGAACCCACGACCTTCAGGCCCAAAGGCCAATGCTCTACCAACTGAGCTACTACTACTCCTTCCATTTCAATATAATTGCTTGCACAGTGCTCCTTGAGATGTTTAAAGCTTGGAAAATCTTTTTGTATCCAAATCCAGCTTTAAACTTCTCCACAACAGTTTCTCGGACCTGCCTGGTGTGTTCCTTTGTCTTCATGGTTCTCTCTGCGCTTTAAACAGAACCCTGAGACTATCAAAGAGCAAGTGCATTTATACGGAGACTTGTTTACACACAGGTGCATTCTATTTATCATCATCAGTCATTTAGGACAACATTGGATCATTCAAAGATCCTCACTGAACTTCTGGAGTGAGTTTGTAAGTAAGTTAGTAAGTAAGTTAGTAAGTAAGTTTTTATTTATATACCGCCTTTTCACTGCAGATCTGAGTCTCAAAGCGGTTTACAATTGTTAATTTTGGGCATTAGTCTCTCACTCCACACAGAGATGGGAGCGGGGCCAGTACAGGAGGCGCATGCCAGAACTATTGGACATATTTTTAGTGGTAGGGGAAACCGGAGTACCCGGAGGAAACCTACGCAGACACGGGGAGAACATGCAAACTCCACTCAGAAAGGCCCTGGTCCGACCGGGATTCGAACCCAGGACCTTTTTGCTGAGAGGCGAGAGTGCTATCCACTCAGCCACCGTGCCGTTTGCTGCACTGAAAGTAAAGGAGCCGAATAATATTGCCCACTTTTCAGTTTTTTATTTGTTAAAAAAGTTTAAATTATCCAATCAATTTTGTTCCACTTCACGATTGTGTCCCACTTGTTGATTCATGACAAAAAATTTAAATCTTATATCTTTATGTTTGAAGCCTGAAATGTGGCGAAATGTTGAAAGGTTCAAGGGGGCCGAATACTTTCGCAAGGCACTGTAAATCAAGGCCGGTGACATTTCTGAAGGAACTGTCTGTCTTTCAAAGGAACCACATTAAAAAGATTACATTGCAGATAAATGCAGACATTTATTTTCCTTCCTGTATTTTGCAGCCTCTTCTGAAAGCCTGGAGTTGTATTCGTCCTCCCAGTCACCTACAGACATAAGCTCCTACATGCCTTCACAGCTGGTGTCCACTGCACAGTGACAATGAGCAGTGCCAGAAATTGGACTAAAAAGACATGAATCATGATCCGAGCTCAGGGGAGTTTTGAGGTCTTTTTTATTATCAAGAACGTGGGAATAATTATACAAAATATGGAAGAAACGACTAACAATAAAGGCTACTAAACCTAAGAGCCACCCGCTCGGCAGCGTGTATTGGTATTAGTATTGTAATAGTAACATACTATTGAAGGGTCAGCCGTACTATAAGCAGTTAATATATCTGTTTATCATACAACTTTGTACTCAGGGATGTGGCATGAAGTAAGAAAATGTGTCCTTCAAACTAATGTAAAACAAACCAGTATCGACATGAAATCAAAATTCACATTCCTTTTTCTGTTATTACTTTCAATTAACTTGTGAAAGGTTTGTATCCATTTTATACAGTGAACTGCAATGTATTTCAAACTAAACTAAACATAAAACAGATGAAACTTTTCAGACACTTCTGTGACAATTATTTCAAACAAGGGACTTCAGCGATTGTGTTTCCTGATGAAGCCTTCTTCTTTTTCTTCTTCCTTTTCAGTTTATTTTGGGCCCTTTCATTTTGGGCTCCATTTTCACTAATAGTGTCACTAACAGAATATGAGTCCTGTTGACCATCCTCCTCTGGATTTAATAGTTTCTTTTTCTTCTTATTTTTCTGTTTTATTTTTTCTTTTGTTTCCAAGGAAGTCTCTGGCGTTGTCAAGTTAGTAGTGAGCCCTGGAGATGGCAAGAGGTCTTGAATGGAGATGGCTGCCTCTTTTAAGCGCATTTCCATCTCACTGTCACTGTCACTAACAAGATAAAAACAAGAATTAATAATGTTACCATGGATTACTGGATTCACTGTCAACAGGTTACGATTAATAAAAGGGAGTATTTGGTGACATATTAGCTCAGTCTATTGGCACTAGGTATACGACAGGACTATTGAATTTTTAAAGCTGATTTAAAGTTTGGTGTCACAAAGAAACACTAACTAAGGCATTGTTTTAGTTATAAATGCAAAGGTTCATCAATATTGCTTTGTAAAACCAATATTGATCCAGAATTAAACTACTGAATGTAAATGGGAACAAACCAGATTCAGTGGAACGCAAAAGTATTTAGTCAGCAAGTTCTCCCACTTAAAAAGGGACCTAATCTTTTTTTGTTGGTATATTGTGGTCTTGTTTTGTGTTAAATAAAACTTATTTTGACAGATAATTTCACCCTTAGCGATTTCTATCAATAATTATCATGCAAAAAGAAATTCGCAGAAAAATTGCAGAGACCGGATTGGACGTACACGTACGGGGTCTTTGGACTTTGTTGATATGCATTTGTAAGCCATAACGTTGTATACGGACGTTTTAAACAGATATTTGTTATTCAGTGATGGACAATTCAAGTCAGGAGTTTTTATTTATGAGCCCTTGCGTACTGGTTATGACAGTAATTCTGATTTTGAGGACTCTGACTCGGTTCAGATGGACGCAATCTTCAAGAACTCAACATTCCACGGGCTGGAGTCATGGATCTATGGTCCGACCCGTCTCTAAACCTTTTGAGCTCTGTCATTGCCAACAATGGGTATACATCAAAGTTTTGAGATGAACTTTTGTTATTGACTAAATACTTATTTTCTACCATAATTCGCAAATACATTCTTTAAAAATCAGACAATGTGATTTTCTGCATTTATTTTCTCATTCTGTCTATGATGAAAATGACCAAGAACTGGAATAGGTGGCTGACTAAATACTTTTTTGCCCCACTGTCCTTCTGTTTTTATTTAAACCAGGAAACAGCACACTAGAAAAACGCCAACATTAGAAAATTGAAAACATAGTCGCAAAAATTTCTCAAAGCCAGATTATTTTCACTTTGTATGTATTTTTTTATTGACTAGTGTCTGCATTCACTCATTCATAACATGGAGAAGTGTTTGAGTTTAAAGTATTCATTCAACAAAACAGTAATGACTATATTACAAATCAATACATCAATTATCTGTAAATCCTAATACATCAATCTGTACTGCAAAGTAAAACCATCCCCTTGTGATTGTGAAATATTACCTTGAGCTGGGAATGGGGCGACGTTTAGGAGGAGGTTCTTCAGGTTTTTGTCCTGGTATTGATGTGGAGAACAGACGAAAACCTAGTATTCAAATTAAATGATCAAACATAAAAAAGTCAAGCAAATATCATGAGAAGTCTAAAACCCTTATTTTTACCTTCATCGTCATCATCTCTACTGTCAGAGTTGTCCGTTTTCATACCAATTTGTGCTGAAGATGGCTTTTCCGATATGACACTGACAAAGACCCAGGTTAATAGACAAAACAAAACTTTACTCATACAACAATTGTTTTAGTCATACCAACCTGTCAAGGATGGCACCCAACTTTTTGGCCACATGTATCTGGAAGCCCTGAGTGACCTGCAGCTCGTTGGCATCATGATCATGATCTGCAACTACTAAACTGTTTCCAGGAAAAACAAGACAATCAAGAAATGTAATGCTTTGAAGGCTGGATGCTGGATTAGCGTTCAAAGTATCAGAAGATTATGAATTATCATTGGTAATAAAACATATTATCCCAGCTTTGGTTAACAGAAATAATACATTTTGTTTGTCCTAACAGAGTCTTTTAAAAGTCAAATATTGAGAACAGAAAGAAAGTAAAAGATCCCACTAAGTCACTTTTTGACACAATAACTGAGGGCTGAGTGAGGAGAAAAATGCATGCAAACGAAAACTAGTCTTTTGAGAGCGAGGGACTAGTTGTTCCTAACAGTTTAGTTGTAATAATATGCTACCTGTGTTATTAAACCCTGCGAAGAAGTTGGTGATTGACAAAAAGTATGAGGACCACCCACCGTTTTGAAGGCTTCTGGCTGCTGCTGGGATCTAGGACAAACCGGAAGTAATATAGTTCACTAATAATAATATATAATAGTAGTAGAGTATATATTTTATAGCTATAATATGCATTTCATAGCTAAATTACATTACTCAATAAATTACTTCTAATTTACACTGGTTATGACCATAGACTGTCTTGTCCCTAATTTTAAACACATTACAATGACCTTTTTCTTACGGCACACTTGCAGGGTTTGATACCTTGTCTTTTACTCTCAGGACTGACCCAGACAGCCTCCTGACAGCGCCTAAACTGCTCATCGTCGCTGCTGCTGGAATTACCACACGGGTCTATGCCGCGCGCCGCCATGACACGTGCTGCTCCTCCTGCTTGTGTTTTGAGCTAGGAACATGGGAAATGTAGTTTCCCCCCAATGAGGTTTTCACCCCAGCAAAAATCTATTTTTTTTATGGGAAATGTAGTTACCCCGAATGAGGTTATTTTTCGAGTAATCCGAGTAAAAAAACACATACAACTCATGTTGGTTGTCCTATGGTTATTTCACCATTAAAAAGCAATATTCCATTGATATTTACATTATATGCCTCATACATATGGTATATCATATGGCATTTTCTGATGAGAAGGATGAAAAATGCTGAACTTAAAAACTTGGCCGTGATGGCCACATTGTAAATGGTGACATTTCTCTATTTATTCAATCAGTATCTTTTTTTTAATTAATATAAAATAAACATAGCAGACAAGTCTGAATGCATCTGCGGTTCTTGTTTTTGAGTATAGCACAACATTGCGATTATGGCCAACACACATAAAAATGAAACGGGACCGGCAATGTTTTTTTTTTTTTTTTTTTTTTTAGATTAAAAAGACAGTATGTAAGGTTTTTATTGTAAAATTGCGTCCTCAGACACAAATCAAGTATAAAATCATATAAGTCTTTTTTAGATAAATAACTAATGAATGAATTTTATTTTGGTCACTTGTACTTAATGTAAATAGTGATTTATTCTTCATTGCAAAAAATGGAAATGGGGCCATACTCTTTTCAATATTTGACAGCTTGGTTCTGTCTGATTATCCTACTAGAAAGCAGCGTCACACTAGTCTCTCCGGTTTCCTTGGTAAAATCCTGGTGTTTGGTCACTAATAACTAAACCCCAGAAGCTGAAACACATTAGTAAGTATAGCTGGAGGAGCATGTGTGTGTGCTTTACAGTGCATCACTCGCACCAATGTTACATAAACAGTAAGAGCAGAAACTACTGTACAACCATTCGCTTTTAACCTTCAGTAATTCAGACTCAAAGATTAACAAACATGAGATTAACTGTTTTTCTTATAATATAGATAACTGAGATCAATTCCAAGATGACTTTATTAAGACAAATCCTATATTATACCTTGTAAAAATGCATTCCGTTTAAATACAAATATCCAAATGGTGCACATGCTCAGTCATAAGACATTTAAATAGAAAAACTACAGAAAACATAACTGATATACTTAATATGCTGTAACACTTCTACTTCATGTCAATTTTGGAGAACAAAAAATGCAATTAACTAGCACAATAAAAAATATATACTGATGAAGTTCTACTGGATAGTCTGATAAAGGCATTTCACTGAAGTGTTCATTTCCAGCAGAAAGAACAAAACGTAAGGCAATAGGTTTAAAGCAAAGAATGACACAAACTGAATGATAAAAATATTCAAGACAGTTTTCCCCTGAGTCCCAGGATGTGAGCGCTGCTCTGGTTGATGAATGAGTTCATATGAAGGCAGATGTGGTCGGCTGGTTTCGGTGATTGTTTCTGGGATTTGTCTTTGAGGAAATACTTCAGCTCCATCTCAGGTAGGATCATGATGGATTTCATATTGCACACAATTTATCCCACTCAGTATTACAGACCACCATTGTAGGCGTAATCGGCCTTATTGTGCATGATGAGTTTGTTGTCCACAAAGTAGAAACTGTCTGATCTGGTCTCATATGGATGCTCCACCATTTGGCGAACTGGATGTGAGGACATTTGTTTTAGAAAATGTTCAATATAATGACAATGGACATAAATAAAACGATAAGCAATGAATAAAAGGAAACTGGGAAACTTACTCAAGTCTTCTGGAAGCTGTGGAAACTCATAAATATGTTCACATGTATTGCGGCTATTGGGAATGCAAAAGCCAAAGTCAAAGTCAAAGTTTTTGAGAAGACGCCCCTGAAAATAATGTCTCTCAATCATTCGAAAGTTGTTAATTGGTCGATTGCCAACGGTAAACTCAACACTGGAATCAGAAGACACATGGCATGTCAATTAACAAGAGTAAATATAATACATATATCTGACACAGTCAGTGTAATTCAGTCACTTACGTAGCACCAACTGTGCGCAGTTTTAGAAAAGCAGGAGTGAACTGATATCGCACAAAACGTCCAGCACTCAGGTCTATGTCTGCACCCTCTTCCTCACCTTCAACAAGACATGTAAATGTTTTCTTTAGATATATAGTTTGATTTCCTCCTCTATGTTCATATAATGAACCACTTGCTAAATAACTACGTTTCCTTGATTAAATTATGTATCAATTTCTCTCAACTAATCTATTTGTTTATAATGCAAACAAGAGTGAAAACATGACAAGCATCTTTTTCAGACATTTTCAATCATAAAAATCTCGACTCACAGAATGTGCAGTATTGATAATAGCTAAACATTAGAATGTTTACAGTCACTAGCTTTGAGTGACTGTATTTTTGTGGTGAAATTCAGAATACAATTACACTAGCAAAATCCTCCCCTTAAAATTGTTAATATTGTGTGTGTTCAGGTATTCCAAATATTTAAAGTCTCTACATAGAAATACTACATTAGTTATGAATTATCTATTTGATTATTTCAAACTATATTACCAATTTTTACTGATTGTATTGTTGACAAGGACCCATACCCTGCCTATGAGTTATCACTTACCACTGGAAGGTGGTTTAGCAATTTCAAAAAGAACTGTTCCCGTTTCCAAGTCCCGAATTTTGAATCGAGTGAAGTCAATATTGTAAATGTTGTCTTCAGGTTTACACAAGTAATCTGAAATACAAAACAATGTTGTGTTTGTTGTTGCAGATGAGAGCAATAAAACACATCAGAAGAAGTTGCTTTGATGAAGCTGGTAAACTCTAATGCAAGTAATCAGAGGACACTCTAAAAAGAATACCATTTAAACACCATCTAAATGTCTAGTCTCTAAGAGGTTTAGAATGTGTAGACAATTTCAAGGGACAATATCTAAATGTTGATTATTTAATGATGTCAATAGAATTTTTCTATTGAACTAAACCTACCACCCTCAATTGAAAGAATCAGTAACTAAGGAAGCTTGGATTGCCTTGACAACAGACAACACTGGATTAACCACAAATTTGTGGTCCCACCAAATTAAACCAGTGGTTACACTTCGACGCTTTTGCAATTTTAGTTAAATGTAAAACTGTGACGTTAAAAACTAAATTTCAACAGAACATTCACTTAAATTATATACTTAAAGGATTCTAATCATGGTCAGACCCGACTGTATGCATGATACAATATACACATCTAGGTCAATATGCTACGTCGTTTAAACCAACTATGTAGCTAGCTAGTTGAGTTGTGTGAACATACCCTCAGTAACATCTCGGAGACCGAGCACTTTGTCTGCAGAAATGTCTTTGCCCAGCGCCTTGAGCTCATCTTCAGTGACCACAGGCCACTTCTCCGACTGACTCCGCTTCGATTTGAGCTTCTTCAACATTCCCCCGACCGTCTTTCTGTCTGGATCTACGTCCCCTTGGGCATTGTTAAGTGTCGGCGCTGGTTTGCTTCGAGAGCCGTTCATGCCGGAGTGAGGAGCATTTATAAAGTAAAAACAATGGTGTTGTTTAATTCAGGGGCTGCTCAAACAAACTGAGCTCTAAATTCAAGATGGCGTCCCAGTGTTCCGAGGAAATGCGAGTTTCCGATTGGCTGTAAGTGTGGAGAGTTGTCATAGTTACCAGAGGGACGTGAAAGTTTATCTAAAAGGGCTTCCCGTTTATAACTAGGGCCTGTTCACACGGTTCACACCAAAGATTTTTGTGATTCGTTGCTATTTAGAGGAAACACAATAATTTCATCTTAATAGCTACCAGTTTGGATAGTAGTCTAGAATATTTTACATAACCGTTGCTAGCCATGTATGGGTCGTGCAGCCATGGTGATTACATTAAACGCACCCACCTTCTACCCTGCAGTAATCTCTCTTGTCCAGTGTGGAGCGCTAATGGTAAAATGATGTTTACGGAAGTTTTGACAAATAAGAACGCGTGGTCGCGATGGTGCGAGTGAAGTCGAGGTACGATCAATATATGTTTGGTCTGTCAATGTATAATTTATAACAGGGTTATTTGTTATCAGGTATTTACTCTGTGAAGTGAATGTGACAGACAGAAACCAGCTGCTGCAGTTGGATGACCGTGCAGTCTCCGCCTCAGTCAAGGATGTTGTCCAGCGCATGTACGGGGACTACGGAGCTGCCCTCTGTAGCTTTGGTTTCTCGGGTGAGCTCACGTGTTGAAAAAACAAGAGAGAAACTGCAGCTTCATACATTTTTTAACGAAGGTTTCGCTGTTTTTGATTAAGCGAAAGGATGATATCACACCATATGCCAATCTCCTCCAGTGTTAGTAACAAATGTCTCACAGCCTCTATCTTTGATTTGGTTTTGTGTAAATCGAGTTGTTGCTTCGATGAATTGTTAGTTTTTATAATGACTTATTACCATGTGAAACTGAGCTCGTCTATTGTTCTGTGGGACACCCATTGCAATAATTGTGAACATGGATGCATTGTATAATATAACACTCCCTTCTTTTTTGGACAATGAAACAAACTTTTGTTTAAACTCTATATCTGTGAGGTGTAAATCAGCATATTGTGTTGAAAATAAAAAGATGGGTTAATATTAATTAAAGATAATATTTGACTCATTGATAATACATTGATAGTTGTTTTACAGGCTACACTAATACTATTCTTTCACTCCACGCTCTGTGCTGACCAAAGCAAGGCTGCAATCTGTGCTCACTCATAATGCAATGTGGACAAAATTTTTGTCCCCTGTGTTCTTTTTTCTAGTGAAATACGTTAACGCTGTCAGTGGAATCGTATTCCTACGTTTTCCAAAAAAGTGTTACAAACGACTTTGGTCTGCATTGCCATTTATTACCAGCATTGAAGCAAGAGGGAAGAAGATACAATGTTTTCTCAACTGCATATACGTGGGAGGTATGCTATAAAATCTTGTAAGTTGCACAATAACCTGAAGTATTATCTGTCTCTTTTGTATTGTGGTAAAAATAGGAACAATTAGAACATGCCAAAAGTTTCTCATACGATACAATGCTCACCAGCTCCGGCGGATGCTCCCAAAATGCAAAAGTGAAGGTAGAAGGAGGCACATATTGTTCTTTCGGACACCAAAGAGAATAAATTGAAAATACTAATTGTACATTGTGTGCTTCTTCCAGAAGAAAAACACAAAGTTCAACAAGCAATTTTGGACTGTTGTCTCACAGCGCGTACAGATGAATCTGAAGATCCACTTGAAAGTGAAGAGGACTAGTGGACCTCCTGTGAAGAACTGTTTAATTTTCTGCACTAGCACTAGTAGTTCATGAGTTATGGAACAGAGTACAGTCATTTACGTTGGTGCTGATGCAGCCACAATAAAAATGTTAAATTGGACCTTATCTTGTTGCACTCATTCTAAATTAACCCAGAGATCATTTGAATAAGCTCTACTATAAAGCATATGAACTTTATCTGAGAGTGCCCAGTTCAGTTGAGGAATTCAATCTGAATCCTTGTATCTGTATTGTTCTTGCCCAAAGTATATTGCGTGGAAGTAGAATGTAGATGGATAAGTAAATTAAGAGTGTAGCCTTTTGGCCATACCAGCTGTCACTTCAGTACAGTTATATGGTTATTGTTAACTTCGTGTCTTTGACTATAGCCTACAAGCTTTTTTTTATTTCACACAATGTACTTTTTCTTGTCTTTTTAATTTCTTGTGCACAAATATTTCTGAATACATGTATTTGACATTCTATCAAGCACTTGATGCCATTTGATTGTTATTTTATTTCTCTATTAGACCAACACAACCTGCATGATTTATATAGCCATGACTATGGCATTTACTGGAACTACAATTCCCATAGTTCATACTAACGGGTTTAGCCAATCAGGAAGCTGTTAGATCTACAAGAAACATACGGGTCCTTCTTCTCACTGTCTGGCGACCCCGTCGCCATTAGTGCAGTGTGATTTCAACCGATACTTATTTTTGTCTTGAATACCCACAACCTTGCGTTTGGGGACTTATAATAAGTGCCCAACGCCTTTTAAGAGGTGCAAAGCGTCGATCGAGCAAAGAAAGAGCGCGCGACCAGGGGTGTTAGCCCCGCGTGGCGAACTTTCGTCTTCTCCTCTGTCTCCACATCTAACTTGAGACGCTGATATCGTGTCTCTATTTTTCTCGGTCTGTTTTGTTGCAAAGATGTCGCCGTGATGAGGTCTCCGTGTTTGACAGAAATGATTGAGGGCCTTCCCCGGTCTCACTACAGCCCGTTCTCTTTGGTTTTTCTGTTTGATGCTCGGGAGCTCGGCGGCTCTCGGCTCGGAGCTCGGCCTCTGCTTCGCTCACTGCACAGAGACAAACATGGAGAAAAACCCCAACAACAGCAGCAAGGTTCCGCCCCGCGCCAGCTCCAGCGGACCCACAGCTGGTGATTCCAAGCCCAAAGCAGGTGAAGCGGCAGAGGCCACATACAGGCAATTTCTCTGGGGCCTTCTTGGGCCTTATGCAGCTTTTTATATTCTGCACATTTGTCAAACCACGACCTGTCAAAAATGTGTGTACGTATTTCTATTAGTTTTAACCATCCATGTTTATAACATATACGTATCTGTTATTACATCTGGAAAACTCCATTTACATTTTACTTGTTGCATAGATGACCTGTGTGAACATTTCCAACATACACGTGAAAATGTATAAAGAACACATTAGACATAAATTACAAGTGCTCTTTGTGATGATGTACTAAAGTGCGTTTGTAATGCGGAGATATGCACACACTCTTTTATAAGTAAAAGTAATGCATAAGATAAGATATACTTTACTGATCTCATAAAGGAGAAATGTACAACAAACGTATGAAGCTCTCCTTTGGGTTTAGGAAGGAGCTGAGGAGACGTGGATATGAAGATTTATGCTGTCCTAATAATCTATATAATGTTATTACAGGCCTTATTGAAAATGAAAATGTATAAAACGTACTATAATACAAGTTTATGTAATAACTTTAATTCTGCTCCAAACTAAAAATTTCTCTTTTATTTTGTTTATAGAGAGTAAAAATAATGGAGGCTCAAAGCGGTACAACCGCAAGCGAGAGCCTTCTTTCCCCAAAGCTGACAGTTTTTCCGGTCCACGACGCACCAATTCACAGAAAGGCAAAAGTTTTGACAAGAGACCCCTCCAGAGAGGTGGTGGGCGTCAGTATGGAGTTGCAGGCGGAGGACGACGTGAGGAGGTGTGTGACAGCATGATTTACAAAAACTCCCCTTAGTTTCAATATTGCATACTGATCCTCTTCTACCTTCAGGTAGCAGAGACGCGCCGGGCCGAGTTTAGCCCGGCTCAGTTTGCTGGACCTAAGAAAATAAGTTTAAACCACCTGCTGAACTTTACGTTTGAGCCTCGTGGTGGGAATGGTGGAGGTGATGTCGGCCCATCCTGCTGGGGGCGACGCAACAAATGGGGCCACAAGCACAAGCCCTTTAACAAGGAGCTATTCCTGCAGGCAAAGTATGGTGTACTTCAGAATTGTTTTGGATTAGGTCTAAGTGCCATTTCACCTTTGTTGTTTAAACAAAGTTGTATACTTGTGCTTCAGTTGTCAGTTTGTGGTTGCTGATGACCAGGACTACAAGGCGCACTTCACTGATCCAGACACTCTGGTTAATTGGGACTGTGTGCAACAAGTGGTATTTACATAACCTTTATATTTCTACTTTCTATAAATCTGGAACTTAAATTAATTGCCTGCTTTTTCAGCGTATTTACAGTCATGAGGTGCCATCTTGTCCCATCTGTCTCTACCCTCCGGTGGCGGCACACATCACACGTTGTGGACACATTTTCTGCTGGCCATGTATGCTTCACTACCTGTCTCTTAGTGACAAGAGCTGGTCAAAGTGCCCAATCTGCTACGAGGCAGTACACACCGGTGATCTGAAAAGGTAGATAACATTTACCAACAATAATATTAAGTGTCTGAAGTAATTTGTGTTTATTACTGATTGACACAGTGTTGTTGCAATGGAGACAAGGCAGTATATGGTTGGTGACATCATAACTATGCGCCTGATGCGGAGGGAGAAAGGAGCCTTGGTTGCACTGCCCAGCTCACAGTGGGTGAAAGTGGAGGAACCTATTCAATATGGAGGTCGGATATAGAAATTTACATTTTAGATTTTGTGAGAAAAAAAACGAAATGCACATGAAAACTGGGCTTAATTTCAATGTATTACTTTTTTTTAGATTTTTGTCTCAGCCCCTATTCCAAGCTGTTGCTGATTTCTCCAGAGCAGGTTTTGGAAATGGTGGGGGAAGAAAAGGCTGCTCTGCACTCACAGCTCAGCCAAAAAGATGAGCCTCAGGACTGCTTCATCCAGAGCGCTCTATGTCTTTTAAAGGTAACTGAAACAAAATTGTACTTTCTTGTCTTAATATTTGTTGATTTTTGAAGGTTCTTGGATTCTTGATGGATTGCTGTTCTTTTCTGTGCCCCCAGGAAAGAGAGGAAGGATTGTTGAAGCAGCAAAAATCTAATGCAGACAATAGTTTTGACTTGTCCTCCCTGACTCTTGAAGAACCACCGCCTCCATTTGAAGTGATTACAACTAGCTGCAGCACTAAGGTAAACTGTTTTATCTGACTTTCTGGTTTCTATGTTTAAGGTTTTGATTAAATTACCTTTTTTCATGTAGCCGGTGCTGCAGTACGCCTCAGCCTTTGATGACGAGGTGTTGGAGATGCTGGAGGAGGACTCTGAGCAGCCACAGCTTCCTGAAGGCATCTTGGAGAGTGTTTTGGACGAAGTCCCAGAGGAAATCCTGGAGGCTGCAGCAGAGGCAGAGCTTGAAGAGGCAGAGCTTGAACTGCCCGAGAACCTCCCAGAGGATCACCCTGTGTGGCCACAGGACACAGGCCGCCTCCCAAATCATGTGGTGCATGGACCCTACTACTATTTCTATCAAGGTCTGCAAACTAACATTTATTTGTTGACAATTCAGTTCTTCCTACAGTATATAAAGATGGTTGTACAATTTACTGTATTATATTATTTGCATTTTTTGTGATTGCAGTAGTAGTTTTCCCAGCTTTTGTGATCTGATTAGTGAAGCCTTCTTTGGGGCATACTATGCATTATTACACCCCCAATTAAGAAGGGACAATACTATATTCTAAACTCAAATTGACATTTGAACTTTGCAAATGGTATAAAAGGTGAATTATCCATGAGCACTCTCTACTTTCTGAAACATTTTAAAGCAGAAGGGCATCTCACATTTTGTCGAATCAGTCTCAAATATAAAAAAATATATATATATAATTTATTTTTTATTCTGAACAAGCATGTATTTGGTTCATAACTTCAACTGTCTTCTGCCCAAAAGATGTATTTTCAAAATGACTTGATGTATTATGATCTTAACTTGAGTGGACTTTTATCCAGCTGACGACTGCCAGCAAATGTTCTTGCATCCAGTGAATGTGCGCTGTCTGCTGCGTGAATACGGCAGTCTGGAAGCCAGCCCTGACACGATCACTGCCAAAGTGGTAGAGATCGTAGGTCACTCGGTCAATGAGGTAACATAATTCTAAAAAAACAATAAACTTTAATAGAACTAATTTGGTTTGTATCTAATAATAAATTCTCATAAGAATGTACCACTGTATCATTATAGGATATTCGTCGTCGACATCGCTATCTTGGCCATCTGCCTCTCACATGCGAGTTCAGTATCTGTGAATTAGCTTTACAGCCACCGATAATCTCCAGAGAGACTTTAGACACTTTTGCAGGTTAGACAATGTGACTTTCCAATATGATTGAACACTGGTTGTTGAATATAAAAAAATATACACATTTATTTTTCCTAGATGATTTGGAGAAAAGAAAACGTCTGAGACAGAAGAAGGCGAGGGATGAGAAGCGTCGAGAGAAACGCATTGAAATGGAGGAAAATAAGAAGCAGGGGAAATGTATGGAGGTTTTATTACTGTTTATTTTAATGCCAAAAAACATGTATTTATTATTGCCAATATTGTGTTCGCAAAGACCCCGAAGTGCATATTGGACTCGAAAACCCACATCATTTCCCAGCGTTTGGTTCTCCTCCAGGCGACAGCTGCCTCCAGGTGCAACATGACTACACCGTTACTCCTCCATCTCCTCTCAGCTGCAGCCCTCCTGGTGGTACGAACATGTCTCTTAACCTTCACCTCTTTATCCTTTTGAATAAAGGTTCTCTTAAACAGTATCGGGATTTTGCTATAAAGCTTGTTTCCATTCCAGATGGGGTAGTATTTCCTGGCCTGACTAGTGAAAACTCATCTTTACCAGTTGTGGGAAGTGTGGAAGATGACAGCCACTGCATGTCCTTTGCACAGGTGAGTGACTGTAGAAACATTTGTTTGGTTTTCATAATCTTGAACCTGTTTTTGTTCTAGATGCTTAAAGATGGAAAGGCCAGAGTTGATTCTGGACATAGGATCACTCCAAAAAAAGGTACATTTATTTAGTTTTTTGTCCTAAACTTAAAAATATAAACACGGAAGATAATTTAATGCAAATGATGTAAGTTAGCACAGCATACTATTGATGTCAATGAGAACAACCATGACAGAGAGCAGATTATATTCTATGTGCTTTGTGTGGTCTTTCCTGTTGAACCGGTTAGGGTTAATGGAGATCCTTTTGAGGCTTTGTATAAGTCAGTAATAACACTACTTTTTGTAGATGCGCTGTTGGCTCCACCTGCGGCTGACAGCGATGGAGAGAGCGACAACTCGGACCGTGTCCCGGTGCCCAGTTTCCAAAACTCTTTCAGCCAGGCTTTTGAGAAAGCACTTATGGAGCTGGACAGTGGCCCAGCTTCTCACCCCCAAACTGCAGGTGGACAAGGTCTGCCTTTCAGTCGGTTACAGTTTTGTTTTTCTTCAATCTTTTGTTCTGATTAGTTTGTCTATCTATTTCAGATGATAAAGGAGCCAAGAAGAAAAAGAAAAAACAGAAGCTTCTTTTCAGTACCTCTATGGTTCACACTAAGTAGTAATTTACTTCAGTTGCAAATCTATTCACTGCCTTGTTCATGCAGCCCTTTTTTAGCTATAAGCTATGGAAGCAGTTTGGTTTGTAGGTGTGTGTGTGTGAGAGTGTGCCAGGAATTTATGTTAGGTGAGAAACTCCAAGCTATTCAGCCGTTGGGTACGCTGAAGTTTGTTCAGTAATGTATTCCCCATTAGCAAAAAGAATAAAGTACACAGTCCTCCCTCAAGAGACCAAAATTGGTTGCGCAGCTGTTGAGATGGGTAGTGCTGCTGTATTTTCTGAAGTCCCAAGTACCGATAACAAATTATCAATGGGAGACTTTTATTTTAGTAGCAGTCAGCCAACTGCAGATACTACACCCTTTGAAAATGAAGCAATGATACTCGGGACTCTACTCTACTGAAATTTCAGTGCTTTCAGAGTTATTTGGGGGGTGGGGTGGAAATGGACATTCTGCTTAAAATGCACAATAGTATTAGTAATTCTTGAATGGCTCAAAATGATTAAAAAGCAGTATTCATAACGTACAGTTTAAAGGAAAAACTGCAGACATGCACTTTTTAATTGCTCCGATCCAATCCGTTTTTTTTGGTTTGAACAAGTATATTTAAGGTGAACAGAAGAAATGATTGTTGAGAGAAAAAGGGATCTCATTTATTTGAGTTGATGCTTCTTAATTACTTTTATTTTTGATTAAATGTTTGGACTGTGTATATTGTACTCTGTTCAAATAAACATTTATGCACATAAAGTTTGCATTTGCTTTTTTATGCATACATTTTCCTGAACCATATGGATATAACAAACTACCACAGGAGGGCAGCCTTCAGACTGTAGGACCCAGACTGTAAATTTAGGAACACAAAAGACATTAGAATGTGGGAGTTGGGATACTAATTGACAAGTTAGTTTTAACAAGGTACCTAAATGTATTTTCTGTTATAACTTGCTTTGAGTGGTTGGACTACAGCTCGGACCGGATGTGGTGATTTACCTCGCAAACATCTGAAGAAGGATTTCTACGTGTTTTTGTTTTATCCTACGTTGAGCCATAATGTATGTACAAGGATGGGGCGACAGAGTGAAACCTTTACATTCTACAACACTGCTGTTCCTAGCTTCCCTAAACAGTGTGGTTCCATTTCTGATCGTTTACAATGGATAATTAAAGGTGCATTGTGTAACTTTTCTGACTGGGTCCGGTTTTTTACTAGATTCTCTGTTGGAAAAAAAAAGTGTAAGCGTATATTTTGGGTCATGCATTCAGAACTGCCCAGTATGTATGAAGTCCACTTATAATGCCAAATATAAACATATTTTCACATTTAATTTCTAGTTTCATTTCATTTTATTATGAAAGGACATTGCGGAAGTCGCGGCCTCCTCCACGCTGTCTTTCCCACAGTCTGATCCCACAGCGCTGTCTGTCCCTCTGTCAACAACACTGCAACCTGAGACGGGATAGCCACAGGTCTGCTAGCCCACTTGACCTGCTAACTTAGCTCCTCCGCTAACGAAACATTTGCCAAAGACTTTCCATTTGTGGATATTTACTTTGGCCAAGTGTTTTGCGCGCCCTGTCTGGGAGTTTGGAGAGGAGTATAGATGCCTTTCCCGTTTGGTGAGTTGCTTCCACTTTGCAACAGCGGCGAAAGACAGGTTCAGTCTTTCCATTTTGTGAGTTCAGCCTCTTGAGTTGTTAGCTTACAGTTCTAAGCCTTAAAACTGTTGATTGATTCATGAAGTGGTCAGTGTGGGATGAAGTTTGAACGTGTGAAACTGTCCTGCTGGCCCCAAATGGATCCTGCGCATTCAACAAATGGTCTCGGTGGTTTCTGGTTTTGATGAGTCCCTGACTGTGGTATAAGTAGGCCACCTCTCCGAGAATAAACTCTATTCAAAGTAAAGGAAAGCTTGTTTGATAATTGTAGATGTGGGAATTATGTAATGTCCACATATACAGCTGGCAATGTAATGAAAAGTAATTCTTCGTTTCTACAGCAAATAATAATCCCAGTTTATTAAACCAAATTTAATGTTTACTTTACTTAAGCAGTTGGAAATTAGGGTTGTAATCAATGCTATTTTAGTAGTTAAATTGTTCATTGCTTTGTAAACAGGCTCCAAGACATGTTTGTGGGAAATTAGGTTTAAATATTTAAACTGAGCAATAATATTACATCAAATTAATCAGGAATTGCTTAGTGTCTCTCTAGAATTATATATACATATTATTTAAATTCTGATTTGGAAGAAAAATATATTGCGGTGATGATCCTACAGTGGTTTATCGTGAGCTTTAGGTAAAAAAGTATTTGATGTGCATTCTAAACATCAATGGAAACAGATAAATGCTAGACTAATGGATTGATCTTGATTGTTATAGTTACAGCCTTACTGTAAGTAATTAATCATAGTGTCTTTGACTGGGCAATACTCAGTAGAGCTGCAACTAACAATTATTTTGTAATCGATTAATCTATCAATTATCTTTACGATTAATCGAGTAATCGCTTGGCTGTGAATTGTGTAGGAAAATTTATTTTTTCATCACAAAAAGCTAAAGTGGCAACACTCGAGGACTTGTTGATGGCGTAAACTTAAAGTAAATGTTTGTAACAGGCTCTTTGTGCTAATTCTGCTATCTGATTGGATGAGACAGACAGATATTCATGAAATTATAAAAACAAAGTCGGTTTTAATCAAAAATACTACATTTTCATGTCATTTTTGCTCTGTTTGAGTCCGTGTGAACCAGAAAACGATTAATCGATTACTAAAATAGTTGTCGACTATTTCAATAATCGATTAGTCGTCGATTAATCGATTAGTTGTTTCAGCCCTATTACTCAGTAAGCTTTATTAAACATTACCTTAAGGGCTAAACCTTAGAAATACTACACTTGTGGTTTAAACAAGTTCAAGCAGTGTATTGTTGGTAAAAAAAAAAAACTACCTCTGCTATAACTTGCCAAACCAGGTCACTGACATGATAGTACTTGAGTGAAAACACAGCCTGTGTCATGTCTACCTATTTCAAAGAAATATATGTTATGTCTTATGTCACTATTGTTATTGGAATTCAATCAATGAAATATTGATTGCAGAGTCTTATAACTCTGCGTACTCACTCTTCTCCAAATGTTTGGCGTTCTTTTTAAACAGAGGTATTTCCTGTCATATCTGGCATTCAACTACGCTATCATAATACTGTTCTTACCATTGGTTAATAGTGCTGTAGAGTAGAGGTTATTTTCCATTGTTAATAAACATGAACATCAAACATAAATATCAACTACTGTATTACCATTGTATAAAAGTATCCTAGCTCCATTGAAGCCAGTGAAAATGCTGAATGCAAATAATGAAACAAGGCTGAAAATGAATGACTAAGTCTTGTAGCTAATGATTTCCTTGTGTATTATTGTATGGCTCAAACGTCTGGGTGTGACGGTGTTTACTCTGGTCTGTGTCGGTGTCTCCTTAAGCATTTGTCGTAGAGACAGCAGAGATTTGTCCAACGCAGCTGCGGCCATTGTTGACACGTCTTTCTTCTGCAGGTTTGTCCACTCTATTGCTATGACATTGTTGCTTCTATACTGCGGGAATCAGAGCTCCTCCTCGGACGGATAACAGGTAAAAAGTGCTGACATTCTTCATGGTGTTTGTGTTGCCAATGTTTTCTTGTTCCTCTCAGAAAAAACATGTATAAGCCTGAATAACGTCTCGGCACATGTGGAAAGCATTACATGAGGAGGAAGCTTCTTAAAGGCCTACAAACATTCACAGCTTTCTCCAAGTGCTATTGAGAACAGCATAAATTGTATAAATCTGTGTAATGATAATGATTAGTAACTGCAAATTTTCATATTTTATTATTTTTGCTCTGTAGAACATAATCATTGTGTTAAGTAGGTTTAAGTCTTTTGTGAACACACATGTGTTTAATGTATTTTCAAAGTGTATTGTTCTCATATCAGTGTGTATTCTCACTGTTGAATGTCTCACTTTCAACAAAACAAAATAATTTTTTACTGCTCAATTGTCTTCAAATTTAAGAGACCCTAGAGTACAGTTGCCTTGAGCTGGAACTGTTGAAAGTTTCAGCCTGGTGTCAACATGAAATGCCACTTTAACAAAACAAAACAATGACTGCCATGTAAAGTTCCATCCACTCCTTGCTGCTACTTTCTTGTATGTAAATAGACCAGACACTTATCAATGCAGAAGCTCATTGACGTTTTCAAAATAGATAAAGATAGCGCATACAGTATAGCAAAAGTAGTAGTATAGGAAAAGTGACTAAATATGTCCTCTTAAATGAGTGGCACTCCGGGTAATGCGATGCCACTCCTATAAACAAAGTCCATGGGATGACGTCATAGTCTAATTCATGCGTAGTAGTTGTATGCTTGACTGAATGACTAATTTTCTTTTTTGTCTTTATTCAGCCTCGGTGGAGTTTACATATGGCTGCTGAGGTGGAAGTCCAGTCTGGAGAGGTGGGGAGATCAGGGGGGCGCCTGCACCTCAGTCCACTCATTGACTCCAACAACAAAAACCGCCTGGACCTATCCCCCATGAACCAGTCCCATTTCATCAGTCCTGAACCGAGCAAACCTGTGCCGGGCCCAAAACCACGTCTCACCCCAAAACCCTTCTCTGTGGAACGAAATGCCACAATTAAACCAATACTTGCACCTAAACCGCATACAAAGCCCCGCCCACAATCCACCTGCACACCTGGGTATAAACCCGTTCCTCCTAATACCCCTAAACTTCATACACCACCCATCACTGGCCCACCCAAGCCCACTGCAACCAATTCTACCCGTCCAGCTTCAACAATTTTCAAATCCGCCATGTCACATTCAGGGCAAACCACCAAACCTGTTGCTCAACCGTTTAAACCAGTGCCCTCGATTGCTGGAGACCCGAGTAAGCCACTTTCTCTTTCACCAAAGCCTTCAGATTTGACTTATTCAAGAAGCCTAAAAAGACCACCATCTGCAGAGTGGTCAGGATCTACAAACAAAGAAGAGCAGGATAAAGCTGGGACGTCGATTACTAGAACAAAATCCATGGGAAATCTTTTACAAATAGGGCAAGAGGAAAAAGAAATGACAAAATCAGAAGCAGCTGTAACCCTTAGAACTCAGCCCAGAGGCTCCAGGCAGAGACCGGTATCAGCTATTTATCCAACAAGTCCAACCAAAATGGATTCGCCAAATTCAGCTTTCCCACGAACCGAGAGAAGACCTCTGTCAGCAGATCTCACGTCCAAATTTGAATCGGCACGTCTTTCCCTACATTGTAAAACTCCTAGAGAAAATGAAAATTCTCCTGATGAAAGTTTGCAAAAGAAGGAGGAAGCACTGCAAAACGCTACAAAAGAAAAAGCAGATCAAAGCAAGGACAATGTGTTTTCCAAAGAGGGAGAGGATTTGCGTGGGTCAAGTATCAAATCGAGAATTAGTCTTCTCATGGATTCATCGCCTGTCACGGGGCAAGTTCTGGACACCATAACACAAAGTACCCCTGAAGCTGAGCCTGTAGTTGGGGTTAAACAACTCATAATGCAGCTTACTGTGGACAAAACCACCCCAAATCAAAGCCCCGTGTTGAAGCCAGTACTGAAGCCCCGCCCCCTTCCCCTTGATCTGACCAAAAGGTAAGAACTGATATAGTCCTCTCCTCGCTTCTTTGTCCCATGTGTCTTTGTCCAGTGGTCCCATTGTCATGCATGGCTTTTGTCTCGTGTGATGTATGTTCATTAGGTTTTCGCCGGATCCTGCTGTTTCCCTCAATGACACTCCAGATCACCATGACGCCGGCAAAGCTCCCCAAAAGAGGGTAAGAGTGGGGTGAGGGTCGGTAGAAACTGATTTGCGAGAAAGCTATGTTTTGACTGGTCTCTTTCGCTGTCATGTTTTGCTCCATGTCAAGCAAGTCCTGTCTGTGTGAAGTGTTGGGCTGCATCCAAATTCAGAAAATATACCTCCTTCCCAATACTTTCCTGTCCTTCCTTGTTCTTCCTTGTGCTTTAGAATAAGCTTGTAATAGATAAAGTTGCTTGAGATTTTGTCATCTGAAACACCATGATGAGGAAGGAGGGAGGTATTTTATGATTTCGGATACAGCCTTCGTCTCTACTACTGAACTTACATACTCGGAGTTGGACTATGATAACATGCAATTGATTATGTGGGTGTGGCATTATTACTTTTAACTTTGACACAAGCAACAATACATTGCCAATTAAATAGTATCTAAGAAAAGATGCTGAAATCTATTTTGAGATCTATTGTACCTCAAGGACCCCCTTGAAAAAGAGAGAGTTTATCTCAATGGGGCTATCCTTAAATAAATAAATAAATTGTGCACTAATCAAAAAAGAAAAAAATTAATGAAAAAAATCTACGCAGCAGCATTAGTGTTCATTTCAGTGTTGGTCTCATTTTTTTACTTTATAATGCAAATTGTAAGCAAACTGTTTGTGCTGTGTGTTATATGGAACCTGCCATTGCATTTTTCGGAAGCCAGGTCACTGTAAAGAAACTAATGTGTCATGGATTTAGGAGCTCATTTAGAAATTCTGTATTAAATTGTTGATACAGCTAATCATTCTGGATAGTCATATTATTACAATTTGACATTTTAACACCCCAGTAAAGTTTAATTTTCTTAAAAGTATGTACAGTATATGGTTGCCCCTGTATTGTAGGCATAAGGAAAGGCAGAGAAAACTAATAAAAACATTTATTTTGAGCAATATCCCATAGGAAACTGAGCATTTCAGAAAAGAATTATAACTATTAGAGTAAATGTACAGTGGAACTTGAAACAGTCGCCACATTGATTATCCCATGTGGCCACTGGTTATGAAACGCACTGAGACAAAATGACTGGGAAAAGGTCAACACATTGAGGCTTTGATTACACCTTAGCACCACACCCACTCTTTTCAGAATTGAGAAGAATATTCGATGTCACGGCTGACAGTTGAATTTATGAATGCTTTTCTGTGTTTTACCGGTTTCTTTCTATGAAAATCTTTACTTTTTTAACACTCCAGGGATGTACTTATACAGGATTCTGTTTTCACTCTGATCTTTTGTTTTTATCACAGGCAATAAAGGTGTCTTTTAGCTGTTGTAGGTTTGCATTAGGGCTGTAATGAATAATTCTTTTGATAATATATTAGTTGGCTGATTAAACGATTAGTTTTTTTGAACCCAAAAGTTTTGTGAATATGGGATTTTTATAACTTTTGACCGTAATAAAGTTTAAACGGATAACCTGAGCCATAACATCTCTTCTCCGCATGTTTAGGTCTATGCAAGGTTAAAAAAATTACTAACTCAGTTGAGAACAATTTAAATAATGGATTAGTTGTGAATAATCGATAAACTTGTTAAAGCCCTAGTTTTGTGTTGAGTAATTATTTGAAATGTTTCATTTGAAGTTCATTCTGATTGTTGCATTTAAAAAGTGGCAATTTATGAGAATACGCTTTGCAATAATATCACACAAGATAGAATACTTGATTGCATAGGTTTTATTCATACTATCGGCACTCTCCACTTTTCAACAAAAAAACCTATTTGTGTTGTGTTCCTCCATTACTTTACTAATAAACCTCTCTATCCATTGTTTTGTTCTTGTTGTTGTAGGATGAAGATCCAACCAGGACACCGAGTAATGAAAAAGCATTTGAGGATTTAGATGATGAGATGAAAACGCCAAAGTCTGAGGGGCCTAACACGATGCTGTTTCCGAAGGAAACTGAAGCCCTAACAGTTCGAGCATCTGTGTTTGAGAACGTCATAGAAAAGCACAATGTTTTGATGGTAGACGAAAAGAAACACGAGAAAACCACACTTGAGAACACTGATGAAGAGGGACTATTGGTCACTGCCACCTACAAGGAGCCGGTATCTCCATCGGGACCAGTTCGTGTATTGCATGCGGTCGACACAGTTCCAGCTGCGGAGGAGAGCACCGTGAGCAGTGAAATCATTCCGTCTGCGCAAAGGGAGGACAAAGCCATGACGCTACGTTCGAGGCGCTCGGTGAGGGAAAAATCGCCACCAGAGAAAAGAAGTTCAGAACAGACTTCAAATGCCCCAAGATATCTAAGAGTGGGGGCCCTGCCAAAATGGACACTAGAAAATGACATGGATGTGGAGACAGCAATGCCAAAAGAAAAAGAGAGTGATTTTGTGGTGGACGACCCATCCACTACCACTGCCAAACGGCTCAAGACACAGCAAACAGAGGAACAAGTGAAACCAAGAGCGACCTACTTTGCCTTGACTGGACAAATGCAGGAAGCGGTCACAGCCACATCAAATGCAGTAGATAATGTGCCTTTTTCTGATCCCTCTGCCCAGCTGACCTCCCAAGGAAAGGTTTTACCATTTAAAAGGAATACGTCTTTAGATGAAGCCTTTGGGATAATGCCAGAAAGCACTGCAGATACTAGTAACTTGAATACAGAGACTCAAAGGGAGAAGCAAAAACAACTTGAATTGAACAGACAGGCAGAGTTGGAGAGACGGAAGGAAAGGGAGATGCAGTGTGAATATGAGAGACAGCGACAGATAGCATTTGAGAAAGAGAAACAAGAGTCTGAAGAAAATCAACGTGCGCTTGATATCCAGAAACAGATTGAGCTTGAAAGACAAAAGCATCTTGAATTTGAAAGGCAAAGACAACTCAAGCTCAAGCAGCAGAGGCAGCTAGAAGTGGAAAAGCGGAGACAATCGGAACTGGATAGACAGAAGCAAAATGAATTGGAGCGGCAGAAGCAGGTGGAAGTTGAAAGACAAAAGCAGGCTGAGATTGAGAGACTAAGACAAATAGAGTTGGATAAGCAAAGGCAGATTGAGATGGAAGACCAAATTAAACTTGAGTTTAAAAAACAGGAAATCGAAAGGCAGAAACAACTGGAATTGGAGAATCAGAGGAAACAGGAGGTTGAGCGGCAAAGGCAGATCGAGTTTGAAAGACAGTGTCAGATTGAGAGACAGAAAGAGTTAGCGATGGAAAAACAGAGGCTGATCGAAGCTGAGCAACAAAAACTAAGGGCAATCGAACGACAGAAACAAAACGAAATGGAACTAGAGAGGCAGCGTCAAATAGAGAAGGAGAAGCAGGAAAAACGTGAACTAGAAAAGCAGATGGAGCTCGAAAAGCAGAAACATATTGAAAGGAAATTGGAGCTGGAGAGGCAGAAAGAAATTGAACTTGAGAAACAAAGGCTAGATGAGCTCGAGAGACATAAAATGCTGGAGATCGAAAGAGAAAATCAGCTAGAGAAGGAAAGACAGAGGCAGTTGGATAAGGAAAGACATGAGATGGAGATGCAAAGACAGCGCGAGGAAGAGAGGCGTCAGAAAGAGCTGGACAGAGAAAGACAACTCATGGAGAAACAGGAGAAGCAAAGGAAGCTGGCTGAAGCAGAGGAGCAGGAGAGGAGGCGCAGAGAAAGGCAACAGGTGGTGGAGCTGGAGAAGCAGAGGCTCAGAGAGAAATTGGAAAAGGAACAGGCAGAGAAGCTCAGACTGATGGCTCTTGAGCAGGAGGCGTTGAGGCTGAGAGAGGTCGAGAAGGAAAGACAATTGGAGAGGGAAAGACAGCTGGAGATGGAACGAGATATGCAGCGTGAACAAGAGCTCCAGTGGCATAAGGAGTTGGAGGCACAGAGGCAAAAGCAACTGGATATGGAGAGGCAGGAGCTGGAGAAGCAGAGGCTCAGAGAACAAAGGAAGCTGGCTGAAGCAGAGGAGCAGGAGAGGAGGCGCAGAGAAAGGCAACAGGTGCTGGAGCTGGAGAAGCAGAGGCTCAGAGAGAAATTGGAAAAGGAACAGGCAGAGAAGCTCAGACTGATGGCTCTTGAGCAGGAGGCATTGAGGCTGAGAGAGGTCGAGAAGGAAAGACAACTGGAGAGGGAAAGACAGCTGGAGATGGAACGAGATATGCAGCGTGAACAAGAGCTCCAGCGGCATACGGAGTTGGAGAGACAGAGGCAAAAGCAACTGGCTATGGAGAGGCAGGAGATGGAGAAGCAGAGGATCAGACAGCAGGAGCAGGAGAGAGAGCGGCAGATGAGAGAGGACCTAGACAGGATGAAGGAGCTGGAGAGGAGGCAGTTACAGGAGTTTGATAAGCAGAAACTAGCAGAAAGGCAGCAGATCCATGAGCTGGAGAAACGCAGAGTAAAAGAGAAGATGGAGAGAGAGGGGGCAGAGAGGATGAGACAGGTTTCTAAACAACAGGAGGCTGAACGGCAGCGTCTCAAAGAGAAGCAGAAGAAAGAGGAGCAGGAACGCATCAGGCTGGAGTCTGCTGCACTCAGACCCAAAGTTGTGGATCTAGACTCAGTTCTGAGGAATGAGCAGTCGAGAGGCTCTTCTCGAGGTGATCCCTCCACACGATGGAAGGAACCATCGCCCAAATCCGAGAAGCCTCTCAGACCAGGCATCCTGGGCATTGACACATTAGGTACGCAGAGTCAGCCATCGCCCAACAGAGACCTGTTCCCTGTGGTTGGTATTCAAGAGGAACACCCACGAATACCAATGTCCCCACAAAACACAGGGGGTTTACAAAGTCCTAATTGGATGACGTCTCCTCAGAATCCATGGGAAGTGCGCTCTATAGAGATGTCAGTGGACAAACCAGAAGAACCCAAAAAATCCTTTAGCAAAACCAGCCTGGAACAGCTGCTGCAGAGGCAGGAGGTGCGCCGCCAGAGCTCTCGCAGACGCTGGTCCGGTTTAGTGGTGGACGATCCGTTTCAAATGGGCCAGTTCTCTGGACCCGAAATCAAACCTGCTGCTCCTACTCCTACAGTCTCCATCAGTGCTGCGTCTGAGCAGGTCTGGCTCTCCAGAGACGAACCTCAAGCACAAATCAGAGCTGAAGGGCCAAGTCAGAGGAGAACCCAGGGCTCAACGGTTAGTCACATTTTAAACACAGCAGAATCCACCCATTTTGTTTTTAGTGACCTCTCCCCTCTTTCCAGGAGCTGAACAGGATCCGATCCCGCAGCATGTCAAGGCACTCTACCCCTTCAAGCAGCGCTGTGGAGAACAGTCTGTCCAGGATAAGGAGCCGCAGTGCCCACAGAGACGAGGCCCAAGACAGCCTGGTAAGTTACAGAACTACAGACAGTCGTAAATTACAATATATGGTTAAAAGGTTTAGTACTTTTTTTCATTTCAGAGAGAAAAAACCTTAAAAGAAATAAAAAGATTGAATATAGAATTTGACTCTATAATAATTTAACTTATAACCTATCTATCTAGTCACTATCCACTATTCACTTTCTATAAGGAGAAACAAATATTTGAAATTCAGATTTTACTTTAATTGAGTCGGGTGCTTGAATGTCAGACGGCGAGAAGTGCAGGAATGTTGTTAGTTACTAGTTAGTGAGTGGGACTTGACAGTTAATTGCTCCGCTGCGTTCTCATGGGATGGCGGTGACTAATGCTGAAAGACCGGCCTCTGTCTCCTCCGCCCACTTTGTGCTCAGGTATAGGGAAGTGCTTGCCACACTCTTTTCAGGGCCAGTAAATCAGGATTGAAGAGTTCAAATGGTTAATGAATAGCTGCTGCATTAGGCCCGTTTACCACTGTCTGTCAGAGAGGCAGAGGGAAAGTGAAATTGTGGACGGCCTGTAATTACTATTGCAGTGTTCTCTTGTGAGGCAATTTGTTTTCACTATTTCATGGCTGTTTCTTCAAATAGTAATCTGAGTCTTCCATGTTTGCTCACTGATCATCTAGAGTTCATCTATAGGACACAACTGTGCTCTATGAACTCTGAGCATCTAGTTTATTGTCTCATCATAATCACAGCACTATGTCCAGACCTGGTCAGTCCATGGCGTTTTAAAGTTCACTGGCACCATCTAGTGGCAACTGGCTCACAAAACAATTTGGATCAGCTTCTTTCTTTTGGAACAAACAATATGAAATAGAAGTTGGCCCAACACAATATTCAGTTGTTCAGAATCACTAGAAAAACCTGCATACATACTTAAATTACCAATTATAAGGGGTGGAAAATTACAAATAATACAACTCTTTATTTTAGCAGCATTTGGTGAAGAATGAGAAAATTGCAACAAGTAGGCTGTGATGTCCAAGGCAGTTCTGATTGCTAAATGTTTAGAGTTTATTTTAGCGTGTTTTCATCAGGGCAGTATGATGTAGTTCTTTCTCACTCATTTCCTGGCACAAACACACAGAAACATTTAATTCAGACACCAGTCATTGGTGAGCTCATGGTAAACTGTAAGATTCTGAGCCTGGTCTCAGAGCTGAGATGGGCTCAGTGATGGGAGCTGTGTTGTTATGTTCCAGCAGCCTGACCACAAGATGTTTCTGGGTAAGATCGTTTTATTTAAATTACTCTAATTTTCAGTTTATTGTGTAGTAGCTTTTTCCTCATTATAACCGCATATATTTGGCTATGCCGTTTGGAGCTGTTTGGTCCATTGGTGGTGTTGCTTGTGCGTGGTGCCTGCTTTCTGAATGATGATGTCAGCAAATGAATGAAGTGACCAGCTCTGACTCACTTTCCATTCAATGATGCTGCATGTTGCGTTCAAGGGGAATTGGGGAGATTACAAACACTGTTTTGGAGTTTCTGAGCTTTATAATGTTTCCAGGTAGATGTTTCCACTTGATTTATGGGCTGTAGATCATAATAATTGATCTGAAACATAAAATTAAAAAGGAATAGAAGAAAAAGGTGGATCGGTGTTTTTACGGCTTAATAATATCGATCTTTCAAGCGTTCTATTTTTAGTCCAGGTGAATGATTTGCAGAGAATGTTTCGTTTTACTTTTATGCTTATTCAGTTAAGTTTGGTTTAATGTTGTTGAATTCAAAATAGCTTATTGACAGCAAACGCAAAGACAGTACAAGTCTTTGTCTGGAAATGTAATTTAACCCTATTTTTTAAAATGGAAGAGCAGTACAGATGAGCAAACAAAGAGCTGCTGACTGAAGTAGCAAAATAGACAGACATGACATAATGTATGTATTTGGGGAACTATGTAAAAGAGATGCCGTTGAACTATATTATTGAACTAACCCTTGATTTAAGGTTTGGTCACTGTTGGTATTAAATCAAACGTCATCGCCCTCGTCGACTGTTTTGATTTGGTTATTTTGACAACCTAAAGTTGGGAAACTGGTTGTTGCATATATTGTCAATATAACCACACCTTTATGTTACATGCACATTGTCCTGAAAGCAAAGCTATTAAATCTATTAATATGATCTGCACAATCCCATCGCTACTTTCTTTTTTGCTCCAACTGTCTCACCCGTCTAAAAAGTGACTCATTTTAGTGGATGGACCAACATAAATACACACATGTGTGCTCTGGTGCAATGTGTGATGTCATCAGATGCTGGTCTCCCTGGAAATGAAGTCATAATATTGATCTAAAATGACTTGATACTAGAGGTGTGCATGCTGACTTCTATATTGACTCCTCTTTTATATTACATCACTGTAAATATCATAACAATTTCAGACACAGTTATATTTCACAATGTGCACTTTTTTGTTTTGTTCTCACCAATAATCTTCTGTGAGTCAGATTATATCAAACAACAAAGTAACAAGCAGTGGGTATACACTGGGATTGTCCAAAGAATAACGTTATTCACAACTATGAGCTGGAAAATCAAGAACAATTGTAGGAAGCCAGGTCGCTCAAGTGTCCTGGATTCAAATCAGTGATTCTGCTAATTCTGCTACCCTGAAAAGTTATTTGAGGAAGAATGAGAAGAAAGCCTGTAGTCTAAAACATTCCCAGTCCATCAATTAGTCGAGTACAAAAGGGGGTGTTGCAAAGGCTCTCAAAACTATGTGTGTGAGCTCTCAAAACTTTCAACATTAAATCACAACAAGAAAAGGTTATCTTTACTAAGTATTTGTAAGCTTATGAAAAGGGGTGTTTTATCTGACGACAACAAAATACTTACAAAAATATTCAGCTAATTTTCTCCATGTCATTGTGGACATAAATTTTATGCAATACTCACTCTAAAATAACGTTTAGTGGCTTAATAAGAGAAAGTATTCATAACTTTAAAAAGCTTATTCTGACCATGTAAAAATTAAACGATCTGAACGAACCCAGATTGCACCAGCACCAAACTACTATTCTCACTTTTTGCATACTGGGGTATAATTTTGGTTTAGGAGTTGTCGGTTTATCTCCTCTCTTTCTTGTCTGCCACTGAAACAAGCAGTACATGGCACTGCAGCCCACTCCCTCCCTCTACTCTGCCTGCCGCCTGTAGACTGGATAAGGGACCTCCCATTCTCTCCCCCCTCTGACTTCACCACACTCCCTCTCACTCTCTCTCTCTCTCCACCCTGTTTCTCCTTGACAGCGGTGAGTCCTGTAGCTGCATTGGTGGTGGTGACGCATTTTCTGCTACCTGCCTCTACCTGCAAGAGGGGACAGGCAGCACATTTTTTCCCACTGCTTGCCTTGTTCCTTTTTTTGTTGTTGTGGAGCAGACTTGGTCCCATCACAAGTCATTCTTCATGAGTTGTCCTTTGCCTGGCTGCTTCCCGGTGGAATACAGATGACTACAATAACTACTATTGGAGTGCTTTACTACTGACACGGATTCATTGTTTTAACTTTGGAGTTGGACTGGTTTGGAGAGCTGTCATGGCCGCATCCATGAAGAAGCGTGAACGGCAGTGTGAGCTTTTAGTTGTTCTGTTAAATGAATAGAGTTGATGCGTGTTGATAAATTGGGCAAGTGAAAGTTTGCGGGTTATTAGAGGATGTGATAGCCGTCAGAAGCTCTACCAGTTTTGTTTTGCAGTAAAGACTGCATGCAACATGAAAGCCGGGTAAGAATCCTCAATGTAGAAAGTGCCCAGTTGAAACAACAACCTCGGATAACCTTTGGATGCTTTCTGGATTTGGTGTGGCTGGCATATCATTGCTGGCATATCCTCTGTGCTTCGAAATAGACAGGGGAAAGCTTTACAATTCGCCAAAGGCCGACAGCGTGGAGCCTGGACAGAGATTATATGAAGCATCAAAGCTCCTGTGGGGATGAATGTGACCAGAGTCTTGTCCAGCTAGAATTATAATCTGCATTGCTGTAAACATTGACATCTATAGTCCTCTCTTCATCGGACCCATTTATCTTGTGTTTTCTGTTACGAAACACTGGCGCAGCATTGCCCTTGCACCAAATAATACTAAAATCGTACAGAGGGCAGATTTCAGTCTAATGCCTCTGTTTGGATACATACTCAAGACTTGATTGACTTTCTTTTGCATGGAGTATTTGGGGGACAAGATTACAGTGGCCCAGTCCCAGATGACGGGATGGGTTGGAAATGTGCGTCGATCGTTCCATGGGGCACTGGGTTTTTTGCGATCGGGCCAAGGAGAAGATGGGACCGGTGACTTTAAAAGAACCAACTCTTTACGGTCCCTGGCCTCACGCAGCAGGGATTCGATTCGAAGGTTTTCACTACGCAGCCAACAACGACTCTCCCTACGGAGACGGACAGCTCCCAACACTCCCATTGCTGTAAGATGACATGCATTTTTGCTACGTTTGAAGAAATACCATTATTGTTGTGAGAGTGCAGCGATTGACGTAAATAATGCATGTTGTTTGTCCAAACTGAAAGAGTCTTGTAACATTGCATTTTGTGAACAACACCTCAACATGCTGTCCTCATTTTTTATTAGAAAACATGATATCTTTTGAATAGATGTAAGAGCTCTGTGAGTCACTATTTGACACTTTTGACCCGTACCTGATTGGCCAGTGATGGTGGTATACAGCCAATAATTGTTAAATTATGAGATTTTTTTTGAATACAAGTATCACAGTTGTCTGCTACAGTGATCATTTTTAGCTGGTAACAAGACTGGATTTATGGAGTTTACTACCACCACTGTGAATTGTGTATTGTTACAACAGACAGGCATACATTATATGGGACACACATTATGAGATGAAATGTGTCCCAGGCGAGGATAAAAAGGATTGAAAATGGGTAAAGCAACTCAATATGCTATCCCATAAAGAATCGGAAGAGGAAAGATAGTTTGAACCAGCTAAGTGACTTGGCGGCATTTACTGGGGTCTGAAATGTCACCCTGTTAGCAGCTGCAGTCTCACAAGTCATTTGGACCTAGGCCAAATATTTAAAGATTTTAGGAACTTATCCATCTGTCTTGTCATCAACAGCCCTTCATCCCTGCAGTGTTTTGTGGACATTTATAAAAGCTTTAAAAGTTTCAGTTGTTGCCAAATTTGGTTGGCTATTTCAATAATCTTTTGTGATGGTGTTTCTTAGGCTCATGCTGTATTGTACCTCCATGTACGGCGATGGACAGTGCACTTCTGGTCTGTAGTCATTCCTATCTTTAGGTTACGCCAGTTTGCTTCTGAGTCAGAGCAGCTAAAGATACATTTGTTTTGATGGTAATCTTGTGCCTGTCAGGTGTAGGGATGTAAAAAACTTTGAATTTTCATGACCGACCACCGAGCCTCATTAACCGGTTGAAACCGGTTAACCGCGTAGTTTAAAATAGTCCACGTTCTTTGAAATAACAGCCATTTCGAGCTGCGTACTTTTCATATGTGCAGCTGAGCATTCTAATGGATCAGAGCCGAGACAGCGGCGCCAAAACCCACAACAGCTTCGGCACCTTTGCGCACAGAGAACTGCTGTTTTAATCTTCCCATTCTTCTGTGGGGAATGTGTGTGTGTGTGCGTGTACATGTGTGCGTGCATATGTGGCGCGTACGGCGTGAGAGTCGGCCCAGAGTTTACTGTTACATTGGCGCACACAGCTAGATAGGGACCCGCTCGTTACATCGTGCAAATAGGGCTTAAAATAGCGTTATGAAAAGACCTCCCCTCTCCCCCTTTTCTCTTTTTTAACCGACAGCTTTGACCGGTTAACGCTGTGACGGTCAACCACCGGTTAAACGGTCACCGATTTACATCCCTAGTCAGGTGTAACATGTCTCAATTAAAACTTTTGAAGACTTGAGGAAAACCTGACCTTAAACATAGTATTTTTGCATCATGGTAGGCTGGATCTGTCTAATTTTTAACATTTGTCACATCTAGTGTCTCGTATCATTTATTAAACTTATTGCGACGACAGGGATGGGCAGATTCATGGCCCTTTTAAGTTCTCACATGCCATTTGTGTCATATCATATGTTAAATGTATGTATAAATATAAACTCCAACTGTGTGTGTGAACCAAGCCCTAAACCACTTGCTAAAGGGGCAGTCCTAGCACTTCACATATGATGCCTGGTTAGAAGTACGACAATTTTTTAAAGCCAAAAAGTGAAGAGGCTACTTAGAAGAGGGTTTTTAATATGGTAACAAATAGCTTGACAAACAGTGATGGAATTGCTAAATAATGTTTACGTATGTATAATTTAACTAAGCCAGACCTTCAAAACATATGCCTCATCAGCTTTCATGTTCTTCCTTTGGGTTGTTTATAGTTTTATGACTTCTTTTTGTACATTTAAAAGGATGAAACCCTCAGAGCGGTTTACTCAAAGCCCATCCTTGACCAGAGCTCGACATTGCGGCTCGTGTCCATTTGTTGACATGTTGTTAATGGATATCTTCAGGATATTGATATTGATTAGTGCTGAGTGCACACAGGGCAGACTTTTCCCAATCCACCCAAAGCACAAAGATGACGGCACTTGGAGGTTTAACTTTGTAGTTTTCTGCAAGCTGTGTACATAGTGCTGCTCCTTCAGTGAGGAATTACCTGAGGGCGAAGCAGGAAAAACAGCATCACTAATGCTAACACATCTTTGTTTTAATTACTTTTCTTCTCTTCTTTTAACAACTATATAATAATCATATTTGTAAAAGGACACACTACAGCTAGTTATTGGGGGCACCCTAGAAATAACGTATTGCAAAATTAATGGAAAACTAAAACTGTCCCTTTTGAACTGGATATTGACTGAAAAAAAAAAAAAAAATTATTTAAAATCTCTTTAGGTCATTGCTACATTTTTCTTGTGTATTAGCATCAATAGAACAAAACCAACTCTCTAAAAGTGAATTCCAGTAGAACACAAACAATTTACATTTTTTTAGGAGTTGTTTTTGATTAAAAGGAGCACTAGACATAACTGATCAAAAGTAAAGGCACCATATTGTGTACTGTTACAGCCACTGGGCACTACAAGAGACATGTGGGGGTTTTTTCACACAAAAAGTTGCATAAAGCCCTTTTTTAATCTGCAAAGGTCGTATTAATTGTATGAATTCTTAATAGAAAGGGAAGAACATCAAAATATAGATTAGATTAAGAGATCTTTTATTTGTCCCACAGTGGGGAAATTTCAGTGTTGACGAGATAAATGAACAATAACTCTGTAACTATAGTAAAGTAAGGTAAAAATCTAAAACTCCAGCATGAAGAAGAAACAAGTATAGCATCTCTATCTTTAGCATAATGAGTACAAAAAACTCTAACCTTAGCATAGTAAAGACGTTTAAAATCTCTGTATAGATACACTTCTAACGTTATCATTTCAAAAACAGCTCAGCCCTTCCTTGTTGTTCATTGTGACCACGCTGTTGCACGGTGAATCACTTTCCCATTTGTCATTGAGGTGAGGAGTGGTGTTGGAGCATGTCTGTGGTAATGTAGGGTGTTCAGATTGGTTTGTTATCGAGCTAAAGTTTCCAAAGGCCTCGTCCCTTCCCTTTCCTCCCCAGACTGTCATTCAACACGGCTCAGTGATTAGACCTTTCTCTCCTCCATCCCTTCGCTCTTTGTTCGTCCCTTTAACCAAACGCTCCCTTCCTGGGCACGTCTGGCTCTGAATAATGCTATTAAGGAAAAGTCTGCATAATGTGTGTGTCCATAATACAGACGCTAATCACTGCTCCTGCATGGGCTCGGTAGGCCTTAGTCATGCTTCTTGTTTGTGTTGCAACACTAGTTGGGTCACGAATTGCATATGTTTTCATAGTTTGGTGACAGAATACATGCATTAAAGAACACGTTTTGAATAATCTACATATAATTTATTAGGGCTGTAGTCAGGGACCTAATGCATAATCGACTAAAATCGCAGGGGTCCTCAAAAAAAAAAGAGACAAAACAAGTACAGCAAATAATGAGGTTCATTACAACATTTACAACACTTACAAGGTTTCAGCTCCATGTCAAACAAATAAAGCACAAGAAAACAATGTAGTTATTAATCTATCTTGTAATTTGTCGTGTTTTCTATATAAATCCTCATAATTTGACTGAAATAAAAAAGGTCAACCCAAAGGTATTTGGGTCGACTAGGACGCCATCGACCGCTTAATTGACGACTAAACCATCAGACCTCAACTCCATTAGCGACCTGTTTAATGTGTGCTAATCATTCTGTGGCTCTGCTACACAACAATGCAACACAGATTTCCGACCATAAACATGTCATTTCTTGTGTATAACATTCATGATTGTAACCCACACATTCAGACGGTTGAAGCAGGTTATGCTAGTTTATGAAAGTTATGCTGTTTGTTGAGTTTAGAATATTGTTAATCCCAATGTTTGTTCTTTGGTAGCGCTGGATATAGGTACAGGGGACTTATTTTCCTAAACAATTCATTATGGTTCAGTGGAAAATAAAAAAGGCTTTTGGCTTCTTGTTTTATGTTTTGCCCCAATAAAAATACAGGCATTGATATTTAAGTTTATTGAAGATAAATTGATATTAAGTCAAAATAAAACATACAAAATCATACTTTTTTATCTTTAAACTGGTTTACCAACTGGATGTGGGCTGTTAAAAGCTTTGATGATGTACATTTTGAGATGTCACTTCACTGTATGATTTTTCACTATGTACTGAATTCTAGAGGTTTGAAGCTCTACATTTTATATGGCCTGTCCATACCAGAGCAGAAGTTGGCTGAATGATGGTGTGAGTGCTGTTTATGGTCTCTAACCGGGGCTAGTGTTAGCATAGTCTTACCTTTTACAGTCATGAATCATATGCATGGATAGTGTCAAGAAGATAATTCTGCAGATACAGAGCTGAGATGAGATAAAACATAATGGCAGGCAGAAAAATGTAAAAATGAGTTGGGGCAATACATTTCAATGATAAAAAAAAATCTGTGAAACCTTGACCCACCTATTTTGTATGTCTTGAGAGAGATGTTTTTAAATCGGTCAGCCCCTCTTTTCTAACATCCTTACACCATTTATACACCTTTTTCTCACATCAGAAAGTAAGCCTCTTGGAGCTCTGTGGAATTACTTGAGGTGAACATTTTAAGTCGTGTAAGCTTTTGTACAATGGTATCTGGCAGTAACATGTTGGAGCAAATGTTTCTCTGTATGCGGATCAGGTGGGTGCGTTTCAGTTGACTAATACATACTTGCACACAGCACAAGAATTTTTATTACACTATTTTGACAAGGCCTCGACATTATATCCTTGTGTTTGTAGTAATGGCATAGTCATAGAGATGACTGCTTGTTAAATATGATTGATTATAAGTAAAAGTTTGGACAGTATAAACAAGACAAACCCATGCGTTAAACTTGTTATGTAACAGATCAACAGCTGGTATTCCTTTTTTCTTTAAGTAGCTTTAGTTTAGTGTATGTATAGCGCATGCTATTTAGAAAGTCCCAGGACCTATGTTTTCAGAACAAGGTTGTGGACTGAATTCTCCAGCTGTGACATGAGATATATGAGATATGAGGGTAAAACAGACTACTCCTTATATTGTAAATCAGAGTTCTGTCAAACTCATTGAAGTAGACACACAATAATTTAGTTTTTTTACCCCAAAGGTTATATTTTTATGTGTAATAATCCAGATGTGATATGGGTCTGTATAGTCCAGTTATTGATTAAGACAATCAAACCAAATCCCATTAGTGTGTTTGAGGTTAAATTCCACAGCGCCCCTTTGGGACCGATCTTCAATGCCATTCTCACTGCTCAGCTTCCTGCCTGGACAAGGTTTTCCCTGATAAATAACATCCTGCCCTACTGTTTTGCTGCATCTCTAAACTAGTGTTAACTTAATCTGGTGCTCCTCCTTTATCTGAAGGCTGGTGCCAGCTCATTGTGTAGTGAATGTGAGAATGAGCGAGAGGGAGGGGCTGCAAGAGTGAAGTGCATGCACCATAAACTAGACCTGTGACTTACAGAAATGTTGATTATACAGTAGTGCTCTTGAAGATTGTCAACACAGTAGTTGTGTTCCAACTAATGCCATAAGAAGGGAGATCACAAAGTCAGTTTAGGAATTTGCAGGAGGACATAGACATGCAATTATATATGTACATGATGGATTTCACAATGAACCAATGTCAGTAATGTGAACACTTACTGGTTAAAAAAATAAAATGTTTTAGTTTGATTTAATGTGGCCATTTGTCTCCTGTACGTCTGCTGTAACAGCTTTAAAACAGCGGCATTATATTGAAAATGCTGCAGCTGGAGTACTGACTAGAACTAGGAAGTTCTAGTCATTACTGCACTTGCTTCATGTGGCTCGGCGAATAAACATAAAGCAGCTGTGCTTGTTTGCAAATCTTTGTCTGAACTAACTCATACTCTGAGGAGCACAGGGACCGGCCTGCTGGTGCCCAGAGCCAGGACGCAGATCAGAAGCCTTTCAGATTCATGCAGCTACGATAGGGAGCAGTCTCCCTTATTCTTGTATAGCCCTAAATCACAACAGTAGTTATCTCAGAGGATTAAACCAAACCGTTGAAATCGCCAACACAGATCAGAGAATAATATGGAACACATAGGTATTGGTTCATAAGGGGAGTTGACCAATGTCCATGAATGTTGATAAATGCCCATAAATACAAATAAACTTGCATTGCCTTGCTAATACATTTATCCAGGACGATCAGAATAAGCAGGTGGATCACATTTCTCTGCCCACGCCTTGAGGCAACGCAGCGGAGGCCAGGAGGAGCCTCTGCAGGGTCTTCTGTCGTATGTAGGACAGGGTTGCCGGTTCATGCTTGGGCCTGCCTGTGAGAGTGCAGTGTGGTTTGTAGACAGTATGTCCTCTGTACTGGCCTCATTAAAACTGACATGGTTCAGTTCACAGCGGCACCCAGTTTGTCTCAGCAATTGTTCAAACTTTACTACTTTGATCGATTTCATTCAGTATTTTTTGGCAATTACGATATGCTGGAATTGCGATTAAAAAGCCATTTCTATATGTGACTTTAGTAAATGTCTTTATTCTATATCATAACTAACCCATTGGGCCAAATACAAGTGTGAGAGATACAAGATCTGATAATCTAAACATAATATTGATATACATTTAAAAGATGAATAATGCTGTTTTCATTGTTTCCCAGGTTCAACAAAAACAAAATACAAGCACAGAAGATGAGTCAAAGGATTCAGAAACTCCAGTCCATGAAACAGACAGTCAGTATGGGACCTGGGAGACCGGGCTGCACTCCGAAGACAGGTAAACACCAGACTATTTGTCTTTGCCAGTAAACACTGCATAGATTATTCCAGCCTTCACTAATAATATGTAAATTATTTTTGTAACTGCGGCCTCTGCTGGTTTACTGTGTATGACCGTCACATCCAATCAGCCCTTTACCATCTAAAAGTACTACCAGAATCAAAAGTTTAGTGTCGAAAGCAAACATGGGTGGAGGCATTTTTCATTACAGATTAATAATAGAATAATAATTGATAGATGGAGCAAATGAAGAGAGAATGGGGACAACAATCACAACAAACAGCATACATGTTTAATTACGATTGATATTATACAAAGAATGCACAGTATTACTTTGTATGAATCTTCAATGAAGGTCCTACCAAAAGCATTTAGTTTGTGAATTGCTTTGGTCAAGTGCAGTCACGGTGACACAGTGTTTTCCGATGTCTCAATCCAGAATGACACTTGTGTGTTACACAATGGAAAGACAGGACCTGGTTGCTCTTTGGAGTCACTGTGGTTACAATAATAACACTGCTTTATTTGTGATCCAGTCTCACACCGGCCACTCCGAGCTCTAACCTCAGTCCTTCACCCACCAAACCTCACGTGGAGACCGACGCTGCTGACCAACTTGCCTCCTCTGACCTGCTGCCTTTCCCTGATGTGAGTGGATGTCATAACTGTGTTTCATTGCACATTACAGTTGCATTTTGAAGTAGGAGTGAAGCACAGCACTGGTTTCTACAGCAAAGATATTCTCAAACTAATTTATATTTTGGATTATACAAATGTCCTGAATAGCACTGGCTCAAAAAGTTCTTCTGAACACATTTGGGCAGAACAACCTGACCTGAACAACCTGGTTGTTGTTCAGGTGGTAGTGTGTACCCTGAGAGCCAAAGCCTGGGAGTTTGAATCCTGCTTACACATTAGATCAACTGAGCAACAGTTTAGCCAGAGAATAACCAGCGCTACTGAAAAAATACAGCCGTGTCCTTGGGCAAGACACTTAGCAGTTTATGAATATGTGAATGGTTTTTTGATGTAAAGTGCTTGAGCGCCTTCAAAGGTAGAAAAGCACAATACATTTGAGACCATTTGCAATTTTCTTAAAAAGGTGGATTCAAACCGGCATCACCTGCATGTGAAACCTGACCCTGTTAGACCTCCAAAACTAAGCAGGGCAGAGCCTGGTTAGTACTGTGATGGGAGACCTCTTGAAAATCCAGGTGCCAGTGGGGAGGGGAGGCTGCAGCTGTAAAGTGGCAAACTGTTGTTGTGTCCTGAGCCAAGCCACTTCACTCACATTGTCTAGTATGAGTCAGAGGTGTACGTGGATGATTAGTAGCCTCGCTTCACAGTGAATGAATAAAGCCATGTGAACGCGTTATATACTAAAATACTATGTGTTATCTAACTGTGACCTATATTTGATGCTTATTTTATGTTATTTATTCTAGGTTCCAGTCACTTTGTTGAACACCTCTGCCCAGCGCTCCAGGGCTCAACTGGGAAAGAAACGTGCACCCCCGACTCGACCTTCCAGAGCTGCCAGACTCACTCAGCCTGACGCAGCAGTCTCTGAAGACTTGATCTTCCAAGACTCCACAGGTAAATGCATATCATTAAAGAGGAAATAGGATTTTATATATTTGAGCACAAATACACCACATACAAGTTCAAGGTATGGTTATTTAAAGAAAAGAAAAAAGGCAAAGGTCAATAAAGCGTAGGCTTTACAGTTTGAGTATCAGTAATAAAAGCTCTTCAGTGATACATAACATACAGAATGTGTTTTCGGTTGTGATGTATACACTCTCATGCCTGTTTCCACAATGTTATATTATTTTCCACTTAAGTAATTTGTCTGAAGGATTTCATGCTTGTTAATCTTTGTCTCATGTCAGAGGTTACCTCCAAACTGCGTAAAAATCCACCCATAACTTGGCGCAAACTCACGAACGCAGCTGATTTCATAACCCACCTTGGTGGAAGTAATATTGAGCAATAGGAGTCAGACAAATAGCAGAAAGCTACACCAACCCACCCGCTGCCTTTGCTCAGCCGATTCCAACCTCCTCACTCTCATCACCCGCACTAACTGCCAGACCTTGGGGGACAGAGGCTTTGCCATTGCCCCCCAACCCTCTGGAACTCACTCCCACGGCTCCTTAGAAACTCTGACTCACTACCAAACTTTAAATCAGAACTCAAACCCCATCTTTTCAAACAAGCTTTTCTGTAAACCCCCTTTTTATTTTTATTGTATTTTATTCCCCATGTGAACCCTCTTTGAGTGTCCAAGAAAGCACTATACAAGTTTGATGTAGTATTATTATTATAATGGTATTTCTTCTGTTAAAGGTATAGCTACATGAGTAATGTGTGACTATTGTCCAGGAAGGTTTGCAGTATTTGGCCACACAATCACTGCTCTACAGTAGATGTCGTCATTAAATGTTTCTGTCGTTGAATGTTGTTGGATACAGACATTAGTAAACTGTGTTTTCCTGCACTTAGCCATATTTACTTCTTCATCACCTAATGGCACATGTGCTGTTGCAGAGGAAAAGCCTGAAATAAAAGAGGAGGACTCAGACTCTGAGGAGCAGCCCAAAGGATCTGACGCTGGTCCCACTGCAGCCTCTTCTCAGCCGCAGAGGGTCGCCCTATTTCCTGGAATGGACCAGTCTGCTTTAATGGTAGGAGAATAACACTTTCCCTTCTTATTCACTTTTCTTTTTAGTCTGATCCATGCATCTTTGAGTAATCTCCTGCATTAAAATTGCCATTGCTCAGATTTACCCCCATTTTCACCATGACAATAAACCACTGTAAATCAGACAACAGCACAATCTGAGTCGTTTCATTTTTAAGTGGAGACACATACATTGAATATTTAACAGGAAATCAATGACATAAATTTGCTTATGTCTGTGTTTTAGGCCCAGCTAAAGAAAAGGGGAGACTCTGACAATCAGACCGATGGCTCTGCTCCTGTTCCATCCCAGCTGTCCCGCTCTCCCAAGTCTCCTTTCCTTCCTCGGGCTTCTCGTGTACTGCCCCCTCCTGGTGGAAAAGAAAACAAGTATGTTTAAATTCAGACCTTTTAAATTCATTATTCATTTAATAATTGATTATATAAATATCTCTGCAGTGAGGAGGATTCGCCCCAGTGGCTGAAAGAGCTGAAGTCCAAGAAACGGTTGAGCCAATATGAAAGCGAAAGCTAATACCTATTCAGGTTTGTTGATTTTAATTACATGAAAAAATAATTATAGAGTTAAAGGGGACATAACATGCTAAATATATTTATTTTAGCTATTGACCATGTTATCATTGTTTGCATTGTCATTTAGACATTCAAAGTTGCTTTCCCTGCAGGCTTGAATGTTTTTTTCCTCATTCAATTGAAATTATATTTGTATAGCCCTAAATCACAACAGCAGTCATCTCCGAGGACTGTTGTCGATTCACCAACACAAATCAGAGAATCAAATCGTTCAAACACAGGAAATACAATAAATGTCTTTAAACCTTAAATGTCCTGGATAATTACTGTACTTAGACCCTTCTGCATCAGCAAGGTACAACTCAAAAGCCCAGGGGGAAAAAGTGGGAAAACTCAAGGAGGCCCACAAACGGACAGGCTATAGATCCAGGAGCGGACTGAGGCCATGACATCACTATATTCCTACTGTAGTAAATGTTTAATAATGAGCCATATATGTCACTATATAGCAGGCAGAAGTATGTTAAGTCTTCTTTGAGTATGATAAACACTTCTGCAATTATGCAATGTACTGAAAACTGCTCATCAGTCGTTCATGATCTTTTTTTTCAGATTGCCTTAACAGAGAGTATATGTAGACAAAAAAGCCTTAAAAAATTGACCTGGGATCCAATTTCTGCTACTGTTGTATATTTCTTTACGCTGTGCTCCCACTGAGGTCAAGATATATGTGCATGGTGCCTTTTTTATGTACTGTACAAAGACATAAATACATCTACCTACTCTGCTCATCCGGTCAATGGGAGATTCTCGGATGGACTGAAAGAACATAGATCATGGGACCACTATTCTAATGGACTGTGTTCTATCTTTTACTTGACTTGTACACAAAATACTTTACTTTGGGCTTGAGAGGTATGGTAATAAAAGTGTAAATTGTTGCCATGATTCCCATGCATAGCTGTACGTGTGTAATATTGGTTGGTATGTTGGTCACTCATAAATGCATTGCCATTGAATTATTTTGAAAATAGAGAACAAAATCCTTGATTGTTTCCAGACCTGTATCATACTGTGTTGTAATCATGAGATGTTATATTTGTATCAAGAGTAAATAAAGTAAATGCTAGTTTTGAATGAGTTAGATGCAAAAGAGATATATATATATATATATAGATTTTCATTTTATTTTGTACACTCCAGAACGGTGTCACATTTGCTGAAAACTACATTTCTTAACTTTTGAGACTTCTACAGCTATGTGAACAGTCAATCATGCATACTCCTCGCACAAACACCAATTAAAAAGCCATACACGCACACCCTAACATTGTATAGTAAATGTCTTTCCCATTTTTTTGTCTGTTATCTCTTCCAACAAAAACTCTTTGTCAATGTAAATGCGCAGTCCTATTTTCAAACCAGCCCTTGTGCAAAGCAGCACCTTTACATGCAACGTTGGAAATATGATTTTTGATGACGTGGCACCATTTTGACAGAGCTTAAGAAAAACAAAGTGTATTTATTGCTTGAAATTGGCATGTAACCAAAAAGCAACAATCATCAATGTCTCTCACCAGAAAGTAAAGTAATGTGTTGGCTCCAATGCTGTGGCCTCGTTGCATTGTCCAGTCTAAAATTGTATCCACTGAACAATTTTCAATACATTGCAGTTAAAAATCATTGCCTCCATTTTCTATTGTAAAATGTAAAATGCTATTTCATCTTTCTGTGTGTCTTCAAAGCACTTTGTCACTTGCACTACAGCACTGATCGGACCTGTCGATTTGGCCACGTCTCGTCTTATATTTGGGTGAATGCATTTCCCCCGGATGTAACTGTATATTATATTACATATTTTAGTTTGATATAAATGTGAGGGTTTATTTTTATCTATTTTCTTTGTGCTTTTTTTATTTCAAGAGAAAATATGTACCTATATGCACTGTGTTGTTCTGGCCAGTGTCTAAAAGTGAAAACATTCTTAATAAAATTTACTTGACATGAAACACTGCTATCAATTGTTCTTTCTTATAGTTTAATATAATAAGAAGTAACCAAGCATGTTATTATACCTAATATAATGATGTGGACTTTGATTATGGCAAAAGATCTTCTAAGAATATTGGGCCTCATTCACGAACGGTTCTTAGGAACAGATTTGTACGTAAATCCTACTTACGCGGTTTTTACGAAGAAAGTGGCATTCACGAATATTTCTCGTAACCAGAATTTCTCTTGGGCAAGTACAAATCCTACGAGTCCTCAGGAGCACTCGTACGCATTCAGTGCCGACATGTTCACACGCCGGGGTTGTCCTCTTTGGTGAAGTTGAATAAAAATACAAAATTCCAGTGATATGTCCGTCATATCGATGTATGTATTTATTTATTTGTAGTAATCTTTATTAGTAATCTTTATTTATATACCGCCTTTTTCACTGCAGATCTGGCCTACTTTTTAATTCATTTTGAAATGAAATGTGCCAACGCTTTATCAAATACATTGGAAATCTTGCCGTGTATTAGTGACCCCTTCCTATTTATAGGGGGCATTTCTTTATCCACGGGCCACAGAACAACGGCATATATACTGCTGCTCCAGGAGGTTACTGGGTCCGCGCTGAGTCTCTGCGCTAGTCTCTCCCATGGATCTATACGGGTCTGCGCTGGTCTCTCCCATGGATCTATACGGGTCTGCGCTGGTCTCTCCTATGGATCTATACGGGTCTGCACTGGTCTCTCCCATGGATAGACGGGTCTGCACTGGTCTCTCCCATGGATCTATACTGGTCTGCACTGGTCTCTCCCATATACGGGTCTGCACTGGTCTCTCCATACGGGTGCTCCTGCATGCTCCTGGATCCATACGGGTCCGCGCTGGTCTCTCAAGTCTGGTCTATGCGGTCTATCTTCGGTCCGCGCTGGTCTCTGCGCACCGGTCTCTCCAGTCAGGTCACTCCAGTCTATGCGGTCTCTCCTATAGGTCCGCGCTGGTTTCTGTTTGCTGGTCACTCCAGTCTCTCCTCGGGTCTGCATTGGTCTCAGCGCTGGTCCGCGCTGGATCTCCTCCCAGGGTCCAAAATATTTTGAGATTAATCTCAAAACATTTTGAGATTCATCTTTAAAATAATACATAATATATTTTTAAATTAAGCTCATAACATTTTGAGATTAATCTCATCATATTCTTAGATTAATCTCATAATTTTGCTAGTTCGACTTTGTTATCATAATATTTCGACTTTTAAGTCAACATTTTATAACTTTATTCTCAGTCTGGTAAAAGAAGAAAAAAGGGTGACTCTTTTGCTCCGTGGCCTGTTGCTTTAGGCCTGTTGCTGTTTCCTCTGCCGTCTGCACACGGCCCTGCAGTCCCTTATATGGGCATTAGTGGGCGGTTACTTATGCTAAGTACCTATGCTAATGAAGCACCTGGCACGCGCGCTGTACTTACGAGGAAATGGGATTCATCAATCTGAGAGAACAGCTGCGAACAATTCAGCGCCTTACGAGTGCGTTGATGAATCCCACGTGGGGACTTCTTAGAAATCTAATTAAGGACAACTTGAGAAGAAAGTTGAGTAGTTTCTTACGAAGTTATTCGTGAATGAGGCCCATTGTGCTTAAATTACAAGAGTTTTAATGCATTGGGGGACAATGGGGCCTCATTCACGAATAACTTCGTAAGAAACTACTCAACTTTCTTCTCAAGTTGTCCTTAAAGCAGCAGTAAGCGATTTTTGGGTGTTAATATACGTCTTAAATATTGATATATTCCAATAGCCATCACTTATATAGAGTGTTTGTACCTAAACACGGATCTCTCAGTCCTTCCAGTCTTCTCCCACCTATATAATAAAAAAACCTCACATCCTATGCGCTTATCCAATGACGAGAGAGCACGCCTTATAAGGGGTTCCTCCCGTGTGTGCACGCGCACTCTTCAAAACAAACATGGCGGAGAAGGAAAAGCCGCCTCCAGCGCTGCTGCAGACTAAATACAATGGATTTATTAAATACAGGCAAAACGCCAGAAACAGAGGAACGACAAAAAGTAGGAGCAACATGGTGACCAGCTGCATTCATGTTGGCGACCTCTAGCTCCGTAGATTCCTCTCTCCGACTGAACAGGTGAGCATGTTACTCAGTAGTGGCAGTAGTAGTTGTATTATTTATACATATTGTTGCCTGAGACTGTAATGCGGGCTTTCACCAAGTTAGCTAGTTAAAAATCCCCAGCTGTTGTAGAAATACGGCCGCATTTTGTGGCAATAACTGCGCATTACCTTGGCTTAGCTTTGAGAAACAACAACAGACAACACAACATCGAAGCCTTAGCCCAGCCTTAGTCATCCATAAACTCCGGTCAATTATTAGTTCCCCACATGTACAACATTAAATGACCATATCACCAGAGTTCCCCCGTGAACTGGTGTTAGCATTAGCGTTCGCTGTTAGCATTAGCGTTCGCTGTTAGCATTAGCGTTAGCTGTTAGCATTAGCGTTCGCTGTTAGCATTAGCGTTCGCTGTTAGCATTAGCGTTAGCTGTTAGCATTAGCGTTAGCTGTTAGCATTAGCGTTAGCTGTTAGCATTAGCGTTAGCTGTTAGCATTAGCTGTCTGTAGTTGTGAATATGATGTGGCTGCTACGAACACTTCTGATCTGTATGAATCGTTTGTTTTTGCCAATGAACATAGTTGCTTGCACTATATATATATGTAGGTCTGCATTTCATTCTTCAATGACTAAGTTTTTCAACTTGCACTCTGTATATTAGTTTTATTGTTATAAAAACAATATCTCTTTACCTGAAATCTAACTTCCGTGACCACTACATACATTTTTATTATTATGTATTGAGAATAAGTAAGAAAAGTCTTGCTGACTACTACCAAATAAATTATGAGCATGATATAATATAGACATTGTAGTAATTTACATGTCTTCATTGCATTCTTGTCTCTGTATCTTTTCCAGTATGGCCTAAATCAATTGGAA